GTTTGCTCTCCTCACTGAGCTGTGGTCCTTCCCCAGTCAAGAGACTTGTGGTTTCCTGGATGTCAGACTGCAGGTTTTAGATTGCATATTTCATTATTCCACTACAGGAAACCAAAAGCTGTAAGTAAACAACAACAACAACCAAGCATATATGAAAGACGGATTCCACCAGACATGCTATTTTATTTCTGTATGCAGTGATATTCCTGCTTCCTGGCCACTATTTTAGAATGACCACCTTCACTCTGAATAACACAGCCACAGGAAAAGCTTCAGTACTTGGTTCTGTTAATTGTAGCCATAGAAGATTAATGTATGCAGCATAAGCAGCAGGGGGTGGGGTGGGGGGGAAGAATTACTGCAGGGCTAGTTCTTTTTCTCCATGCTATATCCTCTTGGGAGAAGAAGAGGAGGAGGAGGAGGAGGAGGAGGAGGAGGAGGAGGAGTTTGGATTTGATATCCCGCTTTATCACTACCCAAAGGAGTCTCAAAGCGGCTAACATTCTCCTTTCCCTTCCTCCCCCACAACAAACATTCTGTGAGGTGAGTGGGGCTGAGAGACTTCAGAGAAGTGTGACTAGTCCAAAGTCACCCAGCAGCTGCATGTGGAGGAGTGGGGAAGTGAACCCGGTTCACCAGATTACGAATCTACCGCTCTTAACCACTACACCACACTGGCACACTGGAAGCACTGTGCTGCTTTTCCTGCTTCCCATTTGGTGTTGTGATCGCTGATCTGGTCACTGGGGAGGGGCTACCTGGACAATGCAAAAGGAAGAAGAATAGTTATTCAGAAAAGAAGAGCGCAAGATTCTTAAGTTAGTGGTGGTGATGGAACTCCTGTAATTCTTGACGACGCCTGTTTTTTAAAAATCCTTTTCATTCCGGTTCTTTCCTGGTCTAGGCACTGAAACTGCTTTGGTTGCTCTGGGGGATAAGCTATGCCATAAGAAGGACAAGGAGAGTGCTTCCTTGTTATTTCTCTTGGACTTCTTGGTGGCTTTTGATCCCATCCACCCTGGTAGACCTCTGGAGCAGCTATCTGTGATGTGGGTACAGTTCTGTAGTCTTTCCATGCCTACATGGATGGACATTTCCAGAATATGGTGCTGGAACTATTGCCCTTCCAGAAGGCGGTAATGAGCTACCACAGGCTCTCTTTTTTGTCACCCACGTTTCATGTGACCAAGGAGATGTGAGTCAGTCTCATCTAGGATGGGATTGGGCTCTGCATGAAGGACCAGGCTGACAGGTTATTAGAAATGGTTTCAGAGAACTAGCCCTGTGCCAGCTGACCTAGACTCTCTGGGAAGGGACTTCTTTGACCAGTACAGTTTTATTATGTTCTATGTGAAATGTAATATGGAGAGAGACAGTGCAATGCAGTGGTTAGCCAATGGTCATTAGCCTTGATGGCTATGTTCTACCTCCTCTGAGCCACCAGACCATTTCTCCCCAACCACATCCTATGTGTGGCGCAGGATGTAGCTACAAAAGAACAACAGGGATCTTAAAGTGAGCTCCCAACTCTTCTTTTGCAAGCAGGGCCTGCTGACGGCACTGGTCAGCTGATTAACACTGACAACAAGCCCCACTGGGATTGGCTGGCAAGTCCCAACTGCAGCCAAGGAAGCTCACTGTAATTCAGTTCATAGGGGCATGTTCTTCCTTTTACCCTCTCTGCCATCTATAGACTCTCCTTCCCTTGCCAAAGCCCTTGGAGCAAGAATTGCCTTTTTGTTTCTTAGTAATAAGAATCATGTGCATCAAATGGAAGAGGGATTCCTGTAGTTGTGAGTTAACAGGACTGCTGAGTAATAAATGGCACACTGTAGTGTAATAACTGTCCCAAAAATGCTATAGAGAGAGGGATTTTCCACTTCCAGAAATCCTGAAACGTGAGTGGAGCTGATGTAGCATTGTGGCTGAGAGAATGAGCTATGAATTAGGAGATTCCTCCTTCAAACTTGCCTCTGCCATTAACTCATTAGGCACATTTAGGCGAATATCTGCCCTCATCCCTTCCTTATCTCCCCCGCACCAATATGCTTTAAAAAGGAGATGATAATACAGTGGTACCTCAGGTTAAGTACTCAATTCGTTCTGGAGGTCCATTCTTAACCTGAAACTGTTCTTAACCTGAAGCACCACTATAGCTAATGGGGCCTCCCGCTGCTGCCGCGCCGCCGGAGCACGACTTCTGTTCTCATCCTGAAGCAAAGTTCTTAACCTGAAGCACTATTTCTGGGTTAGCGGAGTCTGTAACCTGAAGCGTATGTAACCTGAGGTACCATTGTACTGTCTTGTATTGCAGGGTGGTGTTAGGATTGCAACTAGATAATATCTTGAAAGCACTAAATGAATGCCAGTTATTAATAGATTGAAAAATAAGTACCGGTATTAATTTTCTTACAAACTGAAACTGGCCTACATTCATTTTTAAAAAACTCACTTCCTCATGAGTAGCCTGATATATAGAGCAATGAAAAACATCAGAGAACTTGTTTGCCAGACTAACAGCACAGTATTTATGCTTACTAAGTCTCAGTAAGTTAAATGGTGCTTATTCCAAAGAATAATTGTTCAGGAGTGCAGCCGAAATTGTTAGGATGAAATTTTTATTCTCAGCACAGCAATCTGCCTTAAAACTATGGTGTTAAAGCTCATTGCGATGTCCAAAAAAGAAAAAGCTGAAATGTTAGTGGCTGCTTAGAATCCAGTTGTGGCTTCTAATATCTGGGGAGGCATGGGAGATAGTGAGTTTGGAGTAAGTTCATGAGGTGAAACCTCCTACTCAAAATTACTTAAATTATTTGAATAGCCATTGTGTAGGAGGCCTAGCATTCCATTATAATTAATAGGCCAGCTGTTGTTCCAGGATACAGATTAGAGTACACAGGATCATCTGACTTTTTAGACCGAGGTTTTTTCATGACCGAGGTTGAAACCAACAGGCTGACAACATGAAATTGAAGGAGAAATTCTGGGGGGAGGGGTGTCTATGTGTTCATGAAGCAATTGTGTACATTGTGATGAAATATTGCATCCCTGGGTGTTTTGCATGGAACCGTAAAACACTCTGTAGAATGCTAACAGAAACTATGTTTTAAATTCTAATACTGTATCTAACTTATCTGAAGAATTTTAGTGTGTTTATAAGGGTAGAATATTTAAACATTAAGATCATAGTTGTGTTGACTACTATGCAGAGGATACTTTACCCCAAAATGTTTTCCCCACTTTAGAACTGCTTTCATTATAGTCATGCAGATGTATGCAGATGTAATCAGTTTTAAAAACCAAATAATCAACTAAAATGTGCATGATTAGTGAATTTAGATTATTAGCAATGGTGAAAATTGCAACAAATCATGTGCCATGAAGTAAACTACTGCCTCTTGAAGATGCTCATCACAAACCAGTTAGGGCAAATCCATTATGGTTTTGAAACTGGGTGGACGGGTATCCCAGCAATAACTTCTCAGGTGTGCATGCACACCCTAGTTATTTCATCTTACACTTAACTTCACTCTCCTTGGAAGTCCATACCACAGACAGTCACTATTGAAGCCCTGTACAAAAAGACCAGCTTGGCTTCTGCTCAAGATTCCCGAAGCATGTCCTTGTATCATGCAAAGAAAGTATATTTTTCCCCTTCAAAAGTATGATTTTTCTTCATATGCATATATTTTGATTAATTTACATGAGTTCTGCCATTTCATTTCGTTATCTAAAATGTATTTAATTAGATGAATGCCCTAAGGTGGGTCATGTGTGAATGTTGCTGACATGATATAGAAAATGTAATTGAATGTAAATCCAATTCATTTCAAAACTGAATGCACATTTTAGTCATACTATTTGTTTCATTCAATTTTCAAATACCACCACCAACAAATGATTTCCAGAATCACATGACACCCATATGTGAAGGAGCAGCTGCTCCAGTTAAGATATTTAATGAAGAATAATAGAATCATAGAACTGTAGAGTTGGAAGGGGCCCCAAGGTTCATCTAGTCCAACCCCCTGCAAGGCAGGAATCTCAGCTAAAGCATCAATGACAGATGGCCTTCCAAGCTCTGCTTAAAAACTTTCAAGGAAGGAGAGTCCACAACCTCTCAAGGGGAGTCCATCAGCTGTTACTGTCAGAATGATCTTCCTGATGTTTAGTCAGAATCTCTTTTCTTGTAACTTGAAGTCATTGGTTCAAGCCCTACCCTCCAGAGCAGAAAAAGCATGCTTGTTCCCTCTTCCATTTCACAGATGGCTAATGTTATATCTCCCCTCACTCTCCTCATTTCCAGGCTAAACATACTCAGCTCCTTCAACCATTCCTCATAAGCCTGTTTGCAGATCCTTGATCATTTTGGTTGCCTTCCTCAGCACACATTCCAAGTGTCAACATCCTTCTTAAATTGTGGTGCCCAGAACTGAACACAACATTCCAGGTGTGGTCTGACCAAGGCAGAATAGAGTGGTACTATTCTTCCCTAGATCCAGACACTATACTTCTGTTGAAGCAGCTTATCCTGTGCTTGTTTTGCTCTTTCCTTTCCCCTTCGGTCTTGTGTATCTATTAGATTGTCAGACTGTGGGCAGGGACTGCCTTTTCTTTCCATAACTGCACCACTAGAAGGCAGGTGCTTCATAAGTGCATATTAACAATGACTATTTGAAAACAGCGTGGCTCCCCAAAGGTGATACAAGATCACACACCCCCACCCCCACCTTGTAAGAGGCTATACCTTGTCCGGAAGCCCCCCATTACAATTGCCAATATTTGTATTTATCTAACCTAATTTAATTTATTAATAATATGCCAGCTATAACCATCCATAAAACAGAGAAAATATTTTTGGATGCGTATCTTCCTTAGAAATGTGTTTTTTTAAAAAAAACAACAACACCTAAGTCTCTGTTTCATTGAGCAATGCCTTGGTCGGAGAAAGAAAAGTCTCATTAGAATAACCAGCAAAGCAGTATTTGGTTAGCTACTGAATGGCCCGCTTCTGTTTTCATTTCCGCCTAGCGGGAAACTTTGGAAAACGGGCGGCTGATGCTTTGAAACATTACAACACAACGGAGCGGCGCGCGCTTTGTAACTTTTTTATCCGGCTTCTGGCAGCCTCAGCCTTATCCCAAACTTTTACTTTCACCGAAACTTCTTCATTTCCACGGGCTTCGGCGCTCGCAGCCCTGCCGGGGACCCGGCTGCAGCAGCAGCCGAGGAGGCGCTCTTTCCGGCTCTCCCTCCCCCGCGCTGGCTTAGCAACCCCGTCGCAACCTCTCGGGTCGCTGGAGTGTGCCAACTCCGGTTTCGAAGGCTGCGCAGGTCGCAACACGCCCGGGAGAGAAGCGCTTCGGTTGGCGGCGAGTGACGCAACGGCCGCGCGCGCGCGTGTGTCAATAGAGCAACCCTGACTCGCAGCAGCACGTGCATGACCTTTATAATTAAATTCCCCGTTTCACAATAAGCGCAATAAAGGCACTCGGGGCGGTGCATTTGCAAAAAGTAATTATGCCGGGGCCTGGCACCGGAGCTCGCTGAGCAGCCGAGGCCTCGTAGCCCACGGGCAGCGTTTCCAAAACACTGCGCGCGTTCACACCCTCCCACACAGCCCCGGCGGAGCGGCTTTCAGAGGCGGGCGCCGGGTTCAAGGGCGCAGCGAGGCTCTCCCACTGGGTGCTGCTGGACGGGAGAAGCCACGCCGTTGCGTGTGCTCTGAGGGAAGGAGATTAGCAGAGCCTGTTATGCACTCTGTGTGTGTGTGCGTGGCGCCTTGTTGTGTGAGCGCTTCTGAGGGGGGAGCGTCGTTTTCGCTTATCGCCCAGGGCGGGGTGCCGAGATGGCTCTCCAGCTACCCGTAACCGAGAAAGGTTTCGGTGTCCTCAGGGCGGGGTGTGTGGGGAGGGAGGGAAGGGGAATCGGGGCGCGGCGCGGCCCACGGTGTGGTGGGCGAGTCAAGATGTCCACTTCTGGGCGCTGTAGGGCGATGATGTCAAAGGGGTGGGAGTTTCGCCTCAGGAGGGTGGAAGGCCCTCCCTCAGCGAAGGGGCGGGCACAGCCGCGCCGTGTCTTTGGGGACGGAAAGGTGTTTTGTGTGGAAGGGAGTGGGAGGGGGGCGCTTTGACTACGACGAGCGGGGGACGCCGCGCACGGAAAGTCCTGCCAACTCGTGGCGAGGCGGGGCGGGCGCGCATGACGCGAGCGCGCACTAAAACCTGACACTCGCCAGCTGTTCGGGCTCCTCCTCGCCCCCCTCCCTGCCCCCCTTCCTTCTCCCTCTTTCTCCTCCCCTCCCCCGCGGCGTCGGCGGCTGCTGCTGCTGCTGCCGCCGCCCCAGTGCATTGTGGGCGCAGTCCGTTGTTCATTTGCCATTCGACCTGGGCCGGGGCCTGCTGGGGCGGAAGGGCTGCTGCTGCTGGGGCTGGCGGAGTCGGATCCATTGTGGGGGAGAGCGAGCGCTTGAGGAGAAGGAGGAGGCGGCGGCGGCGGCCACACGGGCTAGAGAGCGCCGGGATAAGATTTCAGCCTCCCCCCCTCGCCCTTATTCCTTTTTTTTAATTACTCGGGAAGGCTGACTGGAACCTAACCGCGAAGGCTCGCTGCCTCCGTCGTCTTTACCCGTCACCGCGGTCGGTTAGGAGGGGAGGGAGGGCGGGCGACAGTTGGGCGCGCGGCGGGAAGAGAGAGGGAGGGGGGCGAGGGCGGTGGGGAAGCAGGCGGGCGGGGGGCGCGCGCGCGCTCGCCCGCCATGTTCGCCGAGATGAACCGCAGGACCTTGGCGTTCCGGGGGGGCGGCCTGGTCAGCGCGGCCGCCGCCGCCGCCGTTGCGGGAGGCGGCGTCCCGACGGCTAACGGGGGCGGCGGCGGCGGCGCGAGCGAGGCCTGGGTCCGCCAGGAGGCCGAGCAGCTGAACGGCCAGGGGGTGGAGGAGGAAGTGGAGCTGGAGACGGTGGAGTTCGATGTGCCTGAGCTGGAGGCCACGGACGCCGCCGGGAAGGACCTCCTGCTCTTGCCCACCACTCCTCCGAACTCGGTGGGCGCCGACGCGCCGGTCGCTGCCGCCCCGGTGGGCCCCATGTTCGCCGAGAGGAACCGCCGGACCTTGGCCTTCCGCGGCGGGGGCTCGGCGTCGGCGAACAATGGCTGCGAGGGGGCGGCCTGGCCGCGGCGGCCGTTGAACGGGCGGGGGGCCGGCGGCGGCGGCGAGGAGGAGGACCTGGAGCTCGTGGGCGTGCTGGAGGGGAAAGACCTGGTGCAGGACGGGGGGTCGCTGAGCGACAGCAGCGAGGACGAGGAGGACGGCGAGGGGGGCAGCCTGGGCGATGGCAGCGGCGCCGAGGGCGGCAGCTGCAGCAGCAGCAGGCGGTCCGGGGGAGACGAGGCGGAGGTCAGCAGCGTGGGCGCGGGGGAGGGGGAAAGCATCCAGCACTTCCCGCTGGCGGCCCGGCCCAAGTCCCTTCTGCAGAAGCTGCACGTCTCCTTCCAGAGCGCCTGGCTCAAGGAGTTCCCGTGGCTGCAGTACTGCCAGCAGACCGGACTCGTGTCCTGTGCCTGGTGCGCCGCCGCCGCCTCCACGAACACCTCCGCGGACGGCGGCAGCAACGGCGGCGGAGGGCACGACGAGCTCTGCAAGGGCACTCGCAACTACAAGCGCGCCCTGCTTCTCAGGCACCACATCTCCACCGAGCACCGCCTCAACGAGCCTGTCACTGCTGAGCAGGTCAGTAGAATCAGGGCAGGGGGGCGGCGGCTGATGTGGGGGTCAGGGCTGGGGGGGGCATCTCTCCTTTGGGGAGTCTCGTGCGAGGCAGCGTGCCCACGTGTGCGAGCTGCTTTAAATGGATTCTCCTCTCCCCTATAGCCTGGGTTTGAGGGCACATTGTACTCTGTTCACCTTCTGTCTCCAGTAAGCAGATTATTCTGCCTTCTGTTTTCAAGCTGACTTGTCTGTTAGTTTTGTTTAGAAGCTTTACCGACTGCCACATAACCTTTTAACATTGTGAGCTGCCATAATATTTACCTTGTATAATAGCTTCCTGTATGGTAATTACTTGTTTCTCCAATCTATTTCTCCAATGTAAAAGATGGGGAAGACACAAGTAAGGTTTTCCTGGCAGGCAGTAACCTCTGCAGTTGATCCCTGTGCAAATGTAAAGTGCACATTTGTCTTTGTACCACCACATAGGCCCTGGATCAAGGTGCATATATGATGCTTTAACACAGAGCGCCCTATGCTTCAAAAACACAAATAACAACAGTTGGAAAAATCTGTAAATAATACTGAAATTTATTTATTGCACTATATCCCACCTTTATCTCCAAGGAGCTCAATATGATGTACATTGTTCTTTCTGTCCTCATTTAATCCCCACAACAACCCTGTGAAGTAGGTTAGGCTGAGAGGCAGTGACTGGCTCATGGTCACTTAGTGAGCTTCATGGCAGAGTGGGGATTTGAACCCTGGCCCCCAGATCCTATTGTAACACTGACCACTACACCACACTAGGTCTAATTGGCTGAAATGAAACTTTGAAGAGTTCTTAGAATTTTGTGAAAGGTGTAATTTTCCCCCACACAAAGACAGCAGATAGTTTATAAATAGTTCTGAAGGATGCTTTGAGTGGCTTTCATTATCTTCAGTGCAATGGTTATGTGTAGAATATTGATGAAACCAAGTGAGTTGCGTAGAAGCTTTTGTGCAGGTTTGCAATATTACATTAGTTGCTTAGCCTACTCCAATAGGAATATTCTGTATTCCTAGATACTATCAAACTTTAGAAATTCCCTCAGCTTTCCAGATGTAAACCTGATACTGAAATTAGTTGCACATGACACTTTTGCATCTGCAAACCTGGATATAGATGATTAAATATCTACATAGTATGTTTAGTTCTACATTTATTAAAATAGTGGTGAAGTAGAATTTTTTACATTTCTAGGAATTCAGAATAGCGTTTCTAGTTTCATAAAAATAATTTAAGATTGGTTAGGAGAATCAGCTAAGGGATATGTGAATGAAACAGATGCCCATGTACATCTGAATCATGCGGTCATCTGATGGTTGTGCACATTCAAAGTCCCGTTATTAGATGGGACTGGAGCTAGCTTATGGCTAGTGACTTGGCCTAAGGCAAGGGTAGGAGCCCCGGGGCCTCCAGATTTTGTTGCTCCCAGTCAGTATGACTAGTAGAATGGAAGTTAAACAGCCCAGCAATCAATGTCTGAGGGCCACAGGTCTTCCATTCCTGGCATAAGACAGCACAAGGATCTTCATAACTGAGAAACTGAAATTGGCCATGTGGAAGACAGTGTTCAAAGTTATGGCAGTTCCCCTAAAACTTGCGTGCATATTACAGAATATATGTAACCACAACACAGTCTTTTCCCACCATTCCATGTCTTGGTGTGAGTGTGCCTCTTACCTCATTTGGGTTAGTAGGGCAGTACTAGAGAGGCTGGAATGGGTATAGGGCCTGTGCATAGGCAGGCTCCAAAACATTCTCATCTGGGGGGCCCATATATAGACTTTCACCCTAAGCATGGTAGGCCAGCACCTCCCCCCCCAAAAAAAAATCACTGGTATGTTCTTGCCTCCTTGCCAGAACCAGTGAGTGCTGGACAGATGAGCTGCATCTGACCTTTATCAACACACTCCTGCCTCTTCTCTTCTGGACCAATTGCAATTGAAGAGGGAGCTGGGGAATGGGCAGCACATTACCTGTTGTTGACAGGTGCTGGGTATGGAGGTGGTTGTTGTGTCTGCCCCCCCCCCCCCACCATTGGTGGAGGGATGGGAGGGAGAAATAGAGGAAGCAATACTGGCAGTTCCTTTACAACTCCAGTCTCAGGATTAGGGCAGGGAAATCTCTGTACAGGTGCCTAGGAGGTAATTTATGAAGCAGAATGTAGACACCTCTGCTTTCCTGAGCTTGGAGCTGGAAATAAGGATTGTTTTTACTGTGTTTGGGCTTTGTTTTTGAAGGTGCTTGCCTCAGAACAGTACAATATTTGGTACTTAAGGGGCAAGGTCATAGTAATGATGATTGGCTTTGAAGGCCAGCTTAAATTTGTGACCTTCTCTATTGACTTCTGTCTTCGTGTGCTACATGTTCCTACTGCTTTTAGCATGGATAGTCACTTAGGCTTTAAGCACTATTGAATAAATGCCTTTTCAATTTTATAAACTTCTAGGATTTCCTGCTTGAAACTTTTGTGCTGGAAAAAGGACAGTATGCCTTTCAAACACCCAGAGCTTGGTTTGGTGCTTTCTATGCACTGTGCATCTTTTCAGTCTTTTAACTATAAAATTCTTCCCTGTGATTAAAGGAAAGGAAATATTCACTGGTGGCTGTATTTGTATCAACCTGCTGAAAAACAGCTGAAAAACTGTTTCTCATCTGTAGCAGTACTGATCTTAATGAATAGAGTGTTGGAGACTAGTGAAAGCAATGTGTCCTACAGAGTATGTCCTTAAACATTAGCATTTCAATAGTTAACATATTCTAATTTCTTTATAACAGCTATTGTATTTCAGCACTGAGATAGTGGTGGGTAACAGCTGTAGTTTCAAGTTTACAGGAGTCTCAGATATGGGAAGTCATTGTTCTGATTCCTTCTAAATGACTTGAATACATTTTGCTTGGGAGATATTTTCCATAAGTCTTATATCTCTTTCTTTCTATTTGAACTTTAGTGGTTATATTTTTCTCTGTAGGTAGCATATCTGGGAAGCCTAACAAATAATTTCCCCCTCAAAGTAAAACATGAGCAGCTCCAATTAGTGTAGTTGTTGCTTTCCTTATTCCATACTTAATTATGTAAAATGCAGAAGTTTTCCTCATAGCCATGCCAGTTGGGCTGATGGGAGTTGTACTCCAAGGCATTGTGAGGGCAACAGATTGAGAAAGCTGGTTTAGACTCATGCAGTGGAGTATATGGGGTATAATAGTTTAAATAGGCACAGGAAGCTGATCTCTCTTCAGTTTAAGGATCCCGAAAATAGATGTAGGGCGTTAGTCTCCAAATCTCTTGGGCTTGTGTCTGAAGATCTGTTTGAGGATTAGGTTGTTAAGCTAATTAAAATCCTCCCGTTTGCACATCTTATATTTCACCTTGCATTTCACAGACATTTGAGGGAGCTGCAGTATAAAATAGCAATCTGAATTTTCTTGTAGAATGTATGGAATCCATTCACTTGTTTCCCTTTGTCAAATGTCTAGGTAAAAACTTTGCCTTGTCTAGAAAAGGTGATGTGTGATTATCACAACAGCACATTACAAAGAAAATTTTATTATGCTTTTTTTGGGGATGATTTTCAGTTATGAGAAGTAAGACAAGTAGGATTTCTGTTCTCTTTCCAGTGTAGCACTTGGAAAAGCGCATGGCACACTTCTGCCTGACTATGTAGGCTTTGTGCTCAGCAGGAGCTAAAGTTCTTTAACTTGAAAACTAAATGATCTTCAGCTTCTGTTACTATCATCTTTGCTTCTAAATTTCTAGTGCCTAGGGTTCATGAAGCTGTGTGTTTAGTTAGCTTAGTGTAAAGAACAGACCCAACCCCTTCCCTGTCCATGCATTGTAAACCACTTCAGAAATCAGACACACAATAACGATACTTGTGAAATTGCTTGGGTGAAATCCAGGGTTGCATGGATGAACTTTCCCTTCCTCCTCTCTAGCCTGCACACACAGCAGCCATTCCTGCTCTGGAGAATCCCCAATTCTGTATCAGTTTTGTCGGGCTGCAGGGGAGAGAAAGGGTAAGTCCTGTTGCTGTGGGCAGTATCCAGTGAAGTGGATTTCTGGCTGTGCAGGAAAACCTCCCTCTCCTTCCCTCCATGCATTCTCCAGACCTGTTCTGGAGTATTGGGGGAACTCCCAGAACACATTTGGGTGCACATGGAGAGGAGAAGGAGAGGAAGTTTCATTGCGCAGCCAGAAATTCTATGGCTAATGAAACTTTGTTGAATACCACCCTCTGTTTGCAGACTGACAATTAAATGTTAACCTTTGGGTGCACTAAACATAGCTGTGTTTTATTTTTTTTTTCTATTCTATTCTATTCTATTCTATTCTATTGTCATCCATCATTAAATATTTCCGGGCTGGCTTACAAAAAAACCCCTACAATATATAATATTTAAAAATGTCAGTAATTAATAAAATACAGCAAAAAACCCCAACCCCAGTTTTCTAGCCCAAATATGACTGAGTCACAAGGCTTGTTAGTGGCTGGAAAGCAGAGGTGTGGTATATTTATACTCTGTGCATTTCTAATGAAATTGTACACCTATGTTTTAATATTTTCTATTTTTTTATGTAGATGTCTTGGCATACATATCTAGAGAGGTGCAGTGGGGTGTAGCTATCCTGTTTAGCTGAAATTCTAGGGCTCCAGTCTTGTAATTTGTCTCTTGGAAGTAAGCACCATTGAACTTACTGGGACTTGCCTCCAAGACATGTATAGGATTGTGATGTAAGTAACTGTATCACATATTAAAAAGTTAAAATGTAAACTGTAGTGGTCAACAGTGTGGTATAACTACTAACTTCATAAATAAAAAATAGATTTTTAAAAAAATTAAAAATGTGGAAATCACAGCTGAAGACCAGCGCTGACATGAAATTATTTATATTGTTTCTATATAATTGGGTGTGAAGAAAATATTTCAAAATCTGCCATAGTTTTAAGTGTCAGCTCTTTGCTGGGAAAGAAAATAATCCCATCAGCCTTGTTGACTGTTTACCTTTTTCTTTTTAAAACCTATGTTGACTTGTGGATTCTGAATGAAAAGGAGCATTTTGTCTTGGAGGGAAAGACTGTACTTAATATTTTTCTATAAAAAGTTGCAACCTATTCTACCAATCAGAGTTAGAAATCCGCCAGGTGCATTTTGTGACTGGAGCAGGTCTAACTGACCACGTGGAGATCTCTGGACGCCAGGTTGGCGACTGACATCTCCATCTGGCTGGCCTCTCCAGCTTTCTTAAGCAGGTAAACAGAAGAGCTTATTTATTGTATTAATATCCCACCTTTTTCTCTAAGGAGTGCATGGTTTAAACCCTCCCCCCCAGTTAATCTGTACAACAACCCTGTGAGGTAGCCCTAAGAGGCTGTGACTGGCCAAAGGTCACCCAGTGAGCTTCATGACTGAGTGGGAATTTGAATCCTCGGCTCCCATGTCTTAGTTCAACACTTTAACCACCACACCCCCCTGGCTTCCTAGGGTACTACTGCTATGGGGCAGCTATATAAATTAAACAAAATGTCACTTAGAGAAGGATCTGAAATACTTTTTTTGAAGCTTGAATTTGTTTTATTCTGAATTGTTTGATTTGATGTTTTAATGTGTTGTAAACTTTGAAATTTTTGCTTTAAAATATAAAGTGGTATAGAAATGAAAGCAATAATAATAATAATAAATTTCATTGCATGAAAAAATGGTACTTAGACATTCCATTGTGGCAACTGTAACCTAAATTTAAGGTGCCATCTGAATTTCTAACCCTGCTACCAATTACAGATTTGTACCTTGCCTTTCAATGATTAAGTTGCATAAGAAAAGAACAAATGTAGGTCAACTTGCAGAAGAAATGAATAAATATAGGTCTTCCAAAGACCATAGGATTAAGCAGTAAATGGTAGCTCAGTGGTTTTAGTTCACTGTTGATTTTGTCTGCATGTTAACCTAGTACCACCGCATTGCCAACGTGGGGATCCAGGGCACAGCCCTTCAATGGCTGCGCTCATTTCTCTCTGGTCGGGGACAGAGGGTGGCGCTTGGGGGGGGGGAGAAACTGTCATCACGCCACTCCTTAGGATGTGGAGTGCCGCAGGATGCGATACTCTCCCCGATGCTTTTCAACATCTTTATGTGCCCCCTCGCCCAGCTTGTCCGGAGTTTTGGTTTGGGTTGCCATCACTATGCTGATGACACCCAACTCTACCTGTTGATGGATGGCCATCCTGAGTCGACCCCAGACACACTGATCAAATGTTTGGAAGCTGTGGTTGGATGGTTACGTGGGAGCCGGTTGAACCTAAATCCTTTGAAGACAGAGGTCCTTTGGCTGGGTCGGGACGATATGGGATTGGGGGGCCAACTCCCATATCTTTCGGGGGCGCAATTAGTGCCAGGGCCCTGTTAAGAGTTTGGGTATAATCTTTGACACCTCCCTTTCTATGGAGGCACAGGTTGCAGCTATAACAAAGGCGGCATTTTTTCATCTCCACCAAGCTAAGCGGTTGGCTCCTTACCTCTCTCACCCTGACATAGCCACTGTGATCCACGTGACGGTCACCTCCAGGCTTGATTATTGTAACTCACTCTACGTGGGGCTTTCCTTGAGACAGACCCAGAAACTCCAGCGGGTGCAGAATGCCGCAGTGAGACTCCTTATGGGGTCCTCGCCCCGGAATCACATTCACCTGGTGCTATACCAGCTGCACTGGCTCCCGGTGGAGTACAGGATCAGGTTTAAGGTGCTGGTTTTAACCTTTAAAGCCCTATACGGCCTAGAACCATCATACCTACGGGACCGCCTCTCCTGGTACAGTCATACCTCAGGTTGCGAACGTGATCCATGCGGGAGGCATGTTCGCAACCTGCAGCGCCACATCTGCGTACACGTGTGATGCGATTTGGCACTTCTGCGCATGTGTGTGATGTCATTTTTGCGCTTATGTGCATGCCCAAGCACCGAAACCTGGAAGTAACCCGTTCTGGTACTTCCCGGTTCACCGCGGTCCACAACCTGCAGCGTTCGTAACCCGAGGTATGACTGTATGTCCCATGGAGGACCTTATGGTCTTCAAATAAAAGCATCTTTGAGATCCTGGGCCACAGGGAGGTTAGGCTGGCCTCGACCAGAGCCAGGGCTTTTTTGGCCATGGCCCCAATCTGGTGGAACATTCTGTCACAAGAGACTAGGGCCCTGTAGGACTTGACATCTTTCCGCAGGGCCTGCAAGATAGAGCTGTTCCGCCAGACCTTTGGCCAAGGCACAGTCTAACCCCCTCTCTCCTTCTGTAATCCTCATAGAACCCTAACCCAATGGTTGCCATTAATTTGATTCTTAATTGATTTTAGAATGTATGTTAATTAATTGGCTGTGTGATTTTATGTACACTGTGCTATTTTTACTTGTTGTTAGCCGCTCTGAGCCCGGCTTCGGCTGGGGAGGGCGGGATACAAATAAAAATGTATTATTATTATTATTATTATTATTATTATTACTTACTGCTTGCTAGATTCTTACAAAGAATTCTGGTAATGGGCTGTTTTGTGGTAACTGATCCAAGTTCAGACATGAGTTGACAATTTGGGATGCCCTGAGTGGTCTTCTTGTTACTCACCATTAGGCTTGCCTGCATCTTCACTAGTTAGCATTCATTATAGTACAGCATTAGAGCTGCAGTGGCATAGTGATAGTTACTGGTAATCATAGCTTGTTGTAATACAGAGATTGAGCCAGTTTCTAATCCTATTTGGCAGTTGGGCAGCGTTCTGAGCCACTCTTACCACAAGGTATAGTACGTCCCTTTCCATGTGCAATCAAGATCTGCTACTGCTCTTGTTGCACCCCACAAATTAGTAATTGGTAACTAAATTTCTAGAAAATACCTTTGGCACATGAGTTTTTAAAGAAGAATTGTTTAGCATGATACTGCTTTAGGATCACTTATTAAAAAGTATCATAGAATTGTAGAGTTGGAAAGGACCCTGAGGATCATTGAGTCCAACCCCCTGCAATGCAGGAATATGCCACTGTCCCATTTGGGGATAGTTCTTACATTAATAGTAACTTTTTTCAGGTGCTATATTGACACTGACATCAGGTCTTACTTGTATTTTTGTCACATGTTCTCCAATATGTATACTGAGATTTTTAAAAAAGAAATAAGGTAATCATCAAGACTTGAATGATAATAGCAAATGAATAATAAAACCACAAAATATCTATTGCTCAAGCATGGGGCACTTTGGGAACAAGCCAAAGTCAGGTTTTGGTTGCTGAATCCTGAATTAATTGTGCTCCAATTAACAAATGCATTGCTTACATTGTCATACGTTTTCAGCTGTATCCTATTACCAGCTGTATCAAGTTATTAGATGATACAGCAGTTACTGTAACTGGGTTCACATCCCAGCCTCTGGCTTTATACCCATATATCAACATGGGTTTGTGTTGCTAGAGCAACCACCAACTTCTGGTGTGTAGAGCTGCTGCACAGGACAGATTAGGTTGAAAGTGTGCATGACAAAGGTGAAATTGATGTAGCATTTTGCAGCAACTAACAGTTGCCTTCAGGTGAGTATCAAAGGTGTATGTGTGTGCTACTGTTACTCTCCCCACCCCCACCCCCCCGTCCTCTTTCTGCCTAGGATACAAAGAGTTCTAGTCCCATTGCTTTTGAGGGAGTGTTAGTTGATACCCGTAATTGTGTTAACTGAGATTATTGGTTTGGTGGGCAAAGACAGTGGAATCATCTATACTTTTTCTGGGTGTGTAACTTGTGCAAGGAAGAAAGGCACCACTGACTATTAATTTGTGGGATGGAGGATGAGGGTGTTTTGGCTGAGGGTGAGAGGAACTCCACTTGTGAGGGGGCTCTGCTGTGTCAGTAAACTCTGACTTTGATCCACAGGATCAAAAGCTCCATGGATCACTTCAAGGGCTTCATCCTTGGTTACTCTAGCCTGGAGCTAGTATAGCAAAAATTAATTTAAAAACAGCAGCACATGCGCACCCTGGCTAATGTGGGTCAGCAGGGCTTTGGATGTGCCAGTGGAACTGCTGCTCCACTCCTTCCTGGCTCCTTATTATAACTGCCTTGTTAATCAAGATATAAAATTGTCCTATTTATATTTATATAAATATTTTCCCTTCAATTTCCCCTTCAATTTGTTAGATATGACTAAGTTGGCAGGCAATCTAAAAACTCAGCCCATAAATTTTGGAGGAAAACTTGTGAAAAACCTTGGGTGCAGAGGGAACAGGGACTATATACTTGTTCACTGTGCTAGCTAGGAATGGAGAGAATAGGAGGCTGGAAAGAGATAGGAAAAAATGCTGTTGATTAAGAACACCTGGGAATATTGCTCTCCCCTTTTAGTAGTTCTGTTAGCTAGCATATGTGAGAATTGCCTTGTTAGTGCAAGTGAATGAGGCTTACGAGAGGCCCATTTTGGACTCTTCTTGGTGTTCCTGATTTGAATCCATAGTTCCTGGCTTGGAAGGGAAATATTGTAGGCTGTATCATGAATGGCCAATGGACTTATGCTGGGACTATCTAGAAGTGAAGCAGGGATGAGTAGACACTCCTTGCAGTGTGTGCTTGGCTGAGTTTTATTTCTATAGCAAAGGATTAATCACCTTATTTTGAAGTCATTGATGAAAAAACTGAGATAATGCTCATCAGATTGGCAGATGACACCAAACTTGGAGAGGTAGCTGATGCTGTTGAATACAGAATTGGGATTCAATATGACCTTAGCAGAGTGAATGGAGAACTGGGCCCAAACCAACAATGTGAATTTCAGTAGGGACAAAAGGCAGGCAGAAGCCTAGGTGCCTTGTGGACCACAAGCTTAACATGAGTCAACAGTGTGATGCAGCAGCAAAAAAAGGTAATGATATTCTAGGCTGCATCAACAGAAGTATAGAGTCCACATCAAGGCAAGTAATAGTCCCCTTTATTCTGCCTTGGTCACACCACACCTGGAATACCATGTCCAGTTCTGGGCACCACAGTTTAAGAAGGATGTTGACAAACTAGAATGTGCAGAGGAGGGCAGTCAAGATGATCAAGGGTTCTGGAAACCAAGTCTTATGAGGAGCTGTTAAAGGAGTTGAGTATGTTTAGCCTGGAAGAGGGGAGACTGAGAGGAGATATGATAGCCATCTTCAAATATCTAAAGAGCTGTCACATGGTGGAAGATAGAGCAAGATTTTTTTCTCCTGCTCTGGAGGAGCAATGGCTTCAAGTTACAAGAAAGGAGATTCCAACTAAACATCAGGAAGAACATTCTGACAGTAAGAGCTGGTGGACTCCCCTTGAGAGGTTGTGGACTCCCCTTTCTTGGAGGCCTTTAAGCAGAGCTTGGATGGCCATCTGTCATGGATGCTTTAGTTGAGATTCCTGCATTGCAGGGGGTTGGACTAGATGACCCTTGGTGGTCCCTTCCAACTCGTGATTCTAAGTGCAATTGCATTCTTCAGTGAGGGAACAGTGCCTGTTTCTCCTAAGCAGCTGGAAACAGCATGAGGTTGTATCCTTAATATAGCTTACTTGCTTGTTATCAAAAAGGCATTTCTAATCCAGTTGGTAGTAAAGTTTACCATAGAGTCAAGAAATAATGAGTTGAAATAGTTGAGAATCCTTGATTTGTGTTGGCTGCATGACACCACTTTTTAAGTGTATGTTTTGTTGAACTGAACGATGGGGCGGCAGTGGGCTGAGCACTAAACAAAATACTTATTTAATTGGGAAGTTAGAAATAAATAAAAAAATAGTCTTATTCATTTGGAACTTAAAACCAAAAAGTCAGTACTTAGATGCTAACTTCTTAATTTCTCCATTCTCAATTACAGGAATCTGAAGTAACATCGGAATTGGCTAATGAGAGAGATTGTGATTACAACATTAGGCCAAATGAGAACTCTTACTGCTATCAACTATTACAAGAACTAAATGAGCAGAGAAAAAAGGGCATTCTTTGTGATGTTCATATTGTAGTGAGTGGAAAGGTCTTCAGGGCTCACAAAAACATCCTGGTTGCAGGCAGCCGTTTCTTCAAGACTCTATATTGCTTTACAAACAAAGAAAGCCGTAACCAAACCACTGTTACCTACTTAGATGTTGTTGCTGTTCAAGGCTTCTCTGTCATCTTGGACTTCCTATATTCTGGCAACCTTGTGCTTACAAGCCAGAATGCAATTGAAGTAATGTCAGTGGCCAGCTACCTTCAAATGACAGAGGTTGTCCAATCCTGTCGCAATTTTATCAAAGATGCCTTAAATATAAGTATAAAATCAGAAGCCCCAGAAGCTGTCGTTGTGGATTACAATAGAAGGTCTGTTAGCAGGGATGGATTGTCTTCAAGGGATCAGAAAGTTGCTAGTTTTTGGGCCACACGAAATCTTACTAACTTGGCAAGCAGTATAAAAACTGAAAATGATGGCTACTGCATAGATGAGAGCCAATCTGAAAATTACCAAATGCATGATTGGGTCCAGGACAGCTCACCTGAAATGGCTGAAAATGAATCTCAAGGTGAGGGAAAGGTGTTCGTATGGAATGATATGAGCTCACAGGGACAATCGCTTCAAGAACCTGGAAAAGCAAGAAGGAAAAACCAAACTGCTAAAAGGTTTGTTTACAATATACCACCCAATAATGAAGAAACATTAGAAGAATGTGCAGCTACTCAATCATCGGTCCAATATCCAGAAGATGACTTGCAGTTTATCAAAGAAGAAGCAGGTAAATACTAGTAGCATAGTTTTCCTAAGCACCATGGTTTGTTAAATTCATTGACTTGTCGTAAATCTGTTTAGAACAACCTCTCACATGGAGTAAAATGTGCTGTCTAGGTGTAAACTTGTTCCTCTATAACACACTTTTCCAATTTAGGCTAGTTTAATTTTAAAATTAGATTTATTTTATTGTAGCAACCGCTTTGTTCTGTGTCTTAGAAGTGATACATTTAAGGTAGGGGTGCCAAGGACTCTTAAATAATGCTTCCTTTGCTGTGCTGCTCTGAGACACTTGAGCCTTTTATAAGTAAAAGCGGGAATGGCAGTTGGTTTTATAATTTGATTTAAAATGGGCCAACCCTTAAAGCGAGATGGTGGGGCAATCTGACTTTTCAGTGCCACAAAAGGTATAGATGTTGTTTGCTTCTGAAAGGCTGCTTCCTTTCATAGTTGCCCACTGCTTCAGCGTTCTTAAGTCACATAGGTAATTATTTTATATTGGTTATTAAATTTGTCTTTCCAAGATCACATATTTAAGGAGAAATTACTGGATAGGCATCTTAACACCATTTCTGTGTTTTAAATTATAATAATGGTGAAGATTTTGACTTAATGACATGACCAAGATTGTGGATGCAGCAATTTTAAATGTTCTAGCTTTCCAGTCCTATGTGTTTGCACTTTGTTCTGAATAGGCTACTATTTCATCATATGGGTTCCTGGCATTATAGCTCCTGACAGGGTTCACATTACCACCAAAGACCTTTTTATCTGCTGGGGTGCGGCAGGCTTTTTCTTAAATATGTATTTTTCATTTTTTCGCCAATTAAAACCAGTTTCTAAGAAGTAACTTTTGGCTCATGTTAGATTGTTCATTGATTTGGTGTATATTTCTGCATTAGACCAGTTACTTTCATGTCCTGCAGAAGATGGAAGAGTCTGAAACACTCAGGAGTACATTGTTTTATATAACAATTATCAGGAAGCATTTGTTCTTGCCTAGCTTGCATTTGTCCTTGCACTCTGATAATACCTCTTCCTTGTCTGGATGGAGGATATGTTGAGTGTGTTGAAACTAGCCTATCTTGCAATGATCTCTAGAGCTCATGTGAAATCTTCCCTGAGCCAGGTTTTTCTGTCTTAGAAAGAGCTTTTAAGGCAAAGCTTTCCAAACTGTCCTGAAACGTTAAGTGTGTTGGCTGCACTGTCATGCAAATGCTCCCCGCCCTCCTCCTCGGGCTGGAAAGGGGTTAGTTAACCTCCTGTTTGCTAGTAAAACTGAATTACTGTGTTACAAAATGATGCATGTCTAAAACGTGTGTCACCAACGTAAAAAGTTTGGAAAGTTCTGTTTTAAGACCTCTTCCTTGCTGGGCTCTGAGAAGGTCTCACACAGGTAGTGATGGTCGTGTGGGGGCAGTTCTGGGGTCATTCTGGCTATAGGCGATTTTGGCTTTTCTTGTAGTTCCTGGAACCTACCCCCCATGCAAATTGTGAGTCATCTGTACAACACATTTGCTCATCTAGTGCTTCTCAGTACACACTCAAAATATTTACTCTTCCTAAATCCTAGGTTGACTTGCCGACTTAACTGTGTGAGTATATATTCAGGTCATGATACAAACAGTCCTCAAGAATGAGACTACATTCTTCTGTCCCCTTTACGTTGGAGTATGACCTATCGGAATAGTCTATTAGAACATCAGTATCTATTTGTATAGCATCTATCAGTAGCTATTTGTAGTATTGCAACAAACTGGTGTTTATTTTGCATGGAAAAAGACTGTTTTGCATTGCCTGCAAAATTAACATAAAATTAAATCTACCTGTTTTAAATTTAGTTATTCAGGCTGATGAAATATTCATAGCCAGAAGGGTTCAGTCGGTTTTTTAGTGGATAGGCATTTGATACCCTACCCATTTTCTATGGCTGTTACATGCTGACTTATTTATTCAGACTAAACATGTGCTGATTTTTAACTTTCTTTTTTTGCAAAATTTTGCTTTTCTTGTTCTGAAAATTGCAAAGCTCATGCAGCTGTGCCTTGAGTGTTCTGTGCATTTAAATGTTTAAATCATTTTCATTTGTACATTCACATGTACAATGATGTAGGTCCTTAAGGGATTCTGTGAGATAATTAAGCAATTGACATGTAAGACTGCTTTACATGTTGCTATTACTTTTAACTTGAATAATCCATCGTCTTGTACTTTCTTGTTCAGAGATTAGCTTAATATGCAACATACCATGGTAATATCGGTACCATCATTCTTTCCGTGGTATCAGTCCTTAGAGTAGGTTAAAACGTTTTAAGATTCCAGAACACAGTCAAAAATCTATGAGAAAATTTAAACATTTTCCCCACTGGGCCTGCAAACATTTCCATATCGCCACCAATAGTGACCATAAACTGAATTCTGTCAATGACCACACCTACTGAGGAAAATAATGCCTACTAATCCAGATTTCCAGCATGAAATATGGAGGTGTAGGTTTATTTATTTATTTATTTTTTAAATCATGTTGAGCACAGGAGACAACTGGTATTTAGAGGAGGAATGGGATCTTGTGTCTCACTTTCAGCTCTGCTTTGGAGAAAGTTTGAAACAGTTTCTTCTACTTTTAGTCTTTGTATCTGGTGCAAAATGCGAGAATGTTCAGGCAGTGGCCATTCTACGCTTGTTCAGTGCACACATGCATTGCTGCAACCCAGAAATGGCTGGGCAAAGGGGTGGGGTGAGGGGGGGCTTACGTGGAGGGGGGGCAGAAACTCAACCCCTGCACAAATTGGGGGTTGACAGTAATTTGTTTTGTTACAGGTGTTAGGTAGCAGTAAGAGAATTGCATTCCATCAGACTTTCTATACATCTTAGCGCACAGAGAGAAGATTCTTCCCATTCCCCTGAATTCTTTAGAAGAAGGGAAATAGCAACATCTCATTTTATATGTGATAAACCCACACATTTCCTTCTGAAGAAAAATGGGCAGGACAGTGCTGACCTGAAAGCAAGGACTGATCCACAGCTAAAATTTCTGGACACCTACTTTTTCTGGTGTTTCTAAACAGGGATGACCTCTTCTTAAGAATTATTAAGCCCTGGCTGGATAATTCCTACTAAGATGTATTTTTGAATGAAAACTAATACATAAATTGGAATCTAATTCTGTGGTGGAGAGATGGCAGGGTCAAACCTATGCAGTTATATATTTGTGTGGATATAATGTTGAAGGATGGGTTAAATGATACGAAGACTTGGAATATTTGGACTGTTGGCCTGATACCAGCTGCTGGTGCGTTAGTGCCATGTTTATGGCTAGGAATGGATCATCTTGCTAACTTGGGCTGCATTGCCAACACTTTTTCTGTGTAAGACTACTGAACCTATATTGGCTAGTTCCTGTTTGGGTAAATATTCAGTGCTTAGCAAGGAGGTGATGATTGTGGTTGCTGTAATATGCAGGATACAGTTTTGTGAAGTTGGCTTTCAGTTTCAAATGAATTTTATTTTTCTAGGGATCACACTTAGAATGGGGACTCTGTTACGGATTTGTCCAGTTTGCTGCCTAACAGGCTTCTTGGCTAAATTGTTGAAGGCCTTTGTTGAAAGCCACAGTGATTTCAATATGATATAGAGGATTTCAGCAGGCTTGATGCCTGCCTGCCATAGCAAACAAGTGTGGTGTTGCATATTGCTGAGTTTGTATTGGATTTTTCATTCATTTATATATATGGGGGAGTGTCTGGGGAGACAGGGATGTAAAATGCCTTTGTTATAGACAAAATGCTACCCGGTCAAGATTTGTATCTTGGACACAATTTCCCTTCTGATGGAAACTTACTATTCTAAGGAGTTTTTGTTAGCTTTTATAAATAATTTTAGTGGCCTTGTATCTCATCTGGTAAGCCTGTGGGACAGTGAATTTGATGTAGGATATTCACATGATTGCACAGAGATGCTTTCCGCTACATTTGCAGATCCAGGCAGCCCAGTGGCTTACAGGGTGCATACTCATAGTGAAGCAACATAGGTGACAACTGGTGTGCAAACTGCAGGTCATGCACTCCAAAGAGTCAATTTGAAGACCTGTGGTTTCTTCATTGCAAGACAATAAAATAAAATATACTTGAGTATAAGCCAAATTTTTCAGCACATTTTTTATGCTGAAAAAGCCCCCCTCGGCTTATACTCGAGTGAGGGTCCTTTCGGGCTGCTCCTTCCTCCTCTGCCTTTGCCGCTGTCGGTGGTGGCGGAAGAGGAACGAGCAGCCCGAAAGCAGCCCTTTCGGGCTGTTTGTTCTTCCTCCGCCGCTGCCAGGTTTGTGGTGTGGTGAACTGGCTTATACTCGAGTTATTAAGTTTTCCCAGTTTTTTGTGCTAAAATTAGGTGCCTCAGCTTATGTTCGGGTCGGCTTATATACGGTAAGTATTTCTGTCACTGTTGTGGCAGCAAAGTACCATTTGCTCTAGCTCTTTTAATTATTAAAGAATTGTTGCAGCAATCTTGGAAAGGCTAAAATAAATATATTTCAAGTTAGCAGAAACTTTTGATTTATACTGTTTGGGTAAAATCTAGACTTGCAGTGTTAATCATTTTTAAAAGTTTAATCAACTAAAAGTGCCTTAACGAATCAGCAGCAGATTTTTTAAAAAAAACTTAAGTCTGTTGATTTAAGTGGGTCTACTCTTAGTATAACTAGGTATCTTGCTTTTAACAGTATTTTCCCACTTGATTTGGTTTACCATTGAATAGAAGTATACTCTGTAACTACAGTCAATCATAGTCCCCAGACCAGCACCTCAGGATCCTCATGCATGATTGCCATTGGAATGATATTGCCAGGATGAAAGGGTTAAAATGTTGTTCTTTACTACTACTATTTCTTCCTGTCCATACTCTAAAAGAAGCCCAGGGCAGGTAAAATTATTCCAGGGTAGCTAAAAATGGCAGTTACAAGCTTAAATTGCTGATAGAAATAGCCGAGGAAAGCAGAGCTAATCCATTATACAGTATTGAATGTTCCTGGAACAGGCCTCAGTTGCCAGAGACAGTGGAAATCAAACTTGTGGAGCATTAGCTTTACCATAGAATTATGCTTTCTGCTCAAGATCTTACTTGTACTGGCCAATAAGTAAGAAGGTGTATTCATGTGCCTGTGGGAGTAAGAGGATTTCATATATGGTAAGACTTTTATTGACACTTACTAGTAGCAATCAGTGTTAGAAACTGAGATATGAAAGCTAGGAGCTAAATGGCACCTTAAATCTATTTTATGGGCGCCATAACAGAGTGTCTAGGCACACTTTTTTATAACAAGAATACAAAGCTGAAAATGAATGAACTGCAGATAAAGTCTTATGTTCATTTTTCACATGGTCTAGTCCTCATCTGAAGACTGCAAAAAACAAAGCCATACTTCCCCTACCCGTCCCCCTAATATTCTTGTGAGGGTCCCTTCTCCAGTCTTCAGAGAGTGGCTGGAAGTGGGGAGGCAGAAAAAGGTCCTCCTTTCCTTCCAGCAGTGGCAGTTTCAGTCTGACATCTTAGACGCAGTACTGCACTCAGAGCTCAGAAACTGCTCACATTAATGAAATTCTGTGTTACAAACTGTGCCTAGAGAACAGTGGGAGTTTCGAACACTGGTGGCAATATGTTAGGGCAGCAGCATATGGAGAGAAGATGCTCCCATGCTGCTGTAGTCTGCTGCATCCTGATTGGTTCTAGGTACATTGACTTCTGAGAGCATTGTGGGAAGCTTACAGTAGCTTGTGGTGCGAGAAGGTATTTACTATAGTGATACTGCTTGGGCTGCAGGTAATGCGGTTAGATCCTGAAATGCAGCTTATTGGGCTGTGCACAAATGACCAGGTACTTTAGCTGAATGCTCAAGTGCACCCCCTTTCCCTTTGCACATTCTGTACAACCATTTTAGTAGGTGTGGCTGTTTAGGTCCAAGTTCATCTGTGGAGGCTGAGTTTCACTTATCTCCCAGGATGAATTAGTTTCAGTTGCAGATCTACTATCTGTTTGCTGCTTGGATTTTCTCTTGAATGTGGTAGGTGGGAATGACTGCTGAGGAGCTTTATTTGATAGTGTGCCTGTAATGTAAAACCACAAGTGCTTAGTGTGGTGAGGACTTCAGGAGAGAGTTTCTGTTGTTCCTGCCATATTTTAGATCCTTTTTGATAGCACCTCTTCTGCTACCAGCTTTGGGGGAGAAATGTTGGGTAAATGCAGGTCCTTCCGAAACTGTTACTACTTCCTCACTTGCTACAATTTTTATGAGTCTTTATTTTATTTGATTGCCTGTATGCAACCAGGCATGCCTTTGGGAGGAAGATCAGCATGAAAACGTAACAAATGAAAAGCTATAGGGAGTTCTTTGTCCTTGCAACCCTCCCATAAAAAATGGATTGTGGAAAGTCACTTTGGTTTTGTTTTTCATCAATCTGTGCTTGCCTGCCACAATATTGTGGCAGTACAGGATGTCAGGCTGTTCCTCTGAACGGGTAAAGAAATCTGTCTAGCCACTGACAGTGACGTACAGTTTGTTTCACTACCCATCCACCTTCACCTGTTGCAGGGTTTGTACTCAGGCTTAGCTAAATGCCAGTGCATGACCACTGTGCCTGTGCAGCAGTGTACAAGTCTCACAACTTCACAGTGGCTTCTGCCAAAGATAGAATTTTTTAAAAATGTCTTCATTTAAAATAATATCTACCATTCTTTACAGGCTACTGTATAGATAAAGTAATCATGTGTACTTAATATTTTTTATATAATTTTCTCCTATAACATCTTTCAACAGGTACCTCAAATGATTTCAAGTTTGGAATGTTTCCTGGTATCTCAAGTGATTTCAAGTTTGGATTACCAGGTTCTTCAAACGATTTCAAGTATGGCTTGTTGCCTGAATCCTGGCCAAAAGAAACCTGGGAAAATGGCAAGTATTAAGTATCTATGCAATTACTCTTCTTATATTTGTGATTTCTAACTTTCACCAGGAAGCAAAATAACTGTCTTACTACAGTGGTGCCCTGGGTTACATACACTTCAGGTTACAGACTCCGCTAACCCAGAAATAGTACATTGGGTTAAGAACTTTGCTTCAGGTTGAGAACAGAAATCGCACAATGGCGGTGCGGCGGCAGTGGGAGGCCCCATTAGCTAAAGTGGTGCTTCAGGTTAAGAACAGTTTCAGGTTAAGAACAGACCTCCGGAGCGAATTAAGTACTTAACCCAAGGTACCACTGTGTTAGCTTTCTCATAAACTATTTGCTCATAGACAGTATCTATGATACTTGGGAACTTTTTTCTGTCTGTTGATGAACTACAATGTTGCTTTAATCTTGTTCTCCATTTGAAGTCACTAGGTGGCACTGGTGACCACCAGCTCTGAAATATGGTCTCTCACAATAATATTTGGGAGTAGTCACTGCTTGCAGAAACAGCTAACACTTGCAGTAATAATTGATTAGCAGTGAAAGAGCAGATAGAGATGGCCAGTGGTGAGTAGAAAGGTTTCAGTCTCTGCCCAGACAAGTGAGACAGTGAGGATGCAGATCTCCACTTGCTTATAGGATCTGAGATGAAGCAATGGTAAGCTTGGAGACTACATGCCTGTGTGTTGTGCCCCTATGTATGTGGTATGCATGTGTAATGCTGCTCTCAGGCTGAATTGGTCAGCCATGTCTGATATACATATTCCATTCAGTTTTTAGGAAGGTGCAGGTAAAGCCCAAGAGAAGAGCATTGCATTGGTATTCTTTCATCTGATATGCAAGCCAGAACTAAAACAGGGTCAACAGATATTATTAAGTCTCCAAGTTCATAGAATTGTAGAGTTGGAAGTGACCCTGAGGGTCATCTAGTCCAACCCCCTGCAAGGCAGGAATCTTGGCTAAAGCATCCATGAGAGATGGCCATGCAATATTTGCTTAAAAACTTCCAAGGAAGGAGAGTCCACAACCTCTGGAAGGAGTCTGTTCCACTGTCAAATAGCTCTTACTGTCAGAAAGTTCTTCCTGATGTTTAGTTGGAATCCCCTTTCTTGTAACTTGAAGCCATTAGTTCCAGTGCAGGAGAAAACCTGCTTGTTCACTCTTGTGACAGCCCTTGAGATATTTGAAGATGGCTATCGTATCTCCTCCCAGTCTCTTTTCCAGGTTAAACATACCCAACTCCTTCAACCACTCCTCATAAGGTTTGGTTTCCAGAACTCTTGATCATCTTGATTCCCCTCCTCTGCACATTCTAGTTTGTCAACATCCTTCTTAAATTGTGGTGCCCAGAACTGGACACAGTATTCCAGGTGTGGTGTGACCAAGGCAGAATAAAGTGGGACTATTACTTGCCTTGATGTGGACTCTATACTTCTGTTGATGCAGCCTAGAATAGCATTAGGTTTTTCTTGCTGCTGCATCACACTGATGACTCACGTTAATCTTGTGGTCCACTAAGACCCCTAGATCCTTTTCACATGTACTGCTAGTAAGCCATGTGTCACCCACCTTATATTTGTGCACCTGGTTCTTCCTGCCTAAGTGCATAACCTTACATTTGTCCCTACTGAAATTCATTTTGTTAGTTTCTGCCCAGTTCTCCAACCTGTTGTCATCTTGAATCTTGATTCTGTCTCCAGCAGCATTAGCTACCCCCTCCGAGTTTGGTGTCATCTGCAAATATGATGAGCATCCTTTCAATTCCTTCATCCGAGTCATTTATAAAGACGTTGAACAACAACAGGCCCAGGACAGAACCCCGTGACACCACACTTGCCCTTTTTTTCCAGGTTCATAAGTAATCATTAATGAGCACTCTTTGGGTTCAGTCTATCAACCAGCTAGAAATTGCCTTAACAGCCCATTTTACCATGATATTCTGTGCAAGAACATCATGGGGGACTTTGTCAGAAATCAAGATATACTATGTCCAAAGCATTCCCTTGATCCATCAAGCCTGTAACACTCTGTATAAGAAAAAGAAATGAGACTCATCTGGTGTGACTTGTTTTTGAGAAACTCATACTGACTCTTAGTAATCAAGTTGGATAAACTCCATCTCCAGTGTCACTGAGGCACCAAAAAACAAGTGTTGTTAATGCATCCAGAATTGATGGTGGACAAAGAGTGCCTGAAGTGTGAAACTCTTCTATTTAGAGAAGGGGGAAGAAGAGAAGAGGCAAAGGAGCCAGAGAGCTCCAGAGAAACCCAACTTTCTACCTAAGGGTAGATATTCAGGCCGAATTTGAGATGGTTCTCTTCTCTGGATAGGTCTTGAAGATTTTTGACCCTGCCTTCTGACTTACTCCTTTCCCATCTGCTCTCCTACAGGAATAATGATAATAATAACCAACTACAAAAGATTTCAGTAACATCTGCATATTGGTCATGAAGCACTTTTTGTGTGTTGCTATATTATCGGTTGATATTTGTATGGTCACCATGTCTTTTTTCCTGTATATGATTCTTCTGCGTTTATAGGGCTGTCTTCAACTAGATGTACTCTGGGAAGACATGTTGAATCAGTGGACATGACCAACTGCTAAGTGTCAAATTGCTACTTATTAAATTTGTTTGTGTTTGGATTTTTAGGTGACTCTTCTTTAATCATGAACAAACTGAAGTGTCCACACTGTAACTACGTAGCCAAATACAGAAGAACACTAAAGAGACATTTGCTCATTCATACAGGAGTGAGATCTTTCAGCTGTGACATTTGTGGAAAGCTATTTACTCGTAGAGAACATGTAAAAAGGCATTCCTTGGTATGTAACAGCTTTAAATTACTATAGTGAACTGTTGAGGAGAGCTTGGTGTGGTGGATAATAATTTTTACTTGTCTATAATTCTTCAATCTAATGTGTTTAACAGTGTAATCCTAACCATATCTACTCAAAAGCAAGTCCTGTTGAATTCAGTGGGGCTTACTCCCCAGTAAATGGGGTTAGGGTTGCAGACTTCTGCCAATTTCATGCACAGTTGCAACATTCACTTTCTGAGACCTTGAACTTTCAGGTCATTGCCCTGTCATAATGTTTTAGAGAGTAGTGTCATAGGGTTGTCATGCAGGGCTGGGGAGAGGGAATTGTCTTTCTTCCTCTGCAGCTCTGGGGCTGGAAGGAAGGCTCAGGCTTGTGTTACTTGTCTAAAACTGTCTGAGCATTCGCTGTAGTAAGTAATATTGGTGCACCCTGGCAATAAGACAGCTAAGCTGTTCTGCTTGTAATAAAATTGTGTTTTAATTACTTGTATTTCCAGAAAGTTGCTTTCTGGTTTTGATACTTTTCTAAATCACTGCACAGGAATAGCATAGTTAAACATAAACTCTGGATTCAGTAAGGAATAAAAGTGTTTTTGTAGTTTAAGTCAGGTATCTAGTATAACAATGACAATAGCTATTGTAGTTACATAGGTGACTCTCAACTTACATGAGAGTTATGTTATGGGGATGGTACGCAAAGCCAAAATAATGTATAGTCAAGGCACATTGGGTTCAAAGGTGGGTGAGATTGCCAAATTCTTTTCCCCATAAACTCTCCCTCTTTAAAATATTTTTAAAAAAAAATTCCAGGCACGTAAAGCTGAATGCTTGAACGTTAAATGTACGTAAGTTGTGAGTTAACTGTACTACAGAAACACTGGTGTATTTCTGACGTCTTGTGAAATTCAACATTTTGGGTCTACTATTAATAGTTCGAGTTCATGCTTTGAAAGAGTTAATACAAAATGTGTGAAACTATAATTTGGATTAATAGCAGTGGTCAAAGCAAATTATGATTGATATGAAACATAAGTGACTTATTGACACTGATTCCTCTTGTGCAGGTTCACAAAAAGGATAAAAAGTACAAATGTATGGTGTGTAAGAAGATTTTCATGCTAGCAGCCAGTGTTGGAATAAGACATGGATCTCGACGTTATGGTGTGTGCGTTGACTGTGCAGATAAATCTCAACCAGGAGGGCAAGAAGGAGTAGACCAGGTACAGGACACAGATTTTCCTAGAGATGAAGAGTTTGAAGAAAATGAAGTGGGGGAGGCTGACGAAGAGCTGCCTGATGATGTAGAAGAACAGAACGACCAGACTCGATGGGATGAATCTGGGGAAGTCTCTGTGCCTTTAGAAGACTGAGGTGGCTTGATCTTCTTAAGATGCTTTATTTGGACGTCACATGGATTGACCATGTTGAATTTTTGGACTGAAGGCTTGGAAACATGGTACAGGCTGGATGGAAGTTATGTTGCTGTGAAAATCGTAGGGTCAAAGCCTTATAGCAAAAAAAGGATTATTAATTTTTTTAAGATATTTGCACAGGACTGTAAAGCATACAGCCATTTGGTTGAATTATAGAGTCCTCACATCTACAGTCAATTATCAAAAGAAATGTATTTTTTATTATTTATAGGATATAGCTATTTGGGTCCTAATCAAGCATAGTAATAACTGTGCTTGTGTTACACATCCATGTGTTCTTTAACACGAATGAAGCAAATTGCAATCTTTGGAGTTGACTCCATTGAGATTCCAATCATAGTTTGGACTGCATTGTGAACAAAATGCAGCTAATTTGGGCTAGCGGCTCATGTTTCCTGAAAGGGGATTTTGCTGCACCTCCCTTGCCTTCCCCTCAATGGTTTAAATATCAGCATCTTGATGACATGAAGCTAAGTCTTTTAGTTTTGTCAGGATGTGGTTTAGCTGACAAGTCCTGGAGAACTTAATCATTGATATTTAATTTACTGACTTTCTGGTTTTTGATATCTTGAGTTTGCATAAAGCTACTTTTCACCAAAAATACAATAATGACTTAAAGCTACAAGGAGGATTGTGATTGGAATGAAGTAAATTTCTCCTTGTCACTTAAATAACTTTATATTAGACACTTTCTGGCATGGCTACCCATGTTTTAATTTATGTTTTCTTAGCACTATTCCTATTGGCTATCATTTTTATTCACTACTGTATACCTCAGTCCATCACAAAGCATAGAGTCCTAGAATCTGAGGAGTGTCACAGAAGTAAATGTAATTGGCTTTTTTTTTTTTGGTTTAAATAGTTCAACCCAATTTGTCTGCTTTTGTCTATTTTTGTTATGTGGAAAATTAGACATGAGGCTGTCATTTTTCTTTCTTTTTTGTGCCCCATTGCTCTTCATTAAAGTGAACACAAAATGAACTTTTGCTTCTCTCCTATTTTGGGGGTTCTTTTATATACCAAACTACATTTTAATTGGCAGCTTAATTTGCTGGAACTTTTTTTTTTTAAAAAAATGGTATTTGTTAGTATAACTGCTAGAGCTATTTATCCCCAATGCTCTTTGCTTCTGTTTTTGGATGAGATATTGAAACTTGAATTTTTGTAGCCATAAATCTTTTCTAAACTTGTTATATTGTACCAATGATTTCAGGCCTTTTTCTGAGGGAAGGGAGGGTATTGCACCTTTTTATGCTTAGAATTCTCAATTTCAACTAGCCTGAATGCAAGTGAGCTACCTGAATGCTACCTGCATTCAATATATTTCTATGTCACAATGAATAAATATGCACAGCATTTACCATAACACATAGCTAGGCCAGTGTGATAGTACTGTATTATATAAGTTGAGGGGTCACCATATTTGAGTTTAACTTTAAAATGAGTATATTTTCCTATTTTATATCTGATAACTAAATTATGGTAGTTGTGTGGTAAACTTAATTGCTTTGACAGATGGAATCTTAATGGTGCTCCATCTGATTGAAGTAGATATATATATATATATATTTAAAGAGACGGCTTTATTATCCCTTCTTTCAATACAACAATGGCTTAATGTTAGACACTGTTTCTGCAGGATGAAACAGAGATTATATGGGTATTAAAATGTATAACCTTTTCTATCCAAAACCTTCATTGGTAGAATCCACATCACTGTAAACCTGACAGATGGGTAGCTCTTGCGTTTTACTTTTAAAAAAATGAATACATCTTATTCTCGTTCTAGACTGAAATGAGTAATGTGTAATTCTGGTGGGGTCCAAAGTAGAAAATAGTGGGCAAAGATAATATGAATGGGAAGTATTTTAAACGTTAAGTAAATGTTCTGCTCTGTGAATATGTAAGTTATAGTATAAAGATTCTTCCTCCCCATTTATTCCCCTTAAAATAGTTTACAATTGGTAGATCTATATATATATAAAAAGATATATATATATATATATATCCAAAATCCACCTAAATCTGCTTTATTAGCGCATACTACTCACTTAATGCTTAAACTGGACCTGGCTTTACATTCTTAATGTATTTTACTTATTCTCTTGAAACCGAATCTCCTTTTGCTACTTAAATCATTTATGTATATCTGGTAAATTATGACCAAATTTGTTGTTAGATTGCATACAGTAAATTGAAATATACACTTGGTACACTACAGAATTGTTGTGCTTTTTGTTCGGGTTATATTTTTTGGACAAAATTTTACAGTAGACATATTTAAACTTATGTTGGCCTCAGATTAATTATTTGGATCTTTGGTCAAGTCTTTTAATAGCGTGTCTCAAAGTGTTGTCTTATGTTGTTGCTTGTTTCGAAATACGCTGTCTCTTTAGCATTGTCAGGATTATTTTATTGGAATAAGCAGCCAAAACCTGAGCATCTCAGACCTCTATGCTAGAATCTATAATTCTCTTGGTCAAGTGAAATGTTAATCAAAAAGTCATTTAGAATATGTCTAATCATTTGACTTCTGAAAAAGGTTTTCTTACTACTTTTATAAACCAGCGCAGCAGTTCTCCTCACACTTTTGGTTTTGAAGTCAATTTTAATTTTTAAATTGCTTTCTGGAAAGTGATTATACATTTAGAGTAAGGTACAAATTCTCCAAATACTTTTGGCTCTGATCATGTATAGACATCTTGGTTTAACAATAGACAAGCTAAACACCTTTCAGTCATGTATGTCATTAGCACTTTTTGTTAGAGAAGTTTGTGTATCCAGAAATTCTATGTGTGTGCTTAAAACATAACCTGATGGCCACTTTTTCTAAAATTTCTATGCTCTTGTACATGGTATTACACTCAAGTCTTGTATTTCTTTGTCCATGATTATAAGCCATTTGAAGAAAATTTCTGATGGCCACTAAATGGTGGGTACATGTATACAATTCTTGTTTGTGCTGTTGAAAGATCATGTGTAGAATATAGTCTAGAACTAGCATTGCTAAAGGGTGCCATCCATGCTCCCCTCCCCTCAGTGCAGTTATATGTTAGCACATGCCACATAACCAAAGGCCTGGTTAAAACTAACCCTCTACAGCTTCTCTAGAAAATGAAAGAATTTGATTCAGCGTATAGATTAATTCCATTGAGTACCCTGACGAAATCTACCCTCTCCAGAGTCATTTGAAATTATTTGCAGAAGAGTTAGTGTCCCAAGAGCTGCAACTCCCCTTTACCCCATTTTACATGTTTTCCAGGAACTATTGTGTGAAGACAACTTGGATATCTAACTTTTTGCTTCCTCCCTCTAGAGCAGGGTGTCATTAATTTATCAACTGCTGTCCCTTTGTCTAAGGCAATTCAGTGTGGAATCATAATCTGGATGAAGGAGGTTTCTAATTTTACAATGGTAATGGAAGTTCTTACTGCCAATAAGGATACAATGCAGATTCCATTTGTTCACTTAGGACTAATGAATTCATAAAACATTTCCTGTCCACTTGTTGAATGTTGGTCACTGAAAGGGCTTTAAAAAATACCTTGATGCCATTCTCTGATTAGCTGAGGATATGCTAATGACTACTTTCTTTCTTTTTAGACTGCGACTGAGGTCTATTTTTATTCATATCTGAATATTCTCTTTGTAAGAATATGGCCTAAACAAAATTTATCAAGTGGCACAACATGCAGCTTTTCAATTTGAGCAAATCTTCTAGAAATAAGAGTTAAAGTAACAGCAGAAAAGAATGACTGCTTCCCAGAGTTAGCTCATTGATGCTCTGTTTGCTGTTAATATATTGGAGAATTTTTTCCATTTTTCTTTCTGCAGAATAGATGCCGTATCGACTTGAGATTGCAAACTGTTGAGGTCACAGGACAAGCTGTTAACATGGCTGTGCAGAAAACTGAATTCCTTTTCCTTTTCAGCAATCTGGATAATGGGAAAAGACATGTTAATTTTGAAACAGCAATAAAACTCTGCTCAAAAATCAGTCTTCATCTTTGACTGCTGACTGCATATATAAATATGTATAAAATGGTTGATGAGCATTTGACTCACTGAAAAGTTTGCTTTTGCAAAAACAACAACAACAACAACATGCAGTAGTTCTAGCCCATAAGGTGGTGGTGGGGATGTTTACAGTCTTGCACTACACAATCATCTATATTGAGTGGTCAGTCCAAATGTAGTTCTTCCTAAAGCGTTCCGGGTAAGTAATTGGTGGTTCTGCATAAGACACACGCCTTCCTCTCCACTAAGTATCTTGTCACTTACTACAATGTGGCACCTTAAACACAACACCAATTTGTGGCATACAATGTATTTGAAGAAGATTGCTCTCGCCTTTGAAAACTTACACTACAATAAATGTGTTCCTTTTTAAAACACTACCAGAGTTGTTGCTGACCAACATAGTTATAACTCTGGAATTTATTGCCATTGTTGTAGTTACGGACTTCAGATTTTCTTTTGGGGTGGGAGAGAACTTACCAACAATGGAGTTAGTAATTTGGACATATCTCCAAAGAACTTTTAGCCTCCCAACAACTTTGTGACATACGGGTGTGAACCAGGGGGGAAAGAGACTTGTGTCAGACTTCTCATATTGAGCAGAATTGTAGAGTTGGAAAGGATAATGAGGCACTTATCTAGTCCAATCCCCTGCAGTGCAGAAATCTTTGCCCAATGTGGGGCTAGAAGCCATCACCCTGGTGTTAAGGGTCTCATGCTCTACTGTGTAATGACATAGGTCTGGATTCCTTGCAAACGAGGCCAGTAAGACTAACTTAGGGAAAATGAGCCTTAACAGTCACTTCACAAAGGTAAATCTCTATTCTTTATCAAGGAATGCTGAATTCTGTGACTATAAGTTATGTCAATTTTATCCGGATTTTCCTAATCATGGGGAGTGGAAAAGTTAGGTACAGCACTGATGTTGATACCTCTGACACCTGGATGTCCTGTTGATTATCTGGTTTCTGAGTTTTAACCAAGTGTTGCTTACATACTTCAAAACTGGTTCAGTTTGCAGGTCCATGTAATGCAGCATTGTTTCCCATAGTGGTGTACCAGGTACCTTTGGGAAGCCCGCAGCATAACATTTTTATGATTTACTATATGTACCGCTCCCAGTGGTTTGACTTCACCCCCAAAGGTGCACTCCTCCATTGTCTCCCAAGACATACTGATGCCAACAACTAGATATATTGGGCACTTTTTACAGTTAAGTGTCTCAAGGCAACTTACAGAATATTACAACTAAATAAAAAAGCAATAAAACAAGTCCTAAAGTGCTTATGCAAGGTATATATAAAAAGAATAAATACCATCCAACCCCCTTAAAAGGATCAGCCATAAAAGGATGAGCCACAATGTTACCTGCCAAATTAATGGCCAAAGGCCTGGCTAAATAATGTTTTTGCCTGGTGGCTTTAAAGTAGACAGCCATGTTGCCTGGGAGAGTATTCCAGAAGTGGGAAGCCACCATTGGAATGGCCACTTCTGTGACATGAAGGCTTCTCCCAAGTCTTTCCCAATATCTGGTACTGAGTGGCATCCTTTCTGTGGAACTTCCAGGCTCAAAGAACCATCATGACTAAGTGGCTATTATAAGCTTGATGTGATTCCTTGACAAACCATTTTGGGGCCAGAGAGATATATGAATAGATGGCCACATTTTGCATGTTTTCTGTTGAACAGCCATTTGAGGGGTGTTGGGCTTTCTCTGAGTAAGGAAATACATACGCCTTTGTCTCCACTAAAGATAGTGAAGAGGAGCTAAAGCTTTTGTGATAGCTGAGAGAGTTCTGCAAATAACAGGTTCTCTCAGTTGCCATTGATAGGGGGATCGAAACCTGTAAGTAGAAATGAAGTAAGACAGCTCCTTCGAAAACAGACTTCTCCAACTGATATATTGGAGTTTAGTTCAAGGGAGAAGGTGCAGTTCCCATTAGGGTTGTAAGGGACAGAGTGTGCTGTGGCAGTGCAGGAATGGCAAGTCCTACAACTCTACTGCCTCCACTTTCATCCTCTCTCCCAGCCTTGATAACTAGTGGCTCAACCGCAGTCCCTCTGGCCTTAAGATGCTGCTGGTGCATGCCAGGATGGCCAATGGAAAGGTGATAAACCAACTGTAACGTAATCCTGGAAGAATTTGCCAAACCTATGGTTAACTGATCTGGTGGGATGAAGTGATCAGTGTAAAATCTCATCGATGTGGTCAGGTGCAGCTGAGAGCGGGGGAGTCAGAGTGGCTTCGGCCTGTGACAGTATGGGTAAACCTTTTGCTCCTCCAGGTGTCCCATCAGCGCTAGCAAACAGCCAACAGGCAGTGATAATGGAAATTTTTGTTCAGCAACATCTGGAAGGCCACAGGTTGCCCACATCCGTGGGATAGCTGTCGGTAGAGCATGAGACTTGTCATTTCAGGGTTGTTGGTTCAAGCCCCCTGTTGGGAAAAAAGATTTGGTCCTGTCCAACTCTACAGTTCTATGATTCCTTCGGGTCCATAAGGATTCCACTACCCTTGTCGGATGCCCTGTGCCAACAGTCAGTTTTGAACCTGGGATTGGGGGCCCTAGATAGGATGGGGATTTTCTTGGCGTACTGTCCATGCTACTATCAAGTTTTCCTGCCCAAACTGATGGGCATGGTCTTTGAGGTGGTGGTGGTGAGGACTTCCTTAGTCTTGGGACTTGGAACATACATGCTGAGGCTGCCTTGTCCTGTATGGCATAAGATGAATACCACACACCTCTCAATATATAGACCAGCGCATGCATCGGGACATGAACTGAACTTTTATCTTCTGTACTGGTTTAGGGGACAATTGGAGGAGCTAGAAACGGCTCAGTAGTCACAGATTATCTGAACATTTGACCTATTAGGCACTCCTAGCCCTTGCAGGGATTTAGATGGGTTTCCTGCAGTTTAGCTGGTAGTTCTACTGAGGCCTGACCTCTGGGAATGGTGAGGTGACCCAGGTGATCAACAATCACTCCTAAGTATATTCACCCAAATTGTAGTGGCGCCTTGTTCTGAGCAGCTGAGGGATATGAAGCAATTGGGTTGACAACTAGAGCACAGGTGGCAAAAAATAAAAAAGTGTGATTAAGCTCAGGTAAGAAACTTACTCTGTGATGGTGGCAAAGATATCTTACTTCCTGGCCACCAGGAAAGCCAGCAGAGGTTTTTCTGAGGGGTGAGAAGCCTGCTTTCTTGGCTTGTGGCATCAGCTAGAACCAGCAAAAGGCCAGCTGTGACCAATTGGCATAACATTTGGTAAGCAAGATCACTTGCATTCATTCTGACTTGGATGCCATACTTTTGATTGAGAAGGAGTTAAAGTGGTTGGAGCCCTTTCAGTACAGCGCGTCCCCATCCCCCTATTTTTAAATAGGTCCTCAAAACCTGCATTTAATTGATGCTGGTTTTATATGGCTAAAGTAAGTTGTCCTGGCAAGTGCACAAATACAAATGCAGTGCTTTAATAACAGCAGCAAGCCGTGACTTGGCAAGTTCTTCTCTTGCTCCTTTGCTTGCATACAGTCTCACAATTTGGTAAATGTCCTCCAAAGTGAATAAATTACAGCAGCTTCCTAACAAGCACTCACACCTGGAGGTTGTTACATTATCAGTAGGCTGGGAGAATCCTTGATAAAGTCACATGTCCACTCCTTGCCTCTCCTCCACAATGAGATCGTTTTTGTCCTTTTATTTTCCACTTCCACCAAAGGTTCACTTACATTTTGCAACTGTAAGTATAAATTACATTAATATCCTATGGCTTTTTAAATGTATGGGGCGGTGGTTATTGGTTTGTTTTTGTTTTATGTATTGGGGGTTTTCATTTTGTATTTTTCTGTTGTGAACCACCCTGGGATCTTCAGATGAAGGGCAGTATACAAATTTAATATATAAAAATAATGATGATGTTGGCAAATTCTATACTCAAAGCAAGGAGAGCTCTCACATGTCTTGTCTGCCTGCTAGTTTTATATTCCACACTTCAGTTTTAACTCTCACCTATATTTTTATTTAGAATGTACCTAATGCTGATATATAGCACTGTTTCACATGGGTGTAGCCAAGTGGGGGGGCAAGGAGCAGCTGCCCCCCATCAAGTAAAACAATAGAAATAACTAACTGACCAATCATGTTGGTTCTGTCCCCCCAACAAAAGTCTGGGGCCCCCCTACGCCCATGCTGTTTTATATTTTTATTTTGTAAATTGCTTTGAAAAGTTTGGTACCTTCTTTAAAGGTGGTATACAAATGTGGATTTTTTAAAGGGACATAATAGATGCTCTCCCTGCCCCTGATATAATGCAGTTGCAATGGTATCCATAGTAGCTTTCCTTCCCTGGCAAAAAAAGCAGTTAGGTGGGAGATTTTGTCAGGAGTGCAGCAGAGAAAGGGTTATTAAACACTCTGTGATGCACCACAGTCTCAATTCTGATTCTACACCACCCCCGGCCAGCTGCTAGGAAATACAATCACACGCCTCACAAAATGGTCTCAGTTGTGGCCTGAGGTCAATGGCCATTCCCATATTTTGTGCCAGTGCATGTGTTGCATGAAGAATTAGATGGAGGTGGAAGCTCACTTGTACTGGGAGTGCAGGCTAAAAAATAAACGCTGTTTGAGAAGTGCACAGATAAACTTACCTCTTTATGCAAGTGAGCAATGTGCTCTACCAAATGAGTCTTTTCTCTTTGCAGCTTGGAATTTTCCAGTTGAACTTTGCCACGTCTCTTTTCTAAATCTATTAGCTGCGACTGAAGCAGCTGCCCATTCTGATCCATAGATTTCCTTTCTTGCTGGAGGTGAAGTACCTATTTACCAATGGCTTCTATTAGCATTGATTAATGTCTAGGCATTGCTCTAATTTTAATTCCCCCTGCCCTGATAACTCACTGTAGCATCACAGGCTTCCTGTGCATGGGATTAAGCAAGTGTGTTTAGAAGAGAGCTGGGGCTACTGCTATACAGTGGTACCTCGCAAGACGAATGCCTCGCAAGACAAAAAACTCGCTAGACGAAAGGGTTTTTTGTTTTTTGAGCTGCTTCGCAAGACGATTTTCGCTATGGGCTTGCTTCGCAAGACGGAAACGTCTTACAAGTTTGTTTCCTTTTCTTAACACCGTTAATACAGTTGCGACTTGACTTCGAGGAGCAACTCATAGAACGCGGTGTGGTAGCCTTTTTTGAGGTTTTTAAAGACTTTGGTGATTTTTGAAGCTTTTCCAAAACTTTCCCAACACCGTGCTTTGCAAGACGAAAAGAATCGCAAGACGACAAAACTTGCAGAACGAATTAATTTCGTCTTGCGAGGCACCACTGTAATGCCAACCTTTTACTTAGCAATGGGGTGTTCTTTCAGGCTATTGTAACATTAGGACAGTTGCTTTTCTCTTAGGGTTGTACTCAACTAAGTTTTACTTGGAGTAGATCCATGGAAACCAATGAACCCAAGTCATAACCATTAATTTCAATGAGTCTACTCTGAGTAGGGTTAACAGCAGATACAATCTTTAGTTTTGGAATATACAGCCCATTTAACTATGTAACCATTACTTAGTATGTAGAACCAATGAGCTGACCAGATACTCAGATGCTCTAGAGGAATAAGTGCATGTGGTCTGAAGCACTGTTTTCATGCATCTCCCGTTCTCCTTAAATTACCTTTCTGTAGTTAATGCAGGAAACATGCTAGGCACTGTTTGGAAATTAAGATGATGTTTTACAACCTAAAGCGTACCTTCTGTGATGAGGCATTTTGGGCCACTTGCCTCCTGGTAGAAATCTGCATGGGATTTCAAGAACCAGGTTCCTTACCCAGCAAGGCACAAGCAGGTGTTGCTAATCTATAGTCAGTCACCAGATTTACTAGTGCACAACACTCTCTAGTAAGACTGCATCATCACCATCACTGTGATATTTCTTGCCTGTCCTTCACCAGAGAGTCCCAGGCGGGGTTACAACAATTTAGAAAAACAGTATTAAAAACTGTGGCAGTAAGCCGGTGACTGTGTAGATACACAAAATTATATTTAAAAGGAGCAAAGTGGCCCTTTGGGATAAAAGGGAAATGACTGGTGCTGGATTCATTGCAAATTTTGTGTCAGATCAACACCATGAGCACGAAGTTTGATCCCTGGACAATATTTGGACAAATATTGTTCTAAATTGCTGCATCCAACACAATTCTATTTGGAAAGTTGCTGTTATATTGATAGTCAGGTCCTTTCTTTTCACCTTCAAAAATGTGTGAAGTGCTCTAATTGCAGCAAGCTTTACATTCTACCAATGCAGTTGACTTAAAATATATATGAGTGCAGAGACCTGCTCCTGGACCTTGGAAACTCTCTGTCTTTCATTCTGTAGTTGTGTCTTCAAGTAGGTAAGCTCTCTCTCTAATTGCCATTCTCTGTCTCTCCCTGATGCTAGCTCAAACGCTCTTCTTGAATGGGAGGTGCTCTCATCCTCTCTCAGCTGTTTCTCCTATAGCATTGATATGAGTTAAGAGTGTACATTAGCCAAAACAGTCATGCAGGTAATAAACGAGGGACATGGTACACATCCTTTTGCTTGCTATTTCTCTCCCACCTTACAGCATTGCTTCAGTAAACATGTCACATTCTTGTTCCTTTTCCTAGCCTCAAAGACCTACTGATTCCTTAAAGCTAAGAGTGCGCCGCATCACACTGGTGAATATAGAACAGCTCCATGGGCAGAGTGCAGAAATAGCTTTCCTTATAGTCTAACCCTGGGGTGGGGAGTCTGTGCCCCTCCAGATCTGTGACTACAACTCCCATCTGGCTGTTGGCCATGCTGCCTAGGACTGTTGGGAGTTAAGGGTTCAACGACATCTGGAGGACTATAGGTGCCTGCCAGGGTGGCCTTCCAGTCTAAAGGAGCTGCAAGCTCTTTAAGGCTAGAGTGCCACCCATGCAGGGGCATAATGCTTTATAGTAATGCCACAGGGGCTCCATTTTGCCATCTCCTGTGAGAAGGGGGAAGAGCATGCTGTATACAAAACAGATGCAGTTTGCTGTTGTTCAGTTAAGGGCAATTGTTAACCTCTCAGCGGCAAATTGCATGCCTGTGTAAATTGGTACAATCTGAAGATAGATGGGACATATCATTTTGGGTGTTTTGTGCTGTAGTATGCATGTTATGGCATATGCTATCTGCTTTTAGCACTTACCAGTCTGGGCATACTTATGCCCTGTCTTTGGGAGTTGCAATAGGTTCTCTGGTTCTGCAGTATAAACTCATTGATCTGTTAATATAGAGACTTTGCATTCAAGAGGACTACAGCCATGCAACTGCTTTGTATAGGACCAGCTTTGTCCTGTTTTCTGACATTTTCTCTGCTGCTGTGCAAGCAAGTTATCTGCTTCACTGCCATTGCAGAAGCATTGATTAGTTGCCAGGTCATGCTCTAGCCAACTTGTTGAAATATTTCTTTGCTATGAGAGAGAGCACAGAGTTCTGCTGCTATTTCCAGCTACTTGGCCATAATAAGATGTATAGCAGGCACCCCCAACCTTCAGCCCTCCAGATGTTTTGGACTACAATTCCCATCATCCCTGACCACTGGTCCTGTTAGCTAGGGATCATGGGAATTGTAGGCCAAAACATCTGGAGGGCTGCAGGTTGGGGATGCCTGATGTATAGTAAGGGAAAGCTGCTACAATGCCAATCTTGGGCCATGGCAGAAATCCTGGTATAGGCTGCACTGGCCATGGGACTTGTACATCATGTTCAATGAGCTACTGCCTTGTTCTGGTTGTTTAGCTTCTGTAGTGAATGCATTCTAGCAAAACTATTCGCATCTATTTTATTTGTTTTTGATCTGTGCCTTCCCCACCCAACCAAAAACAACAACATAAAAAGCTAATATTGAAAATCTTGTTAGCTTTTCAAATCTTTTTCTAGATAGAAATTGAAGACCAAGAACTAACACACTGCATACTAGAAAAATACTTACTCTGCCCAGCTGCCTAGTCGCTTTCAGCACTTGAGCTTGTAAGAGGCCATTTTCCCTTGTCAGATGCCCACAATCTTCTGACATCTTGTCACGTAAATATTTGTCCTCATCAGCTGAAAGCTCTTTTTCCTTGAGGACTTGCCTTAATTTTTCACTCTCCTCACTAAATGCACATAATTATAAATATTGGTTCATATGGGGTATTCTCAATACAATATATTTTTAAAAATTATATATGACAATCTTATAATGCCCTTGCTGAAGACAAATCTGGGGAGTTGTATGGCCATTTCATGCACACCAGAACTGTAAGCGAAGTCTGCTTGTACTAAACAAAAATTGCTAGCCATTCATAGCTGTAGATTATTACGAACTTTAGGGAAAATCCCACCCTTCAGTTTAGTAGACCTTCAGCATCTAGTCCTCCGATATATTAGCCAAAAGTTCTAATGGTTCACCATCTCAAGCACATTGGTAAATCCTGCAAAGATGAACCACTCTTTAATAAGTTGCACAGCATGTTTTCATACACAAGTCATTGGTCACCCAAGTGAGAATTGCAGAGGCTCAATAGTTATGAAAATATTAAAAGACAGGGAGTTGTTGTCTGCCTACCTAAGTTCTTTTGCAATGTGCTGCTGTACGGACTGGGAGCCGATAAGTAATTTCTCCTCTAGTTGATGAAGTAATGCCTGCAGCTGTAGGCATTCTGATCTGCTTTCTGTGAGTTTTTGTTCTGTAGCTTGGTGCTGCTGAATCTGCAGCTGAAGCTGAATAAAGCAGACTGTGAAAGCAAACGCTGAACATTCTCTGCCCCCACCATGTTTTATTACTCTGATCATTAGAATTAATTACTACTTCTAGTGAGAAAAAGGTTCAAATACAGAAGGGTTTTCTAAGTGATCTGTTTATAGTACAATAAATTCACAGTTGCTACCCACTGGTTACACAGCGTTGAGATGACTTCTTCCAAGCAACACGCTGGTAACTGGGATATTGCATTTTCCTAGCACTGGATTTGTTTATTTTGTGCCTTAAAAGTAAAGGTAAAGGGACCCCTGACCGTTAGGTCCAGTCATGACCGACTCTGGGGTTGCGGCGCTCATCTCGCTTTACTGGCCGAGGGAGCCGGCATACAGCTTCTGGGTCATGTGGCCAGCATGACTAAGCTGCTTCTGGCGAACCAGAGCAGCGCACAGAAATGCTGTTTACCTTCCCGCCAGAGCGGTACCTATTTATCTACTTGCACTCTGACATACTTTCGAACTGCTAGGTTGGGCAGGAGCTGGGACCGAGCAATGGGAGCTCACCCCATCTCAGGGATTCGAACCTCCAACCTTCTGAATGGCAAGTCCTAGGCTCAGTGGTTTAACCCACAGCACCACCCGTGTCCCCCATCTTGTGCCTTGGGAGCATGCAATTCTTCATTAGCTTCCTGCTGGAGTGACAGGTAACAACTTGCAGCCTTGGATGTGGTTGCACATCTCTCCCTCCACACCAAAAGTCTCCTCCAGTGGGTCTTGGATGAGCAGAAGTCGAGCTGCATCTTGACCTGCATTAGCAACATACTTGAAAAGCTCTTTGCTTATGGGGATTTAGTGCACCTATTGACTAGTTGATGTGATGTGCCATTATAGTGATGGCACATAGGTATGTCCCCTCTATGCTTGCAGTAATTTTGAGCTCTTGGAATAAAAATAATGAGGATGCAGCTCTTCTGCTACATCAGTACAGTGCTCATCTGGCATTAATTTAGCGCTTTTGTTATGTGCAAGCTAAAAAGGTATATGAAAAAGCCCTTGAAGTGAATACGGCTTTCAGAATACGGTTTGAGTGAGATCCAGCAATAGTACAAACAGGGGCCTGCTGGCATGACAACTGGGCTTCGGCTTGCTCTCCCCACCCCCCCAGCACACCCACAAAACCTGCCCCAAAGGGCTGGAGGACTCTCTGAAGCAGAATTTGGGGGGGACATAGGGGACTTCAGGGAGGAGGAGAGAAACTGAAAGACCCATTGAACAAGTAAATTCCTTTTGTCCCAGTTGACGGACATCACTGGACGCCACTTTGCGTTGGAGTTTGTGGTAAAGAAAACAGGATGTGTTCAGGGGTGTCACTTGATTTAGCTGGGTCCACTGTTTTATCTCTTGATCATTCAGATGAGAAGGAGGAGTTTGGACTTAATATACTGCCTTTCACTCCCCTTAAGGAGTCTCAAAGCAGCTAACAATCTCCTTTCCCTTCCTCCCCCCCAACAAACACTCTGTGAGGTGAGTGAGGCTGAGAGACTTCAAAGAAGTGTGACTAGCCCAAGGTCACCCAGCAGCTGCATGTGGAGGAGCGGGGAAGCGAACCCAGTTCACCAGACTATGAGTCCACCCCTCTTAACCACTACACTATGCTGGCTTAACAGCTTAATGTGGCAGCAATTCCTCATATCCAGAACATTTATGAAAGATGGGTTTATTATGAAGTTAGAATAGCTCACCTGAGATTCCAAAAGATGGGCCTCGTGCTCTTTTTCCTTCACTGAATTTGCAGTGAGCTGTATGTTTCTCTGAATTTTTAGCAGTTCTTCTGCCTTGTGTGAAACATTCTGAGTGGAGATGTCAGCCAGTTGCTTCAGCTTTGTAGCATCCTCTATTAAGGCCATCTTTTCTTTAGCATTTGCATCTGCAGGAAATTATCAGGTTCACTCCAGCATTTAAAATCTTTACTATCTTCCCATAAACTTCAGTTTCTTTTTGCAGATAACTTTTCAGGTGATGTATGTTTTAAAAGACATCCAGATATTCCTAAGGTAGTTTTTCTAAGAACCATGCTCAGCGGGGTATGTCCCATTTTGCCACTTGAGGTGAAACAGGAAGTGCCCACTTGCCTTGTCACTGCTGCCACCACCTACCTCCTCCTGCTGCTGCCACCACTTGCTCTGCCACTGCAGCACACCCTGTCACAGGCAATTATAGGCAATATTGCACTGATTTTGGCCTCTGGTGGAGATGGACAGGGCAGGGCACCAACAGGTGTTCCATCTAGGGGTTTTCTGCCACCTGAGGCAGCAGTCTCACTCTGCCTAATGGCTAGGCTGGCTCTGACCATACTAAACTGGAAACATGTCCCTTTGAGCTAAAGGGGGGCTTATTTCCAAATAAAGCATGCTTATGATTGGGCTGTGAGATACTCTGATGTACAGCCCAATCCACAGCTTGGCATATAATGTCAGAACAAGCAGTATTTCAGGTTATGGCAGCTGAAGAAGCCCAGCAAGAAGTTTACAGCCTGATAACAAGGAAGCCATATACAAGTTATGCCTATTCCTACATGCAAAACCTTAAATATTTGTGTAAGCTTTCAATATCCCTAGTTCTTGAAAGAGAGCTAGGAAGATTTAAGCTAGGACTGTAAGTCAGTGTTGGGTCATGTATCAGTTTCATTGTGAAAAAGTGTTGAGGGCAGGGGTAAATTTTGCAAGGGGGCCATATTCTAGAAACTCATTCTGGAGTGAAGTTACCAGTGAAAGAGACAGACATTTGTGCCTTGATCCAGCACAGGTTGCATGGGGAAAGGGTAGTGCCACACTGTGTTGGAAAGCAATGCAGCATCTGCACTCAAGATGTGTACAGTAAGCCTGCAACTTGCACACATTTAACTTGTGCACATACTGTTTTACATGATTGGCAACTTGAAAATAAAAATAAAAATGGAAAGGGAGCAGGCATCCAGCAAATAAGACTTTGTCCATTCCACCTGCCATTTTACCTAATGGATAGTGCTTAAGGTGGATGAACTGAAGATGTATCCATCATTGGTATAGTTGGATGTTAGCCTCTTCCATAAGAGAAGTATCCTAGCTGTATACAAAAGCCAAGCTAGCATCAGTTCATTATTTATGAATGTATCTTGATTGTAAGAACAACTACTCTTGGAACAGTTCATTATTACCCGATAGTATTTGAAGTCGTCTGTATATTGCACGGATTTCAGCTTCAACTATCTTGGTGCTGTTTTCCTTCTGTACAGTTTCTATTTGGGCTGTGTTTATTGCAGTCTCTAGTTCCTTTAAAATATATGCTGTAGGTTAGCATCATGCAAAAACAAATGTGGAAGACAAATGTTGAAGCCAAATAACAAAAAATATATAGTTAAGATATTACAATATCATTTGGGGATCCACAATGAATCTACAAATGTGCATATAATCTAGAGAGCTAGATGCAAAGATTCAGCTCTGCCTTTAATACATTTGTTGTGCTTGTGACTTCCAATCCAGCATATGCATTGCTCTGTCTGGACTGAGGTAATGAGGCTGGAGGTATTTATGTATTTTTAATGAATTTTTATGCACAGTGGTGCTCTGAAAGACTGAGATTGCACGTCAGTGGACAAATAGTACGTGTTCAAAGTAGTTCAAATGCTGTTGCATTGAGCATACTGACTGCACTGAAACTTGCACTGTATCTAATCCGTAAGTGAACTTTTAAGTTTCAGTTATGTGATTTCTGATTGTCTCTCCGTCTAGTCAATATCTACTTGTTTTAAATACTGGTAGAAGTATTCTGCATTTTATTCCTAAGAGCCAGCTATGCTGCCTTGCCAAAGTGAAAATGGCTAGGAGCACTTAGAAGGTTTGACTGGAAGATGGGTTATGTTGAGACTGCTAGGTTTATTTTTAATAGGGTATTTGGTCCATAACGGGAGGTTTTAAGCTTACATCTAACACCTCTGTACTGTATACTATTAGTGTACAGTTAATACCTATTCCTAAGTGATGTTTCCTATATAAATGCAGTGACTATGCAACTGTGAGAACAAATTTCTGTGAAACAAATGTGAGCCTGACCATGCATCAAAACCAATTACTCTTTGTAGTAAAATGGACTGAAAAAGACACTGATTCAAAGAACCATGTATGCATGCATGAAGTGCTTCTGTACATGCACAGAGACTTCCCATATCATTTTACTTCCAGCTGGGCAGCACCTCATGCCTTCCTAGATCTCACACTGGAAGGGTCTACATAAAGTGGCTTTCTGGAGGACACAGGGACCTTCTGTAGGAAGGGTGTTTCTGTTAAAGCTGTCCAGGCCTGTAGATTAGCTCCTTGAGTCCCAATGACAGTTGACAGATTACAAATTAACAGTTGTTTACAAATAGAATTCATCCAAAGGCAAGAAAACTTTGGGAGTTACCTTTATTTTTTGCAGCATTTTTTCAGCTTCTCTGGTAACTTGGGGTTGGACGCTTGTAGCCTTTTTAGCCCTCTCCCTAGTTTACGATGGATAATTAAGGAGCATTTGTTTGAGATGTTGGAAGGTCAGTTCATATGTTTTGGAAATACCAATCACATTAACAATCCCGCGCTGTATGCAAATTTGCTATCGGTTTGAGATACCCTCTAATAATTTCTGCAGTGCTAATGAATGCACCCCTCCCCCACAACAGAAAATAGCTGCTTTCCAATTCAGATTTTAAGAAATTTGAGGAGGGTAGCTGGGGAATGGGTACAATCCTGAAGTAAGCTGCACTGAGCCCAATGGGAGAGTTAAATATATCTCCCACTCTAATCACTCACATAAATGTCTTGCTATTTGTCTAGTTTACTTAACAGGTATTAAAAGTTACATATAACCCTGAGCGAAAGGAGAGTTGGGTATCGTGAAATAGATGTTAGTCATGACATGTGGCCTTGAATAAGTCAACAAAGCGTGACTCATGGGTGTCCTGACTTGTAAAAGCAGGAAACTGCTTTTGTGCCTCAACTAGCATAATTGACATATTTGTGTTAGAAGCCTTTCCTGGCTGGTGCCTACTTTAGCAGGTACATAAAGTGTTAGCCTCAGAATAGCAGACACACATATAAAGGAGTATAGAAGACATAACTACTGACAATAACACTTCATGCATATGATGCACTGGTATATTCCAGGCCTGTTCTGTGCCTAGTTTTCACTAGAGGAGAGGTCCCCAAATGGTGGTCTGTGAGCTTCATTCAGCTGGTCCACAGTATGTGGTAGTGGTGCCCTCCCTGTGAAACACCCTCTCTTCAGATGTCAAGGAAGTAAACAACTATCTGACTTTTAGAAGACATCTGAATGCAGCCCTGTATCGGGAAGTTTTCAATGTTTGATGTTTTAGTAAGTTCTGATATATGCTGTGAGCTGCCCAGAGTGGCTGGTGAAACCCAGCCAGATGTGCAGAAGTAAAAATAATAAAATTATTATTATGTCTGCATTAAAAAGCAGTACATATTTTAAATCGTATTTTATTGCTTTTATACTTCATTTTGCTGCATTACAGTTTGAATTCAAATTACAAAACAATAAAAGAGCTACAGTTTTCAAAGGGCGTGAATGGCCAATTCCTCTTCCCAGGGAGCTCTGGAAACTGTAGTTCTGTGAGGGGAACAGGGTTTTCCTAACTACTCTCTGCACCCTTCACAAGCTACAGTTCCCAGGAATGTGGCATGCTGCTGCTTTGCAGTTGGCGCTTGAGAGGTGTGCAAATTTCAGTCATTCTTTTATTAGGATAATGAAAAAGGTTCCCTGTAGGATAAAGTTAAACATAAAGGAACTGCCTTCTCTCTCCTTGCATGGCTTTCCAGTGGCACTGAAAATAATTCTGGCAGATACGTTGTGGCCTGTTTCTGACTAGGCAGACAGAGACCTGACTTCAAGCTGTCAGTATAAAGAACATAAAAGGAATGCAGTACTTTGCCCCTCAAAGGATGGCCTTCCATATTCCTGAGGTAAAGTAGAGATGAAAGACTAAGCTCTGGTTGCCAGAGATTTAATATGCTGCCAGCTAAGCTTACAGCTAAATTTCTTGTCTGAGATAAACTGATGTTAAGAGAAAGGGTTTCACAGTCTCTGTGAAGCCAAAAGCACACACAGCTGGTCGCAATTTGCCTCTCACAGAGGGAAAAGTCTGTTACTACAGTCATCCCTGCATATGTTTTTGGATGCATTCACTTATGGGATCAAGGGCCCAAAAGCAGGGTCCATTTCACATGCATCATCAAATTGTGGTAGGCATTACTCCCCCCTCTGGTAATACGCTTTTAAATATGGTAAATGCCACCATTTACTGCTTGTGGCATTAACCATATTTAAAAGAGTATGTGAAATAACACTTTTAAATTTACCAAGGGTTATTTGAAATGTGGATATTTATTTTGAATAATTTAGGCTGGAAACCTGTGCCAACTTACCTGGAACTCAGAGGGACTTACTTCTGAGTAGACATGTATAGGATTGCAGTGTCATAGAATTGTAGAGTTGGAAAGGACTCTGAGAATCATAGTTGGGCTTTTCCCTGCACACACATCCAGAGTGAATTTGATTTAAATCAAATCAATTCAAATCACGATTCAAATAACTAGTCAGTAAGACTTGATTTAAATCGTGTTTTTTTACAGAAAGACTCATTCTTGCTGGTATAACCTTAATATTTACAACTAGATGAAGGTTTCATTTTTGGAATAATAAATTTTCAGAGTAGTTTTTTACACTTATATCAAAAGCTACTGATTTGGTTATACTATTAGAAATACATAGACAGATAATTATGAAATTATTGTTTAATAAGTTAACTGCTTATATTTGGACAACTTTTCTGCTGTTCTTTATTGGAAGGAGAAAAATGATCATTTCCTTAATAACAATTTAAATGATTTATTTCACTAAAACGACAATGTTATAGCATATGTATCCATGTTTGTTAACTGATGTGGTTAAACAATTAAAAAAAACACCTTAGATTTTAGCACACATGAAAAACTTGAAACAAATCCTTATTTCCTGATGAATAGCCTTTGGACTATAATGTAAATTAAATAGAAATCTATCTTTAGAAAGATTTTCCCTTCAAAAGCATTTTATTTTTAAAATCTGATTTAAGGCTTCGTGAGGTCCGGCGACACCCGAGTAGGAGGCAGCTGAGTCGCTGCTGAGTCGCCCCGTGTTTTCTGCCTTGTCAGCCTGGGCTCCGGCAACAAGATGAGTATTGGAGGCTTGGATCAGAATGAGGAGTTCTACCAACAACTGTGGCTGCAGGAGCTGTACGGCAAGAAGAACGAGGAAGGCAGTAAGGACCCTTTCACATACATGGACCCAGCAGATGGGACGCAGTATGAGTGGGATTGTGACAAGAAGGCCTGGTTCCCAAAGGTTACTGAAGATTTCCTGGCAACATATCATGCTAACTACGGCTTTCCCACTGAAAGTTCAGATAATTCACCTGTATCTCTTGCAAACACTGAATCTAAAACTCCTGCAGACTCAAAGACTACCAAGGTCCAGCAGCCAACAGATCCAAAAGCATATCAGGCAACAGATCTTCAACAAAAAGGAAAGAGAATAAAACCTGATGCAGGATGGTTTCATGTTGAAGAACAGAGAAACACGAATGTCTATGTGACAGGTTTACCACCAGACATTACAAAAGATGAGTTTGTGCAGGTTATGTCAAAATGTGGTATTGTTATGCGTGATCCGCAAACGGAGGAGCCTAAAATTAAACTTTACAAAGACAAAGAAGGAAATCTCAAAGGAGATGGGCTCTGCTGCTACTTAAAGAGAGAATCTGTTGAACTAGCATTACAACTTTTGGATGAAAATGAAATTAGAGGCTGCAAATTGCATGTGGAAGTTGCACAGTTTCAACTGAAGGGGGAGTACGATGCCAGCAGGAAGAAGAAGAAATGCAAAGACTACAAGAAGAAGCTGTCTCAACAACAAAAACTGCTGGATTGGAGACCGGAGAAGAAAGATGGCAGCGTTCGAATGCGGCACGAGCGTGTTATCATTATCAGGAACATGTTCCACCCAAGCGATTTTGAGGAAGAACCTTTAGTGCTGAATGAGATAAGAGAAGATCTTCGGACAGAATGTGAAAAGTTTGGACAAGTAAAGAAAGTCATTCTATTTGATAGGCACCCAGATGGTGTTGCTTCTGTGTCATTTAAAGAAGCAGAAGAAGGAGATGTCTGCAAACAGGCACTCAACGGGCGATGGTTTGGTGGACGTCAGCTCTCTGTGGAGACCTGGGATGGTGTAACAGATTACCAGGTTGAGGAGACTTCAAGAGAAAGGGAAGAGAGACTGAAGGGTTGGCAGAAGTTTTTAGGTGATCCAAATACAGAAATGCCGAAAACAGCATCTGACGCAGATTCTTCAGAAACTGGTGTCCAGCTTCCAGAAGGCGTTCAGCCATCTAAAGATAACAGTGCATCTGAGGGTGGCCCAAAGGGTGAAGCAGCTGAGAGAGGAGATAATGGCAAGGGTACAAATGAAGATGTCACAGCATCCACAGACAGCAGCGTTGCAGGCAGTGACGAGGAAGCGGAGACATCTTTAACTCATTTGTAAAAGCATCTATGTAGGGTAACCTCTAAATCTCAGTTATCCTGTGCTTCAAAGTAACTGCAGGCAGCATTCAAATGAATATGTATGCATTACCCTATTGAGATACCAGCTTGTTTTTGAGGTGTTTCATTAAAAGCAACATTTAATGATCATCTTTAAAAACATATGTTCATATCTGCTGCTGTCCAAGCTGTGTGTATGTGTCCATAAGTTGCCCAGAGCCTGCTGAACTGAGCAGCTGTCTTACATTATATCTTTGCTTGTCAGTGTTCGAAGTCCGTAAGTATAAGCAGGTATAAACATGCAGTTCCTATTAACTGCACAATGACCTTTAGAATTAGAGGTATCCCAATTTTAGCTCCCAATTTTCTAAATGCCCCAAACTTTGGGTGTTTCAGTACTTATTTGGATGAGCTGGCTTTCCTGATACTACACACATTTAAAATAACAGATCACTGAGAATACATTACAGTATTGGCACCCTGTACATGTAGCTGGGGAGTGGAAAAAATAATTATCACCTGCAATTAATAAAGATAAATGTTCTGAAAGTGCTCTCCTTGGATGCAAAGTTTTAGATGACTGAAGATCCCCATTCATTTTAATTCATTTTAAATCCTGATGAGATTAGATGACAAATAGGAAAAATGTGTAAATAAGACTAACTAACTCTGATCTCTGTTTTTAAGTTTTTGATGATGACTTCATATTGGAAACAAAGCAAGAGCTTGTGTGGTGGAAATGTGATTTTATTTTTCATATTATTGTGTTCAAATGTAGTTTGGTTTCAGGCATTTGTCAAGGGTGATGAGCATATGGAGCCTGTTCTTTTTGTATACTTGGTTTGACTACAGGAGACTACAAATGAAATTGTTTTGAGATTCCCTCTCAAAATTGTTGCTCAAATTTTTAAAGGCAGGCATTTGTTTACAGATACAAGCCATTCAGAACCAGCACACATTTGTCTTTAGGTTTTAAACATACCTGCCTTTCCAAATGTTGAATATAAAATTATTTTCCAGTATCATTTTTAACAAGATCTATCAAATCAACTGCACTAAAAACCACCAAACCGTTACTATTTTTAAGCTCAGTTCAGACATAATGAGAAGCCATGAACTTCCATGATGAGAATGAGCAGCAGTGGGCATCTTCCTCTTAATATTTTATATTTGGGAATATGGGATTGTGTTTAAAAAAATTAAAGCGAGAGAGACATTAAATTTGCATCACACTCAAAAAAATTCAATTTAAATAAAAAAAGATTTAAATCAAAAAGATCTGATTTTTTTATTTTTAAAAATTTATTTGATTTTTATCCACCCTGCACACATCTCATTCAAAAGTAGTCAAAGCCTAAAAATGGAAGGATGGAGGCTCAAGCTTTTCTCAAAGGTATTACTTCAGTGGTGTCCAAACTTTTTACAAAAGGGCCAGATTTGATGACATGAAGGGCCGTCAGGGCCGACCAAAGGGCCTTTTTTTAGGATTGAAGTTGTCGCGCTTTTTTAGGATTTTACCCCAAAGTTGTTGAGGGTTTTTTAGGATTTTACCTCAGGAAATAAACTGCCTCAGCGGCCGGATTGAACCTACTGGCGGGCCGGATTAGGCCCCCAGAATGGACTTCGGACATGCCTGTATTACTTAAAAACCCCATGTCCAAATTTCAGCAGTCCGAGGCACTCTTCCGTATTGCCACTTTACAACATCCACGATGAGAGATCTTGAATTCTCATCTGATTCTGAGCCCTATTCAGCTTTCTTTTCATTTCCTGATTACTAGATTTCAGAGGAGAGCATGCTTTCTGGAGTGGCTCTATATCAGGCTTCCTCAACCTTGGCCCTCCAGATGTTTTTGGCCTACAACTCCCATGATCCCTAGCTAGCAGGACCAGTGGTCAGGGATGATGGGAATTGTAGTCTCAAAACATCTGGAGGGCCGAGGTTAAGGAAGCCTGCTCTATATAATATTGGGGCTGAACCAACGAACTTTGCTGCTTGAGGTGGGAAATCCAAGCAGACCACCTTTCCACAATCCCACATACCACGTGAGTTACAATCCAGCAGGAAGTTGTCTTTTCCATTCCTCTCACAACCAATAGACACCATGGCCATTCATACACAAGAATGGGTGGACCAATGGTATGACTTGGTCCAAGACAGCTTGCAATGTTCCTAACTCTACCTAGCTGAAGCCGCTGCCTCTCCAAATGTACGACAAAAATCGTGTTCAGGTTACAGCAAGAAAAATTGCAAATTTGTATACTGTCCTATTAATAGAAGATATGACACATGTTTTCTAAATAAAGGAACATGCAAATATTTTTGAACAAGTAAAAAAACAAAAAGGCTTACGGATGTATAAATAAAACCAATGAATGACAGTTTTCCAAAACAAGAAAAACTGGGATTCACAATATTCCAGTTTCCTAAATATTGTTTGTGGGGTGAGTGTGTGTAAACAGTTCAGAGTTTTCATAGCTACTTCTACTAAAACAGTATTACTTCAAAGGATATAGATATGACGTCTCACATTCCAGTAAGCAGACTTGTTTTTGCAAATTCTTTATGTACTCTGCTTCAATCGCGCCCAGAGAGTCCATTGTGCTGGTGGTGGTGGTGGTGGTGTAAAGGTGAAACAAAGCATACTTTGAAACAGCACAGGTAAGGAAAAAACAATGGGTGGTATCATCCCATCAGTGCAAGAATTTCCATTTGAGTAATGAGACTCCTCCCTTCCCATGCTCCTCAAATCTGGTCCAGAGGTTTAAGGGAACCCCCAGAACAGATTTAGGGGGCACACAGGACAGCACATTTTTAACATACAAAGGGGGGGGGAGTTCCTCCCTAGTCCTCCTGAATTCCCCCTCTTTCCAGTTATGCCTTTTCAGTTCTGCTTGGCCCTGGCTTACATCTGGACAAAACAAAATGCAGATTTCAATTCTGTTTGCGTTCTCCTCTAGACTCTGTGATGTAGGATTTGTCCCCCAGTTTTAAGCAAATCCTGTGCCTGTGTAGCCCGCTGGCATAAATGGGCCTGTTACTTTAAGGAGATTCAAGCATTCAAGCTCTTGGGTACGGACTTGGGTGGGAGGAGGGGAGGCTGGGCATTGGCTTTGAAGACCTGGTAAGGCAAATCGGAATCATTCTTCAGTGAAGTAATTGTGTGCCTGCATAATCTTATACTGGATTACATACAGACAAATATGACAGCACAGACAGTTACAGCACAGCTAGTTAAAGCATAGTAAACATAGCTCTGAATAGGATCGGTCCAGCCTATTATGATCCCTGGCCTGCTGTTGTCCACTTTTTTTCCAACCAGGGACAGGAGACAACGTCAGCCTGTTCCAAAGATTTATGTGAAGCAGGAATTTTGGAGTTCTTGATACTCTTAGTTAGATTTTAAATGCCAAGTTTCTTTACGTTGCAATAATTCACTATTAAAGTACATGCTTCATGACATTTATTTAAATGAAGATTCAGAATCCCCTTCTGCGTTATTCTATAGTGTCCATGCTGAGAGCCAGCATGGTGTAGTGGTTAAGAGCGATAGACTCGTAATCTGGTGACCCGGGTTCGCGTCCCCGCTCCTCCACATGCAGCTGCTGGGTGACCTTGGGCTAGTCACACTTCTCTGAAGTCTCTCAGCCTCACTCACCTCAGAGTGTTTGTTGTGGGGGAGGAAGGGAAAGGAGGTTGTTAGCCACTTTGAGACTCCTTAGGGTAGTGATAAAGCGGGATATCAAATCCAAACTACTCCTCCTCCTCCTCCTCCTCCTCCTCTTTGGAGTTGATTCCTGCCAGTGAAAATTCATTTTATAAAGGCTTGAAATTGGGGGAATGCAGAGGGAGTCCCAGTGTACAAGCAGAAGTCCTTGTGCTGACAGGAGGCTTCCTTTAGATGCAACCCGCTTTTTATTAATTTTTACACCTTCTGCAATCTTAGGAGTTTTGTAAAAGCTTCCAAATCAATTTATATTGCCTTTCGTCCCCCAGCCCCCAGTGTCACATTAAAAAATGGCAAGCCAAATGTCAAAGGTGTTGTTGTTGTTGTTGCTGTTAAAATTTGTATACCACTCTTGCATTATTGTTGAAAAATAAACTTCTAGGAAGAAAGGTAACAAAATTCAAGGTGGGTTTTTTTTAAATAAAAAAAATTGAAGCCAATTTTATCTATTTTAGTAAGTTAACATCCCACTTTATCTTCAAAAAGAAACCAAAGTGGTTAACAATAAGGAGAGGATACCAAAGGCCAATATACAAAAATTAATCAAACTAATGGAAAGAGGAGTGATGTGTATTTGTGTGTTTGTTAAGCAAGTTGAAAGAGATGACTGCAGGTCATGCAAGAAAAAAATAATGATGTTGCATGTTGTATAATGAGACCATCCCCATCTTCCAGTGTAGATTGGGACCCTGAAATTCAGCAGATTTCCCATTCAGTGGCAACAACATGTGCTTGTTGTAGCAAAGCTGATATCGTAGTAATAGCCAGTAATTGCTTTCAGAGTGCTACAGTGGGCATTTTGCTGAACTCTAAATGAGCCAGATCAAAAATAGATTTGGGTAGAATGTTCATGTTATCTTGTTGAAGCGTTGTCTTATCTTTATATTCCAGGTAGGGTGGATAACAATCTTTAATGTATTAATGATGCTCCAAAATGCAGGGTTCCAGTGCTAGCCTGAGGCTTCCCTCATAGGTCTCAAGGTAACTGCTTTATTTTATACTCACATGGAATCAGGTAGAAATCAGCTTCTTTGTCAGAGACTGAAATGTTACAAGTATATTTAAGCATTTTCAATGGTAAATACAGATAAAATGTCTAACTCAAAGGAACCCCTATTCTCACCTCCCTCCTCTCCATGTGTATATATCACTCACACTGAAGCAAGTTATTAGATCAATATTGTGTAAATATTGAGATCAGTTGTAGACATTAAGCGATATCATGTTCACCATAATAGTCTTGATTATTTAAAGCTAGTCCAAGTCCTGTATAATGTAATGGGTAATGTGTGTGTGTGTGTGTGTGTGTGTGTGTGTGTGTGTGTGTTTTGGGACACCTTTGCTTCTACCTGCTGTGCAAATTCTCCACTCAGCATGATTGGGGAACTGGTTAGAAGCAAATCCTATAATCTATATTGGGGGGGAAATGAAGGTATTATTATGACTGCATGACCATTCCTTTTGAATTTGCTCTTACCTTGCAATTAGGAAGCATTGTTGATGTGATTATAATTACTGTTGGGGTGAGGAGCTGAAATGACTGTTTTGTTTTAATTAAAAATGTATTAAAAATATGGTCCGCTAAAAAGACCAGCTGCATAAAAGTTTAATGTGTTAGGCAAGAGCCACTGTGCCCACTTTCCCTGGTCCAACTGAACCCACTGGGACTCGTGGCTGAGTAGACAGGCATTGAATTCTATGATTCTATGAATTACACTATTCATCATTTATCCACAAGATGCTCCTTAAAAACCATTTCAGCTTTGCCAACAATGCTACTGGCTAGGTGGGTTGGTGATGTCACTTTTACAGCTGGGAAACTGAGGCAGCAAGCTAAAGAAATGATTTAGAAGATTTCTCTTATGTCCGACTTGAGGGGGATGGGTAAACGACCCTCAAGGAGTTAAAGAGGCGTGTGGACCTTTCAGCTTCGCTTTCTGCTGGCCAGTCTCTGGAAAACCCATCCAAACTCCTTGCCCCTCGGGCAGGTCGCTCCCTTAGAGCCAATCCTCTCTATATGCAGAGTATTCAGATGCAGATCAGCCCTGCCAGATACACTTACCTGCTCACATCGATGACTCCTACGAGGGCGAAGCTACTAAACGCTGTGAAGCCCAACTCTTGGTCCAAGTTCAGCGCTGTTTGCTTGCTTGGCTTCTGTCGCTGCTATAGAAACCTTCCCTCCTCCTCCTCCTCCTTCTCCTGCGCAGACTCTTTGAGAGGCTCGTCAATGCAGACACTGTCCTCTACTAACTCTCTGATTCCCAAACTTTTCAAGCCACCCCCCCCCCGGTACATAAACACCCCGCAACCCTTCCCTATTAAAAAACCCCACCATTATTCAGAATAGCGGGTTGCACGACTCTCTAAAGAAGAAGATAATACAATGAAATGCAAAACAGGAACTATCAATTGCACATTTATTCAAAATCCAATTGAAACAGAAAATCCAATTGATTCAACAGAACAGATGAACTTGACCTAGCTATACCAGCTTTTTTTTAAAAAAAAAAAGATAAGGATAGAAATATAACTGAAAAAAGAGGGGGGTGTTATTGGTTAGTTTTTGTTTTTGTTCTTGTTTTTATCATGTATTTCGTGTTTTTATATTCTTACCTTGTGAACTGCCCTGATACCTGCTGATGAAGGATGGTATGCAAATTTAATAAATGATGATGATGGCAATAATAATAATAATACATGCTTATGATTGCTGTAAAAAGATGCAATCATATGAACATTACCTGGAAATAAGCTTGCAAACATCTGGCTTGAGATTTCCATCGTGCTTATCATCCTCTGTTTTTTCTTCCAGACTGGTTAAGAGCTTTGATGCACTTGACAGCTTGCACAGTTCTTTGTGACTGTTTAATTACGCCAAATAAAAGCATTAACTGCTTTTATTACTAGAATAATGTGCATATTTTAATTGTTAAAAATTATACTTATTAGTCATTTTAAAATGAAAAGTAAGCTCAAAGCGACTTACAACGTAATACAAAAATAAAAGCCCATATTAAGGTGAAACGAAATAAAAGCCAAAAACATTCAAGAGGCCTCACTTTAGAATATGACAGTGGAATTTTATACTATTTTTAAATTGTGATGTGCAACTCCGTAATATTTTTCTATCAGAGGAACTTTCTTTTGGAGTTGGGAAAAGCAAGCCGCCCTACACAAAATTAGACGATTGGACTGCCCAACTCAGTATTGTCTAAAGTGATTGGCAGCTCCTCTCCAGGGAACGTTCCCTGCCTTGGGGATGGCAGGGATCGAACCTGGGGCCTTCTCCATGCAAAAGAGATGCTGAATTGTCCACTTAAGATCAGTAACAAAAGGCCTACAGGAACACAACTTGTTTCCAACTGATCAAGTTGTTTGCATGGTTTACATTGGCATTGGGTGGCAAGCAGGATTCTTGCACCTTCCACAGCTGTGTGGCACGCGGAAATTCAGCAGGTTAATCCTGTTTCGGTATGGAAACTCAATTAAGGGGAAAACCTCTGTTTGTTGATACTCTGTCACACATATTATTATTTGTGAGTGACCCCTCCACCTCACTTGTAAAAGAGGCCATAAATTTGCACGTGGTATGTCTTCTTTTTGCAAGTGGGGTGGAGTATGCCATCTACAATAGGGTTCCCTGTTCCTACCCATTGTTCCCCAAGCTGTTGTTGTTTAGTCGTGTCCGACTCTTCGTGACCCCATGGACCAGAGCACGCCAGGCACTCCTGTCTTCCACTGCCTCCCGCAGTTTGGTCAAACTCATGCTGGTAGCTTCGAGAACACTATCCAACCATCTCGTCCTCTGTCGTCCCCTTCTCCTTGGGCCCTCCATCTTTCCCAATATCAGGGTCTTGTCCAGGGAGTCTTCTCTTCTCATGAGGTGGCCAAAGTATTGGAGCCTCAGCTTCAGGATCTGTCCTTCCAGTGAGCACTCAGGGCTGATTTCCTTAAGAATGGATACGTTTGATCTTCTTGCAGTCCATGGGACTCTCAAGAGTCTCCTCCAGGACCATAATTCAAAAGCATCAATTCTTCGGTGATCAACCTTCTTTATGGTCCAGCTCTCACTTCCATGCATCACTACTTGGAAAACCATAGCTTTAACTATACGGACCTTTGTCAGCACAGTAATGTCTCTGCTTTTTAAGATGCTGTCTAGGTTTGTCATAAACATAAGTAAATGCTTTGCTGTTGAAAAGCGTTTTGAAAGTGCTGCATCTGTTTCCAGCTTCACATTCCTCTTCTGGTGAGCATTTGTGTCGAAAGGTCCCAAGGTATCTAAGAATAATGGAAGTAAAATGAAAAACCTTCTAATGCTGTGGAACATAGCACCATGCGCCTCTCACTCCCTTCCTCTCCTGCTAGAAGGAAGCCCCAGAAGAAACCTGGGGCCAAGGCTTCAGCAAGTTTATTGTCCGCAAGGCATTTGGCTGGCCTATAAAGGAGCTTTGTGGGTAGTAGAAAAAGGGGCCCCGTTTCCCCTTTGTGTCAGCACAGCACAGCACAAGGAGATACAGCAACTGGGTTAAATATAGGTCTCCGCAGCAGGCAGGGCAGTGTTGATCTCACTCTGCTTTAGCTGCGGTAAAGGTCTAGATAGGATTGGTCTGCTAGGCTGCAGTGCAAACGGGAGCATACTCTTCCACTTTTCTGAAGTGATTAGTGGTTTGAATTCCAGCCCAGGTTACCTAACCCCTCACATGACTTCGGGGGATTTTGGCTCCTCTTCTCCATTTTAGGTCTTTGCTGTTTTGGAGGCTGCTGCTGCAGCAGCACTGAATTTCCCAGTGACATCTGCAGCTGTGACCCCTGCAGTGAGAATCCACTAATTCCTTCCATCTGTCTAGATGGGCCACTAAAGCAATGGCTGCAATGTTTCAAGAGCTGAGTGCTGAGAATTTCCCCATTGGAGGCTCTACTTGAGCCATCCAGTCTAAGCAGGAATATGTGACCCATCTTCAAAAAGTGGTGCATCTTTCTTTCTGCACCTTCTCTCCCCCCCCCCCCCCGTGGATCAATGCAGCCCCTGGGAGTTTTGCACGAGAATTGGGACCTGTTCTCTGTGCAAATGCTTACAGGGCAGAGCTAAAGGGCCAATGGGGCAGGGTGGGGGGAGGAGGAGACCTGACCTTTTGTTAGATTATTAACATTTCCCCTTTTTTGTTTTCTGTTTTGCATTAGTTAGCAGCCTTTCCCAAGATTCAAGGTGTTTTACATAATAAAACTATGCAGCCATCCTAATCTGAAAAGACATGTGTTACACCCCATCTAAAAATCTTGCCACAGGTGGGAGAATCTCAAAGGGGAGACCGGTACATAGCCTTAGGGCAACAATTCTTTTAGGCTCCTCCTAAAATAGTGTTATTCAGGCAGGTCTTTGAAATGTTAATTTATTCTTGCCAACCAGTATTTATTGATGTTTTAACCAATGTTTTCATTGATCTTATTATAATTTTTGTATGTTGTGCGGGGTTTTTTATGACACTGTGGTTGATAAATATTTAAACAAAGAAATTACTTTTAGCTGCAGGGCTTCTAATCTCACAGGGAAAGTAGCACATAAAAGTTTCTGGGAAGGCAACTGTAGCAGGGCAAGGAGAAAGGCACTGCCTACCCACAAAGCAGGACAATTTGCTGTGATTTACATCTTCTCCTCACACCAGATATGTATATTGACCCCCTTAGAGGCATTGGCTGTCAGTGTGCAGCTGCCAGTCTAGAAGTCAAGATGTGCAACTCAAAAAACTGGAATCAGTGATGGAATGCAAAAAAAGCTTGCTCACCCATTAGCTTGTATCTGTGCCCAGTGTATCTCCACACATGTGTTATTGTGAAAAAGTGTTACTTACGGAGTTGTACAGCTCAAACATTGGGTGCACAAATTGTACATATGTTTTTGCATGATGGCTAATCTTGTTGCCACTAGTGTCTGACTTCAATAGGCCTTTTATCCTGATATGCGTACTCATTCCCTCAAACCAAGATAGTAAGAACTGAGTTGTAAAAGCTATTGTTTCATGATTTTTTTTAAAAAAAATTATTTGTTATCTTTTTCTTTTAATTTGGATTTTTATGCACTAGTAGGAAGGGGAAAGGGAGAATAGGTCAGTTGATCCTGTTTTGTTAAGAAGAAGGGGGGAAAACCCCAGTCAATAACAGCATACAAATTAATTAAAAAGTATAGCTTTCCCTCTCTGAATCCCTTGCATCATTGAACTGCTGAACTGTTTCATTGCCTTAAAGCAGGCATGGCCAAACTTGGCCCTCCAGCTGTTTTGGGACTACAATTCCCATCATCCCTGACCACTGGGATGGGAGTTGTAGTTCCAAAACAGCTGGAGGGCCAATTTTGGCCATGCCTACCTTAAACTGCCACTGGTCTTGTTAGCTAGGGATGATGGGAGTTGTAGTCCCAAAACAGGGGGAGGGCCAATTTTGGCCATTCCTACCTTAAACTGCCAGCCCAGCAGTTCAAAAGCACGTCAAAGTGCAAGTAGATAAATAGGTACCGCTCTGGTGGGAAGGTAAACAGTGTTTCTGTGCACTGCTCTGGTTTCGCCATGCTGGCCACATGACCCAGAAGCAGTCTGTGGACAAACGCCGGCTTCCTCAGCCTATAGAGCGAGATGTACGCGTAACCCGAGTCGTCCGCATCTGGACCTAACAGTCAGGGGTCCCTTTACCTTTACCTTAAAGAGAGAGAGAGAGAGGCACAGTCTCAATCCTTTCTGGAATTGGCATCTTCTGATGTGGTATTCCTGCCTCCTACAGCCCAGAGGCATCAACATCTGAGACACTCGCTTTCGTTATGACGTCACAGGCCCTGGAGCTGAGCTCCAACCATCCAAACAGATTCTGAGGCAGAATCCTTCTGCGCTTTTGCTCCAATTAATTTAGTGAGAATGTGACATTTAATAACTTTTAATTTAGTGAGAATGAATGCAGATGTTACTAAGCTGCAGTTCCTATCAACGCCACCTGCACTGCCAGTTGTATCGACTATCTGGAAAGACGACAGGCGTTAGCTGCTTTGTAAAGAGCAGTTTTAGGGATTTTAAAGCTGCAAACACACTTTCTCACCACAAGAGGGCAACCTATGATAAAGATTTGCTCAACGAAGACATATCTAATAAGATGGGTTTTCCAGCTAGTTTTGATGTCTTTCTGTTCTAGGTGCTGTTGTGCTGGATATAGAGGAGCCGGTTGCAGGGAATCCATGCTGGACTGGTAAAGGTGCAAAAGTCTTGTGATGGAGAATATTCTTGCAGGTATATTTTATTCCAATATTTGGGTACCATTTTGAATAGGGTACACAGGGCTTAGCATCTCATGGTGTCATAGGTGCCAGGCACCCACAAATTTAGGTGTCAGGGCCATGCAACCACAGCTGTGGGGCCAAGCCAGCACTCCTGCATGGTGTACCTCACGGGTCAGCGAACTTTTTCATCAGGGGGCCGGTCCAATGTCCCTCAGACCTTGTGGGGGGCCGGACCACATTCTGAAGAAAAAAATGGAACGAATTCTTATGCCCCACAAATAACCCAGAGATGCATTTTAAATAAAAGGACACATTCTACTTGTGTAAAAACACGCTGATTCCTGGATTGGCTGCAGGCCGGATTTAGAAGGCGATTGGGCTGGATCCGGGCCCCGGGCCTTAGTTTGCCTACCCATGGTGTACACGGTTGAGCAAAGGGAGTTTTGATTACAATAGTAGTCTTCAGCATAGCTGTACTTACGCAAGAATGTTTGCTTCTTAGGACTATCCAAACATGAAGGAAAAGTGTGTATCAAAATATTAAAGTCTCGCTTCCCTTCCGCTAGTGAAATGGGTCTAGCGTATATAAATCAGAGTTATCTCAAATCATTATAACATATGGACAAATATTGGTGTTTAAAATTATTTAAAGACATTGGGGTTTGTTTGCTTTTTTGGTCTTGTCTTTATATCCATCCATCGTTTTGTAATCTGTTCCGAAGAAGAGCCATCACATGTGTTGGACTTTTGAACCCTTTCAATTGCTTAAATTCCATATTCCAATAAGTGGATTAGTACATTAGATTTGGCTGTGTGTTCCCCTGCCTTTGCTGGTGTCCCCCCCCCCCATCTTTTTGTTTCAACACAAAAAGTAGCCCAAGGAAAATTGTCCCCACGACAAAGTTTATACAACAAATGCCTTTATTACATGAAACAGTTCAACATACTGCATGGTAGTAAATCAATTATAAGTGCATTTAAGTAATGTTTCTGGACATCATAACAGTCTCAATAGTTCCGCAAGACTTCTTCTGAGTCTTCTGACTCAGTTCAAGCAAGTGCAACTAATGGAATAGCCATTAACAGTAAAATACAAGAAAACAATGATATTTAGACTAGATAAGCAACAGCATATTTGTCACAACCAAACATCACAAAGCAGAGCTCACATACTGAAGACCATCACTAAAATGATTTGTTTTTTAAAACCAACATACTAATCTATTCCAAACAATCCGTTCTTGAACAATGTTACTTCAGTAACTCAGATATTTGTTTGCTTCCCCCCCCTCCAAGAGGAAATATTTTATTTTTTTGCAATTATTATAAAGGAAGGGGGGAAGAGGAGGGCACAAGAAAAGATGTAAACATGTTGTGGTCTTTTGTTTTAAAGCCCATTGAGAGCAAAATACATTACATGCCACAAAGAAAGTGCATTTTATCTGGTGCCATCCATCAGAGCCAGCTTAAAAATCTCAAATTCCACTTCTAAACTCAGTGTTGTGAATTTACATAGGATTAGAGTTATTTATAAACTTCTGGTGTAAAATAGCTAGAAAACATTTTGATCAATGCATAAAGCCTTTTGTAATTAATTCATAAAGTAATACAAAACACATTTTATTTCCTTAGAGTACAGCGATAAAAACACAAAACATTTAACCTTACAGACCTATTTTTATATATCTTTATAATGTATATAGATATATTTATATACAAACACACAATATACCAAAAACTAGCAAAGCACTTCAAAACAGTCAGTTCCCCTGTCCTCTACCCCCTGGGTTTTGAAACCTGAACTAGTTTTATTTTATTTTTTTTGCACTTACAGTCTGATAGGAATCCACAGAAGTAGTAATCAGAGTATATGTATCTGGCTAAAAATTATATAAAAAGACAGAACATTTTGCTTTTCAAATAACCTTCTAAATATATATTAAAAGTATCCAGTATTTCCATTAGTGCCAAAATTGGAAGCTCTCTTTGTCAAATATTTATAAAGTGAATTCCCCATATTAAAACAGACAATAAAAGAAACTCCTCCTGAAAACCAAAGGATGACTCACTCTCATTGCATTCTTTGGAAGGAGCTCCATTGATTCCAGTGGAAGTGAAACCGCAGGCATATGACATAGTCTTACAGGTTCTGAAACACGTTAGTAAATTTTGCAGCATTCACCTAGGGATAAGTTGCCTCCTGTCCCCGTGTCAGACTAGAGGTAGGCTGCAGTTATTCCCCAGATAGACTCGTGCTAAATTTTGGTGGACGAAATTCCACTCCCTGCTCCGAGGTATGCTTGACTCTAATCTGAGGCTAACCTAAAGTCACCTCCTTGGCACAGGGAGCACAATATACTACTGTGAAAAAGCCCTCTAGTAATGTAGTAATTGTAGCTCTATCTGCGCATTGTTCAAGGCTCAGCCCTTCAGTATGATGTTTGCAGGCAGATTCCTCCAAATCTGCATAGATCCCCAGTTGTAAGAACATCATATTGTATAACTGGAGTCCTAGGAGACTAGCAAGAGACTTTCATCCTGTTTTGGACGGATGCTAGTTTTCCTAAAATTGTATTGTTAATCAGGCAAAAGGAAATATTTGGCACTGTGTTTACAATAAAATATGGCAGGATTTTAACTCATTAGCACTACAGTAAAAAATAAAATTTAACAACACCATTTTTACTCTGCAACTCTGCTCCGTTACAATGGCATATTCAGAATCTTGACTAGGTTTTCAAAAGTTACTTCTTAAGTTGGCTGGCGGTATTTGAAAAGATCAAAACCACTTAACCCAGACTTCCTCAACTTCATGCCCATCCAGATATTTTGAACTATTCCTCCCCAAACAATCCTACCCAGCACAGCAACACTAGCTGGAGTTGGCGGAGGTGGTCATAGTCTAAAATATATTGAAGGCATCGGTGTGGGGAAGACTGGCCCAACTCTCTATGGCAACCAGTTTCAAGTAACCACTCACAGGGCTGAATGTACACAGTCACTGATAGAGCAGGATGTAGAATGGACAGCCCAATGCAAACACCACTTAACCTCCTCAGAGTTAAGGCTCACCGACAAACACCCATGTCTCCTGCCTAAAAATAAATGGGAAATGAAAGCAGTTCAATTGCTTTCCCTTTGTCTTAAAACTGCATTACCTACAGCAGGCTTCCTCAACCTTGGCCCTCCAGTTGTTTTTGGCCTACAACTCCCATGATCCCTAGCTAGCAGGACTAGTGTCAGGCATGATGGGAATTGTAGTCTCAAACATCTGGAGGGCCGACGTTGAGGAAGCCTGACCTAGAGGGAGAGAAATACACATTTCTTCCGCGACGCCATTCCTTTTCGTCCCTCTAAAGCAGAATTTGAAGTGTGCCAAGAATGGAAATTCGAGCAATTCACCATGGGCGGCATTTAACCATTTTAGTAGACCTTTAGGAAGATTTCTGCAAAGGTATAACGTAACACATGTTCTTATGAAAAATGCATAGTTTTACAGTTACAGATACATTCATTAAAATCCATAGATTCTTCTGGGAGCAGACATAAATCAAAACACAGTTTTCCTGCAAACGTTAACTGTGGAAGCAGTAATTCCGGGGCAGGGAACCTCAGGTGTGGGAGCCAAATGTGTCCCTCAGGACTTTCCACAGGCTACACCCCCTCGCTGGCCCTACCTCTGAGTGTTTCTTTCTGCCTTGAATGCATCCTTGAACTCTGATAGTGCTTCTAGTTTGTCTAGATTGAGACTATAGGATGAGGAGTGTCTGTGTAGAAACTAGCCTATTGTACAAAGATAAAATTCACATTTGTTGCTCTGCCTGCTTTTTGCCTCAGATCCCATTCTCCCCTGGGAACTTTCCCAGAAAGGGACGTGGTCCTGGGTCTGGAAAAGGTTCCCCCACCCCTGAAGTAACTGAATAATATTAACTACATTTCCTTCTTGAAACCTTTTTTTTGTTATCAGAATCCACTAGTTCAATTTAAAGTGATATTCCCCAAACTAGGGGATTCCCAATGAGCCTTTTGTTAACAGGTTGTTTTTTTCTTTAGTATAAATATGCTGCAGTTTTATAGAACAAGTAATCCCTAGAAAACCAAACTCAACACATGAATTAAATATTTAAGATTGACATATTAGGCTGCAATCCTAACCTGGGAATAGGCCCCATGGAATTCAGTAAGTTTTACTTCTGAGTAGACATGGTTAGGATTGTACTGTCAATTTCTTAAATATAAACTAGTGCTTTTGCGCTTACCAAGTGTGCTTGATAACATGTATTCCATGTACACTTTGGAACTTAGCTTTTCCCCCGAAAAAAGAAAGCTTATTATTGTACCATGTGCCTCTCCAACATTCACTAAAATTATACATTTTCAGCAGCAATACAATCTTGACAGGGAGAAAAAGGGTATGGAAATCTCTTACACTTCGCTTCTAGAAAGCTCTGAACCTGACGAACATGCATATTAAAACATAACTTCTCACACGTGAAGGCTAGGAACATAATTCGCAAATAAGTCAAAGCTTCTATAAGCTGCAACGTAGCTCAAAGATGGACATGAGACAGAAACAGGAGATAAAAGTTGAATTAGCATAGACATTCAACAGTGATTGGAGCTATAAATCTCTGCTAGATATCCTTTACTCCAGAAAATCTTAGAAAAGTTCAGCAAAAATCTGTAAGAGAACTTCAGAAAAGTAGCTCTGTAGACTACAGCCTAGGTTTCCAAGCTTGTAGAGAGCCAGGCAAACTTTCCCCTCACAGGCTAACCTTGATTTGTTTAGTGAGGTTTACACACTGAGCTGGCCTTGAGAGAGGTTGAACATTTGTACAGCTTGCAACTTTGCCACGTCTGTCAAAAACCAAAAAGTAGGTCGGATTCAGACAGGGCACCCAGGGTTGTCTTATGATTTAACACCTCTGTTAGTAAACTGATATTAAAGCAGTTTCCTGTTTTGGACACCACAAGGAGCTCTGATTTAAAAGCAAACCAAGATCTCCACACTGAAGCCAATGCTCAAGAGGAGGGGACAGGGAAGAGTATGTAGGCCTGACCCTTGTTCCTGTCTTCACAAACTATGGTTTGTAAAACAGGCGATGTTGCATTCAAACTGGGCCTATACCACCTTAGTCAGAACCAAGATATTTCCACAACATCAGAATCTGATTAAAACATCTACATTTAAACATTTAAAGAGAATCTCGATTAAGAAAACGGAAAGCATGCAGTTCAGGTTCTTAGCCTCAACTTTTTAACAGTCTATAGTTTGTCTTGTTGACATTAAAGCATATATTTAAATACTTATTCCCAACAAATGACAGGAGCTGCAGCCCTTACCAATTTTGTCTGAAAATCAGCTCTACTATTTCATTTGAAACTTATTTCCAAATATGAACTTAGGATCCCAGACTTCAGATACATATTATTTGCTAAGAACAAAATGGTTTCTCCCCTACCCTCCACTTTTAAAAGAAAATGACCACCTTTCTGGAGCAAAACAAAGTTCCTTTTTTTATGGAGGGGGTGGGGAATCCACTGTAAATTATAATTAGCCGTGCTACTCTTTGTCAAGATGGACTGGTGCCATTATTGCAACCCGAGGAAGCTTTTATTATATTAATCCAAATAATATTAATTATATTATATTAATCAGAGCTTGACAATTACAACAGATCGTGTTCATTAATTTGCTCCACCTGTGTAATTAAGCCACAAGCTTGACTAAGTACATGGAAGATAGGGTGGTATTCAGCTAAATAGCTGTGCAAGTGGAATGACTTCTCGTCTTCCCCCTCAATAGTGGACCTTGGGGTCTCAAATTTCAGTGGGTCCCTGTGCAACACCAATATTAGGCGCCCCACCTCTCATCTTCCATTCTACATCAGAGTTGTGGCACCGCCTCCAACTCTGCCTCCAGTGTGACCAACCCAGTTGCTCTCCCCTAAACCCACCTCTGTCCCCCTGTGTGACCTTCGTGCCATTCCCAAATCTGCTCCAGTGGGTTGGGGGAACTCCCCAGATTTAGGGGGCCTGTGGGGAAGAAAGGGGGAAAGTCATCTTGTGCAAGTTGTTCTGCTTGTGCAGTTATTGAGTTGACCACCACCCATAGTGATTGGCATGAAAGATTTAGTGTTGTATTCAGTGGTGATTTTTCATTGACAGAAACCCCTTGGATCCAGCACTGGCTTCTACTAATGGAACAGGAGAGGGAGGCAGTTTTTGCCAATTACATCCAGCAGATCCCACGTTCCACCTCACAGGCCGTTCTGGGGGGAAGCGGTGTCTCACAACCCCCAGGAGCAGATTTGGGGGTAGGTTGCAGGGAGGGAGAAGGAATTGTGAAAATATCCTTCCTTTTGGACATGCTGAGGAAAACCTTTACTGGATCAAAGAGGCTTCTGTCAAAGCGTCTACTAGATCTAATATATACAACCCGCAGAAGCTAAGAGTGAAATAATTCAATGCATTTCTTCCAGGTTCTCATTTTATATCACATAAACACAAATAAACAAATACCACAAGGATCATTCAACAGAAGATAAAAAGTTCAATTATTTTGACATGAGAAGACGTAGGGGAAGGCAGGAACAATCTGCCATCTACCACTGCTGTATTAATTTCAATGTTTGATTGTGTCGGACCCCTGCACAAGCCCCCATGAAATGAATGGAGACTGTGATAATACTAATGCTTTGCTAAATGTAGTGGATTTTTAATGTACGTTAGCCTCTGTTCTCCACCCCCACCAGAAATCTGTTCACCTGATGCAAAGTACTGCCACCTTTGTACAATTTGAGTGCATTTTAAGGTATATGATATTGATAACCTGAATTGCATGACTACTGTATCCCTAAACAGGGCTTTCTGATATAGCTTGAATTTTTGTCTTCACACTGAGCTTCCTCCAGATCCATAACAATAGAACATCAATGGTTAAAAAAGAAATGAAAAAGCAAACGACAAGATAACCTGCTCCCTGGATCTTTAATCTCTGGCTAACTTTAGGGGTTTTAGATAGCAATTTTTCTTTTTCTTTTGAAGAATGTAAGGGGGGGGATCATTCCTTATGATGTTTGAAAAACCTTCAGTCTTGTGGTTAAAAACAAATAATCATTATCTAGGACTGTGGGTCAATTCAAAGTATGTTTTGAAACCAGCAGATTTGAAACCAGCAAATTTTAAGCTACCTTAATGTTGTCTAAATGCCGGAACTAGGCAGAGACCAGTTTATGACATACAAGACAAGACTTTTTCAGGACTAGAATACTAGTTAACCTTCCTTTCCTGTGGGACATATGGCCCTGAGAATAGGATTGAAACTGACAATGAGAAGAAAAATCCCTCTCTGAAATGGATTTTCAAATTACATCCCTATTCAAATTTATGTACCCTCAACACATTTTGGAAACCTATTAGATTGGCTAAAAGTTCTGGCTGTACAGACTTGCTAGTAAGATGCTGCAAAATTATTCTTCACAGTGGGTTATACTTTTCTTCAACAAGATAGCCCTTTGTTTAATAGAAAAGCAATATTGCACCATTCAGTAATGCTGTTGCTTTCCTTTTTTATTTTTTGCTATAACTACTGCATCTCTCAGACACTAAGACCACCACGAGACAGGTTAATTTTACAATATTTTGTAAAGAGCCAATTAAGCTTGCTATTTCTTGGCATATCTTTAATTACTGCTCCCTTTTATATATAAATTGTGGGAGAGAAAAAACGCTTTCTGGATCTATACAACAAATGGCATGGCACCTCAAAAAATCCAGATTGTCGTGCAATGTAAATGTATAAATACAATATTAGAAATATAACAAGTCACATTCTAGCATCCTAATAGTGTGAGGGACTCAGCTTCATTGCTAAGTAGTCCTAATTCAAAAAACATAAGCAAGTTAAATTAAACATGAGCTTAAATGTTTTGCTGAACCAGGGACTCCTAAGACAGAAAATCACATAGAACAACGACGCTCAAAAACCTCTTTTCCCCAGACAATCCACCTGACTCTAATTTGTCTGCCAATCAACTCCTACTCTTTGTCTGGTGCAATAGATTCTGGAACACCTGCAATGCCTAGCAGCTTACTGGCCATTACTATATTCACACTCGGGCACCCCAAATTTCCAAAGAACACCCTTGCAAACTGATTACAATCAGTTTCTCATTGGCATCTGGTTGGCGAATTTATATATTTTTTAAAAAAGACTCTGAATTAGATGGGTCATAGGCCTGATCCTGCAGGCTCTTTTTATGTTCTTAATATACAGAACAACACCCCCCTCTCTCTGTTTCTTCGGGCAGACTTTAGTATTCATTTTCCACAAAACTTTTGCAAAAGTTAAAGTTCTCACAAGATCAGCATCCCTATGAGAGCTCTGATCACGAAAAGGAATCATGCACTATATACTGGACTTGATGGCCAGGCGTTTTGACAGAATGGGACTATACAAAAACAGTATTACATTATGCTCAGATAAAGGATTGGTGGCCCCTCATTCACATACAAAACTACTGCCTTTTTTATAAAAAAAAAGGAGGGGGGAGTGTTGGGTTTCTTGTATGTGTAGCCACAAAAAGGCCAATTATGCCATGTTTTCATATGCAGGAATATGAATAGGTCTCATTTTTATTTAAAATTCTATTTTGCTGAGATGAAGTAAACACAGAGGGAGCTTCATTAAAACAAATCTACAAAGAAAAAAGAAAAAACAATCAATTTTTTAAAAGCTCTGGTAAGTTCCCATCTGAACACAGATCAGAAGGGAAAGAAACCTCAAGCTGTCATACAGCCTCTTCCTTGCCTGTCCCCCCCCCAGCACAATACTGAGTTTTCATAACCCTGACACCCCCTTGAATCTGCTGTCCATTTTGGGATTGAAAAGATGCCTGAAAGCGGATTCTGCAACACCTTAGGTACAGATAAGACCGGTATTGCCTGGGAAAGAATTTAATTTCTCCTTTGGGAGAGGATCACTGGGGGGCAAGTGGACGCCCCATGTGGATCCATTTGACAATGTCCAAATACCTTTTTGTCTTTGAAAGACACACTATTTGCCCATAATAAACTTACCTTTTTTTAATGAGCGGTCATTCTGTTGCAGATACTTGAGCAGTGTGATTGTAGAAAGAACGGTCAACTGCCAATTGAATTAGGGTCCACTGGAATTCAATTCCTAATATAAACAAATGTCACCTTTCAAAACCCGCCTTACTGAATATACACAAGATTAAGATAAATGCTTGTTTCTATAAACAATTTCAAGGGACTAATTTTTCAAATTTTATTGAATAAATCTGGCTAGAAAACAAAACTTTTTATACTTTACATCTCTCTCTGTGCTCAACCAATTCTATCTGAAACAAAACTATATTGCTATTCTTTTTGTTTTCCTTCCCTGAGGGAAAATAATTTATTTACATAATTTTAAGAGTCAATAGGGCGGGGTGGGGAGATAACAATTAGGGGGCAAGCCTATGGTAAGATTCACAGTTTAGGATGGGGTGGATCTTTAGAATAGGGATCAGGTCAACAACAGCATAGTCTACATTTCAACTAGAATCAGTGACAAAGAACCAAAGAACCAGAAACAATTGTGTGAGTCTAAGAAGCCTCAGATTTGTTTTCTTCCACTGCATGCTCAACTTATTTTGAAATGCAAGAGGCAGTTTTTCAAAGGGGGAGTAAAATAAAAACTTTCACTGAGCTACAAGTCCCCTGCATGGGTTGTTTTTTTTTTTGTGGTGGTGTAATTTTCATATATAACACTAACCACAAGACACTATCAATAGGTTCATCCAAGAGACTCTAGGCCTCTGATGGCTAACTCTGACATGGTCAGACATTCAAAACTGGGCCGTATCCAAATAAATTTCACTCAGAGTAGACCCACTGAAATGAATGGACTTCAGCAAGTATTTTTTTAAAAAAACAGCCTTTAAATAGTTCACTGCAGCCACCTATGGTTCAGTGTAGCCTTTTTCTCACCTGACAAGCTGGCGTAATTACAATTCTAGCTAATGACCTACTTTCTGTGGTTTTCCTGGGTTTCAAAACCCTATTGAAATTCTACAACAATAAAAAAAGGTATTTTGTAAGCAATTTTAGAACAAGCAGTTACTATGTACAACAAGGCAAGCTCAAGCAGTTCTATTGTAAAATTATGCTCTTCTCTTCCTATCAGAGGTCTAGTAGAATCACTTATAAGGTGGTTCAGTCATTGAGTAAGCAACCAAATCCTATTGTAGGGCAGCTTGGCCTTAAACCTAGCTATGGCAAACAGTAGTTCAGACAAAGCCTATCTCAGTGTTGCCGCATGGAACACTCTCACCGTTCAAGACTTGAACCATACACAGTATAAGAAAGCTTCACAGAGCAGAGAAATGGAGATGGGAGAAATAAGTTGTCGATGCTGATTAATTTTTATGAACACTATTGCATTAAGACAGAGTGTCGTGGGCAATATTCAGCAGGCACTATCCTGGGAAGATCATGTTTCAGTGTTTCTAGCCCTCATGAATGCAGAGTTAAGTTGAAAATGCCTGACAAAAATGCTAAAACGTTCAAGGTTCAAACATTGGTTTTCAACTCTTGTGAATATTTAGATATGTCAAGGGCTGACTTCAGCTCTGAACTTTTGAGAGCACCAATAATAATTTGGTACAGTCCCTATCATATGCAACCATCCTGAAACAGAATTTCCAATCATATCCATAAATACATGCAACAAAATACCAGCTGTGGGTTTCTAGTTTATTATGCATTTCCAATACCTGCCCCCGCCCCGCCCGCCAACAGCCTAAATATTTACCAACCTCTGCCCTTACACTTTCTGGTTTTGTGATCTTGAGTCATATTAATGGTTTATTTGAATGTGAGTTATCATCCTGCAACTTGTATGTCAATATTGTCCTGTGAAAATGCCACAGAACTAGAACAGGACCATGTAAACTTCAACTGGAACATTTAAATGGTAAAGAATTTGCTCAGAGTGCAAAATATTTCTGCAGTACTTCATTCTTCTTAAAACGTGTGATTGCAAAGTCAAACTCTTGGTCTATTGATGCCAATAACATCTATTCCAAATGGTAGTGGCTCTCTAAGGCCTCATGCAGAGGTCTTTCATAGTCCTGTTTAAGGTTTTTTAATGGAAATACCAGGAATTGGACCTGGGTCTTTTCGCAAGCATGCTTTCTACAAACATTGCCTATGCAACATTAGGAATGAAACTGTGCCTTACCTTTTCTCCCCCTGAACATTAAGGAAGTAGGTTAATGTTTGTACTCATCTCCAAGCAACAGGTCCAAACAGAAGTTATGGGTGATCCCTACTGAGTGAACCTCAAACAGATCATTGTGAACACTCAAGAGATATACGGCAACACAAAAGAATGACTACAACCTAACACATTACACATTAAAGCATGAACACAGGGTGGGACTGTTACATTAGGTATACAACTCTGGAATTAGCAGTTAGCTTCCCGATCATGTAAACACTATGCATTGCTGGTAGTCTTGCCAAACACCGCTGACATTTGAAGATGCAACTAAAAACAAGGTTTCACTCCCCTGCCTCTCAAATATTACTTTTTCTTTAACTTTAATGGTCAGGCTAGATCTAAACAGTTGCCATGTAGTAACAACACTATTTGTTTGCCATTTTGTTTCGAACTCATGCCTTCTGTTATTTCACTGCCACATCTCCAGGAGGGCATGATCCTTATCCCGCCGCTGTTAAGACTGACTGCATCAGCTCAAGATCTGTAGGATTGTGTTCTTTGGAGGTGTTAGAGAAAACTGCTTGAATTTCTTTTGGGACTGCTTACACGGGAGAACCCTATTGATGCAACCCAGTCGTTTTCCAAATACGCTTGTTTTGGAATCTTAGGCTTACCTGTACAGAACCCTACAAAGGAAGAGGCCTATTATTAAAGCTATTTTTTTAAAGTTTGCATGAGGACCAACCCTAGCTATAGATTCTGTGCTCCAATTAAATGTTGTGCTGCCCCCCATAGCCATCGGTAGACACCAGTATCTGTGGTCTTACAAAAAATAAAATTTGCCTATGACTTGTAGTCATGCAATAGTTGGACTAACATCCACATAGGCTCCCTTTCTTGCTCTTGTTTTCCCAACTTGGGATACCATTCTTTTTCCACCTGAGTTAATATCACAGGACAAAATCCACCAGGATGTTTTAAGAACAAGCACCCCATTGTGCTATTGCACCAATCTCATTTGTTTTAGTAGGGCCTGCTCAGACAAATAATTTCTATCTACCTGTATGCATTTTTTCCACTGATTTTTAAAAGATCGCTCAGCCACCATCCCACTAATATAATCTGTGCCTTCTAATGGACCCCACCCCAATACTAAATTATACTAAAGCACCAAGACCTATCAAAGTGCAAGGCAGCTTGAAGACCTTTTATTTCTGACCTTGAAACAACTTTACCCTCTACAGATTTTTTTATATACACATATAACTGCTATGCTACACTCATATTTTACTTATTGAAAAGCATTTAAGTTGTTGTTGTTGTTGAGCTGTTTTCCTCCATGTAGCCTTTACCCCCAGAAATAATGCCTTGTATTTTAAATGATCTGTTCATTTCAGAATGTCATATAAAAAGGCAGGGAAGGAAGCTGCTGGTTTGGATCGTCACATCCCTGAATAAATGCTGACAAAAGTCCACATGGCTGCCCATGCTCCTTCTTAACAGGACCTTTAGCACAAATAATTTTCCTGCAATCACTTCTAGGAAGATCATATTGGAACCCAAGTTCTTATTCTTATTTCAACCAAAGGTCATTTAATGTTACTGACTCCCTTCCCACTTGTGGTTGTACTCTTTAGTTTGGGTGTGCTGGTGATTCCCCTGCCCTCTCCAGGTATCCTCCTTTAGCACAGAAACAAGACTCGTGCTTGGGCTTCAGGTTTGAGACCTCTCACAAAAGATTCTTCACAAGGATGCTTGTCTTTCCAGCAAAGCTGCATCCTAGTACCTCTAAAGGACACTTCCCACCTCTGAATCAAGACTTGCTCACATTATAATTGTTCACCACTCCCGGGAGAGCTGCTCTTGAGAAAACTGTAGCTTATGTTATGCATTTGTGTGGTGCATAAACATTTTAAGTATCACTTGATTCCCCACCCCCCCATCCCAAAGTTCACAACACAGACAATAATGCAGTGTGAAAAAACACATGGTCCCAGCAGGCAAATTGTTCAAGGTTATTAAAGAGAGTTCTTTTCTTTTCTTTTCTTTTCTTTTAAAGAAAAAAAAAAAAGACATATAGCTGCTCCTGCTTCAAAACTTTTTGAAGGTTTTGTTTTTGTTTGTTTCCCACTATATTGCTGCATGTTGGCTTCGAAGAAGTCCTTCTCTTGGGGTATAACTACTTCACCTTAGAGTGCAAAGTAGAAGCCTGCACTGAAGGAAGTGGACAGAAAAAGAAGAAGAAAATCACACAGCCTGGCTGTAGTGAGAAAATCCTGCCATAAATCACTCCATACCCCTCCATCGTTTTCCCCCACGCTTTAGTCAATGAACCTCTGGCAGGCCTTCTTCCAACGACAAGCTGTGCACCACATATCTCTGTTCTCCATCCCATACACTTTGCGACATTTCTTCCCCTCTCCTCTCGGTTTTCTGCCAGAATAATGGGAAGGAAAGTTGGTTTATGGTTATTTCATCTAAAACACTGACATGGAGAATTTGCTATAAGTGTTACTGGAAATCCAAAGATTACTTTGAGCCCAGTTATCTCAGACTGGAGTTGAAAAAGGATGTAAAAGACAACCAAAATGGAAAAGTGCTGCAAGGAGCGTAGAATCAGGAGAAGTCTATCCAATTGAGACTAGTTTTGTGGTGGTTGTGGTGAATGGAAGGAGGGTTTTTTTGTAAACCAATGAAAATTTTCAACAGAATGGAACACTTGGTTTTCTTTCTATAGCTATTTTAACATGAATAACCAGCTGTTCTACTACTCCATAAATTTTCTTTGAAGGGTCAAATATGAGGCAACTATTCTGCTAGGAGTGAAATTCTATGCATGTCTACACAGAAGTAAGTCCAATAAGTTCAGTGGGGCTTACTCCCACGGTAAGTGAATATAGGATGGCAACCTAAATCTTTACAAGTGAAGTTAGCAAGAATCCTTCATCCTCATTCAGTAGAACAAAAAGTCACTCCTTCAGACCCATTTCATTTTAAAAAACCCTCTTCATATGTCCTTTATCCATCTCCTTTCAACTCCAAGAAAGGAGCAAAGTTATATTCTCTGATATTTCAGGGATTCCCACCCCCCTTTCCCCTCTCATTTCCTAGCCAAGGAGCAAATCAGTGGACGCAAACTTTTCTTTAAGAAGAGGTGGAAGATGGGCTTTGTACTTATTTTTCTGGACTGAGAAAGAATTTAATGGGATTTGTAAACAGAAAAATGTATCAATAATGATTTAAAAAACATTTTCAATATTATTTTGCTGTCTAGTTATATTGAAAAGAATTTCATTGAAACATATGTAATGGAGGGGAAGCAAATAATTTACTGTCACGCCCTCAATTAATTTAGTGATTTGCTGTCAAAAGCAAAACGTCTCTTACCTTAGGCCAACTGACAGTCTAGGAGGGGATGACAGAACAGTCTGAATCTGCTGCTTCTGCTCTCCGCTCCCTGCAGGACGTGTGTGAGTTGGTGAAATCTAGAAGCAGAGATGAAAATACAATTCTGATTACAGAATTTCAATGGGAAGGGACACAATGGATTATATGTACTGCATTTCCTAAAGGCTGCTCCATTCCATTGGCTCTCCAACAGCCAAGCCAAGCATTCAGTGGAGCACATGGCAGAACTGAATGCGTCCCATGTTAAAAAAAAAATAAGATTCAGCCTCCCCGCCCCCGGCGCCCCCGCATATGCATGGAAAGAAATGTTAAGTGACAGGGAACATCTGAACACGCAGTGTCCCTCGCCAAATATCTGATCTAGCCGGGTTCCATGTAGGACTATACTACATTGCATTGCTGAACATTTATTCCAATTCCTCTGCCTCATCCCTCTTCTACTGCATTTGTCTCAAATTCTCTAGCATATCCAATATCATAAAGAAATGAATGGTGGTGCGGGAGAAGAGATGGGGACTGGGATACCCACCAGAACCAGCAGCTGTGGGGCCAAGGGGAAGTCTAATAGTAGACTTTGCAGTTTAAATGAGCCAGCACTACCCATCCCTAGCAGGTGACTATTTGGACTTCCCTTTAAAATGTTCAAGGAAGACTTCATGACTGATGCACAACTGTTATGTCTTCCCTAGGTTTAATCAGAACCTTCCTATAATTCAAAGACGCTGCTTCCTGCACTCTCTTAGTACCAATATCTAGTTGCAACAGAAGCAAAACACACTTTAATCTTCCATCAGGGCACTGAATCTCTGGCACTTGGTCCTAAAGGTAAAGGACCCCTGACAGTTAAGTCCAGTTGCGAAAGACACTGGGGTTGTGGCGCTTTACAGGCCGAGGGAGCCGGCGTTTGTCCGCAGACAGTTTTTCTCGTTCATGTGGCCCACATGACTGAGCTGCTTCTGGCAAAACCAGAGCAGCACACGGAAACACCATTTACCTTCCTGCCGGAGCAGTACCTATTTATCTACTTGCACTTTGACATGCTTTCGAACTGCTAGGTTGGCAGGAGCAGGGACCGAGCAATGGGAGCTCACCCCGTTGCAGGGATTCGAACCGCCGACCTTCTGATCGGCAAGCCCTAGGCTCAGTGGTTTAGACCACAGTGCCCCCGCATCCCTTTGGCACTTGGTCCTATGACATTCCAAATCACAGGGTGAGAAGGACAAGACATTCAACACATAATAATCAAGGAGGCTGCTACTCAAGTGACAGACCATTAATGAGCCTGTTCCAAGAAAAACCTACATAGCTTCATCAAGACTTCATCAATGTTTGGCTAATGCAGTGAAATTTTAATGCACCCTGCAAAGAGATTTCTGCCAGCAACCATCCTGGTATATAAAGTTAGGGCAAAAGAATCGACTGCTATCAGACACTCCAGAAAAGCCATTGAAGGCACACCTGTATATTCCAAGAGAAATTCAGGATTAATGCTTTCATTATTCAGCTTCAACATTTTATTAGCTTCTGGGCTAATATATGGACTCATCTAGAGAACTACAGTGAAATGGGAAAATGCTCCAGACAATGATATTGATTCCTTATAATCTTTTGGCCGTATTCAACTAAATTGTTATGCTAGCGGAAGCTATGGCATCTTCCTAGGAGTTAAGTGTAACACATGTCAAAATCACATAGCTGTGATTTTAAAAAGTACTTTGAAACAATACAAATGCTTTGAAACACATGGAATTATGTTCATCTAAATGTGCATTTTAGTATTGCTATGAAAACTGGAAAATCCTTTATATTAAACTGTTTTGTTGTATTTTTAATTGTAAAAATCATGCACTTTCTAATTCACTTGAACTATTTACTTGGTTTAATTTTGTTGGGAATGGTAAGTCATTATAGGCAAAAGATCACTGGCATTGCTTGAAGCTCTGTGAATACCTACACACCTAATCCAGTTGCCTTCAATGTCTGGTTTATAGAGTGACTAATAAGATTCTTGGATTTCTTGTGCTACTTCAGCCAATTTTCTACAGCGCCACAGAGAACAAGCCACCTTTATAATTATTCTAGATCAACCGTATTGTCATGAAATCAAATTTTGGGAATATTTTATGCGCAGCATGTTCTGTTAAGAGTCTCTTGTTCAAATTGCTACCAGCATGATGCCTTTCACCGCTAGCTGTTCCTTGATAGAATTTAATAAATATTCATTGGCAGAAAGCAATGTAATTGATTCAGCTACTTTCATTTTTTATCAGCTCAGCAGGAGACCACAGACTCCACAGAAAACCTCCAAGACATGCCAAAGGTTGACAGTAAGAGGCTTTTGCGATTCACGTGGTGAAGAGAGGGAAGAAGCGGGCAGTACCTTATCGGTGCCTAATTCACACTGTCAGTAAGCAGAGGCTTTGTACAGCCAGCGTGCATTTGCAGGAAATGGAAAATTTGGAACGTGTGGCCTTAGGTAAAACACTTTGATATGGAAAAGGAGGGTTATGCTCTGATGGCAATCATTTAAATGGTGGAACAATCATTTTAATAAAAATTAGAACATAATTTACTTATAGGAGCCATTTGTGTTGGGGAAATGCAAGGCAGGGAGAAATGGCAAACAAAGAGGCTATAAGCAGCTGGGCAGAAGAATGAGAGAAAGCAATATGGGATTACAATGGATCACATGTCAACAAAAATAATGCAGGGAAGGGAAGAGGAGAAACCATCCAGCCAGTGTCCTATGAGGCTTACAAATCCAATGGACTGGAGGACGTCAGAATTAACTGTTGTAACTTTAGGGAGTATCACCTATTCAGGATCGTGGTGCCAGAGGAGAAACACTTTTATACTGCATGTTACAGTAAGAAGCATCAATGTAAGGTCCAAAATGCAAGCAGTTGGCAGCGGGGACTAGCTGATTCACAGCTGGAATACTGTGTTTGTTTGCCAGTCTTTCTACTCAGCTCCCACTAGACTCTCTTGATCTCAACAATGCACCCACAAATTACAGATCTGGGCAGGGCAGGTGGAAGAGGACAGAGCACTGCTACAAAGGAATGTTCACCTGGGCAAAGGACAACAGCGCCTGCTTCCAGGCATGTACCGCAATATAAAAGCAGGGATAGTGAACCTGTGGCCCTCCAGATGTTGCTGGACTGCAGCTCCCTTCTTCCACAACAATGGTCCATATGCTGGCTAGGGCTGTTGGGAGTTGGAGTCCAGCAACATCTGGAGGGACAACGATTCTGAATCCCTGGTATAAAGAAAACCTCCCGTTGTTCTATTTTGTTGGTTTTCTACTTACTGGAATGCCAGTGAAGGTAACTGGGGGCGATTGCCAGGAGATGCTAAAGCTATTTCCATTGGGAGTGAACTTTGTTGTTCCTGGAATGTTCACAGGAGCTGTGGCCTGTTTTAAAAAACACCAGTCAGTTAAGGAGGAACATCTCTGTTCTACAGAATTATGTTGCAAACTGTCTTATACTAAGGACCGTAAATTGGGTATCAAGTTTTGGAAAGAGATTATTTTGAACATAGGAGTACAGGAGTCAGAGCACTGGTCCATCTAGGTTAGTACTGCCAACAGTGACTGGCAGAGGGTTTCAGGTGGAGGCGTCTCCCAGTCCTAGATGGGCACTAAACCTGTGACCTTCTGCATGCCAAGCAGATGTTCTTGCTACTGAGCTATGGCCCTTCCCTGTCCACTGTACTTTTCATGCAGTTCTCTGAGGGGTACAGGGAGGATGTCTAATGATATGTATTGCAAGCAGAAAGAAGAACTGCATTCACAATAATTCATGAGCAATGAACGGTTTCCCAATATATGCAGACCCAATAATGTTTTTTTAAAAAATCAGATCTTACAGAAGCAGCACTTTAGGGGGCAACAAACACCAGAATGGGTGGGAGAGAAAATGACATTAGCTAGTTTCTCACAGAAACTATCATGAAATGGTGAAAAGAACAGTTAATGAACATGAGCAAGCACATGGTGCTATCTGTCATCATTTTGAAACAAGTCAAAAAGTCAGGGCTTATGCAGCAACTGCAAGGCAAGAATGGGGAGGGGAAAAGAGGGGAGGCAGTATGCAGCGATCTTTCAGAATTTAATTGCAATTGCTGAAAGAAAGGAAAAATGAAGTTAAAGTAAATATCAGTAACACTATCGTCTTGTGTTTGACTTGCAGTTTAATTCTCTGAGAGGCTGCAGATCTTTCCTCTGCAAGACTTGCACAGGGATGGGAAGCACGTGTACAGGAGCAAACGGTTATGGACCGATTCTCTCTCATATATATATATATAACCTTGCATAGCTAGTATCCTACTCTGGGTGCCCTTGTAGACTGAGGTTTGGCAAGAGTATAACAGAAACAGGTCCTTCAATCATAGCGTAAAGTTTCTGAAATATTATCCTAGAGGGAGGGATACCTAGTTCCATTACTTTATGCCTTCAGACCCCAGGCAACCCACCCACTTTTCAGACCAGCCTTTGTTCTTTTGTGTTGCTAGGTGCTTATATTTTCTCTCTGCTTGTTTCTGATGTTGTGCTTGTTTGGGGGTTGGTAGACTGTGTCATTGACAATTTGAATGTTTTAATTGATTTCAGCTGCCTTGAATTCATTTATAAAGAAAGGAATGGTAACATTAGAAAAGAATAGATTCTAATAAACATTCTGGATCCCCCCCCCAAAAAAAAACACAGATCAGTAGAAGGAAGCCACAGTTTGAACAAACCACAGTTCCTAAAACTCAGACATCACAATGAACTGTGGTTTGCTTAATAATCAAAAGCTTCTTGTCCGTGAAAGAATAGAAAAGGAGGGGAAGGGGAACACACAAGACTGATGTTTGCCATGGTTCATTCACATTAGAAACCATGGGCTTCCCATTACACTGAGCCAGTAACCCTTATGGGAAAAAGAATCTTACCTGGTAAGCATGGTCAGAGTGAACGAGGTAGAGATTGGTAGGAGCCGAGCGGCTTAGAGGTGTCATCCCTTTCACATCTGTTTTGGCACATGACAGGTCACTTTTGCTCACATCTTGTGATGGAAAAGGAGGAGGAGATGCTAGAGATGGGGAGACGGGAGACAAGCTACTTAACCCATCAGCTACGGAATCAGTGTTGAGGCGTATCTCTGTGTAGTAAAAATCTTCCTCTCCATCACTGTAGTCAGACTCTCCTGCACGCCTAAATCAAGTGCAGACCAAGAAGTTATTTGTAGCATATTAAATTAACTGCAGTAAAGGAGAATTGTGATGTTAGTATATGGGCAGATGCAAAGAAGTTACATTTCTCAACTTTTATAACTGATGTGACATACAACTTTTATAACTGACAGTTGGACCAATATTAAGATACCTTCTTCATTTGGTTGTAGGCTTTTTGTGCCATTTTGTTGATGTGTGCATGCAAGGCACATATGCCTCAGAGGCAGAATAAAGGGGCACTAGAATTTAAAAGCTAAGGGGTCACAATAAATAGTGACTTATTATGAGTCACAGTGAGGCTCCCCTAGACAAACCACAGATTTTAAATCATAGGACAAACCTTGGTTACAGCTCGTGATTTATCTGGAAAGAGCAAACCACGAGCACAGATTAAGATAGCACACTAAGCCAAAGCATGGCTTAGCTCACATTTGCTTATTCATGTTAAGCCACTGTTTAGCTTTAGCGTTACGTGAGTGCTAGACCTGCATGTCATCTCCATAATCACTTTTAAACAACTTTGATACAGGTGAAAATACATCCTGACATAATGTGGGAACCAGCCATAGAATTTTCCCCCAAAATCTTTAGCAACCTGAAAGTAGAGAATTGAGATACCACAGATAAGCAGTTGATTCTAAGCAGGCTCTGTTGCTTAGGGATATAAATCCTAGTGAAATCAATTAGGGTTATTTCTGAGTAAAATGGATTTGGATATCAGTCTTTTGCCAGACAGAAGGGACAGTAGTTTTCTTACCCAAGGTGAATGGTCCGGATGTGTTTCTGAATACCGACAGCTGTGCTCAGTACTTTTCCACAGTTTTTCCAAAGGCATTTAAACATCACCTTCATGGAATTCTGAAAAAAAAATCAACAAGAGAGAATACAGATTAATTAATTTGTTCACACATCTGCTTGACTTCTATGAATCATAAATTGGACCATTTTGTAAATTTCTGCTTAACGCTAATACAGCAGTAATTAGTATGACATCTTTCAAGTGACTGTTCCCATGTTTGCACTTTTACTGGTTTTTAGGTAAATTATGTGTACTGCACAGAGTGCAACCTTTGTGGTTTTTCATTGTAAGGTAAAGGTAAAGGTACCCCTGCCCGTACGGGCCAGTCTTGACAGACTCTAGGGTTGTGCGCTCATCTCACTCTAGAGGCCGGGAGCCAGCACTGTCCGCAGACACTTCCGGGTCACGTGGCCAGTGTGACGAAGCTGCTCTGGCAAACCCTGCACCAGAGCAGCACACGGAAACGCCATTTACCTTCCCGCTATAAAGCGGTACCTATTTATCTACTTGCACTTAGGGGTGCTTTCGAACTGCTAGGTGGGCAGGAGGCGGGACCGAACGACGGGAGCTCACCCCGCCGCGGGGATTCGAACCGCCAACCATGCGATCGGCAAATCCTAGGCACTGAGGTTTTACCCACAGCGCCACCCGCGTCCCTGGTTTTTCATTGTAGAACTGTTCTATTGCTTGACCAAAAAAGGCACTCCTAGGGAAGCAGAAAAAGTACCTTTTAAAGTTTCATAATAGTATATCATGGCAGTGTGGATAATTTATTAATTTTTGTAGCGAAGTAAAACTGGGACAGCCAATTTGGGGTATGTTGCCACATAAACTCTCCCCTCCAAAAAACATTAGGCTTCATCATGATGTCAGGGCTATCTAGCACCAAGGGTTAAGGAGCACACTAGGGACTCGGCTCCATTAGTAAAGACACAGCGATCTGAATGCACTATAAACATGCAACACCAGATGGTGCTAGAGAACTCAAAATTTTAAAATAAGGCACAGGAGCCAGAATCTAGTACAAAAAGAGTATTAGAATTGATTCATGAGTTTGGTCGGGTGGCGGGATTTAAGTTGAATAAGCAAAAAACTAAGGTTTTGGGGAAAAACTTGACACCCTCAGAAATAGATGGGTTTCAGAAGGAAACAGAACTAAGTGTGGTAAAAAAAGTAAAATACCTAGGGGTTCACTTGTCAGCGAAAAATTTGAATCTATTTAAAGACAACTATGAAAAATGTTGGCTGGAAATCAAAAAAGATTTGGAAATCTGGTCAAGATTGAAACTTTCCTTGTTGGGTCGAATTGCAGCTATAAAAATGAATGTATTGCCGAAAATGTTATTTTTGTTTCAAACCCTACAGATTGTGGACAGAGTGGAACGTTTTGGAAAGTGGCAGAAGGATATATCCAAGTTTGTTTGGCAGGGCAAAAAGCCCCGGATAAAGTTTAAAATACTAACTGATTTGAAAGAAAGAGGGGGGTTTGCCCTGCCGGACTTGAGATTATATTATGAAGCTGCGGCCTTCTGCTGGATGAAAGATTGGTTACTTCTTGAGAACACTGATGTTCTAGATCTGGAAGGGTTTGATAATGCTTTTGGTTGGCATGCATATTTGTGGTACGACAAGGTAAAGGTTCATAAAATGTTCAAAAATCATATTGTTAGAAAATCAATATTTATGGTCTGGACAAAATACAAGGACTTATTAGAGGGTAAGACTCCGAGGTGGCTTTCACCAGCAGAGGCCAAGGCCCGGAAAACCTAATATGGAGGTTGGTTGGCTGAAATATGGGGAAATTATAGAAAAAGTAGGAGAAACTTGGAGGCTGCAGAGTTATGAAAAATTAAAGAATAAGGTGCAAAATTGGCTTCACTATGCTCAAATTCAAGAGGTTTTTAAGTTGGACAAAAGAACAGGTTTCCAGGTGGAAAATCGAAACTAGAGACAGAATTGTTGGAACCAAAGACCAAGGTACTTTCGAGAATGTATATCTTGCTGCTTAAATGGAACACTCAGGATGAGACAGTCAAATCAGCCATGATAAAATGGGCTCAGGACATTGGGTACAACATTATGTTTGAAGACTGGGAAAGGTTATGGACCACTGGTATGAAATTCACGGCATGTAATGCCTTGAAAGAGAATATTATGAAAATGATATACAGGTGGTACATGACCCCAGTCAAGCTTGCTAAGATATATCATTTGTCTGATAATAAATGTTGGAAATGTAAGGAGGCTGAAGGGACATTCTTTCACCTCTGGTGGACTTGCCCAAAAGTGAAGGCCTTCTGGGAAATGATCTATAATGAGTTAAAAAAGTGTTTAAGTACACTTTTCCCAAGAAACCAGAGGCCTTCCTACTGGGCATTGTCGGTCAGAAGGTGTTAAAGAAGGATAGAACCTTTTTATGTATGCAACTACAGCAGCAAGAATTCTTATCGCAAAATACTGGAAGACTCAAGATTTACCCACACTGGAAGAGTGGCAGACGCAATTGATGGGCTACATGGAATTGGCCGAGATGACTGCCAGGATCCGAGATTTGGAGGAAGAAGCAATGGAGGAGGATTGGAAAAATTTAAAGATTATTTACAAAAAATTTATAAGTTATATGAATGTTAAGAATTCGCATGATTAGGGAAATTCAGCTCCAGCAATAAGATTAAGGTATGGGAAACTAAGCTATATTAATGAAAGGACTAACGTTTAAAAGAACATTATATATATTATTAGTGTAAATTGACAATAAGCATTTTAAACGTAAATCACAAGTATTTGAAAGAACAAAAGAATGCACGAAATAAGGTTATAATTTGCTGAAAAATTTTATTGTAAAGAACGCAAGGTGAGGGGGACGGGGGGAAGTCCGGTTGGTTATGGAAAAATGCTTTGAAAAGATGATTTTCTTCTTTTTCTTTCTCTTTTCTGTTATTTCTTTGTATATCTGACCTTGTATTCCTATCTGGAAAAATGCAATAAAAAATATTATAAAAAAAAAAAAAAAATTTAAAATAAGGCTTTCCATAGAGATTTCTTTCTTTCGTTACAACACTCTGACTTATTTCTGACTTATTTATAGTGTGTGTGTGTGTGTGTGTGTGTGTCCCCGCTTGGAGTCTTGATCCACCTTAGGGCTGCAATGTTTAATTAACTTATTAGATCTTTTTTCTAATCAACTAAAATATGGCAGCCATTTGTCTGCTGAGTGCTTTATGGATCATATAACACTAGTCCTGCAGCAATTGCACTGTCTTCCAGTTTGTTTTCAATCACAATTCAAGGTGCTTCTTCTTACCTATAAAGCCCTAAACAGTTTGGGGGCAAGACCAATCTCTGATTCTCAGTGGCCTTGATATGGATGTCCCATGTCCAAGAGAGACTGGACTGCTCATTACCTAGCTGTAAAGCTCTTCAGTTCCATATGGCTTTTGATTGTATTTTTATAATGCTTCCCTTCCCATTTTAATGGGTGTTTTTAATTGGTGTTTTTATCTGTATTGTTACTTCTATAATGTAAAATGGTTACATTGGGCAGACAGCTATTTAATAAATAATAATTGTGATGATAATGATGACAGATAAGTGCTTCTGGTGCTCCTGATTAATCAGGCATTTTTTTTTAAAAAAGCAAACAACTGAGCAAAGGGCTGGGGAATTAGACATGTTCAACTGATAACCACCTTTGAAGGTGTACTTTCACTGCCTATCAGATGACTGGTGCCGGGATTGCACCTTGTAAGGAGCTTACTATAACCTCTGATTCGATTATCAGTGTTTACAATGAGCCCTTTGAAGTCCATTTGGAGGAAACAGTTTGGAGTCAAAACACTTTTTCCGAGTTATCTTCTGCAGGGGGGGCGGAATACACTTTGTTTGAAGGAAGCCCCCACAGCTTCACTAGGGAGTTTACAGGAATGCAGCCAAAGATTGTTTAAAATAAGATGACATATATTGGTATTACATGCAGTTATATATATATATATATATGTGTGTGTGTGTGTGTGTAACTTGCAAAGTGAAAAGGGAGAGATGTAATATTCCATTCCACTCCAGTGTGGAATCTCAAAAAGACAAGTTATTTTCTGTGCTCAAACTTTTCACTGTAACATAATTTAAATTTGATACTGCCTTTGATTGGTTATCTTTGAACTAGATGGTAAGAGACCTACATCAATGTGGCAAAAGAGAGAGTATAAACCATGACAAGTTGACTGTGGCACTTTGTCAGTAAGCCCCAGGGTTGGACACCTAAAAAGCATGCCAACATCCTGGAGCAAACAGCGAATGTACTATCCCGTAAGAAACAATGAACCCCTCAGGTTTGAAAATTAACCCCAAGGGGACCACACAAGCTTGAGTCTCCTATGAAGTCAATATTGGGCTCACCTTCCTCTTTCTAGGAATGGGCTCATCAAAGAGGAGACTACTAGTTTCAGCTTCGTCAATGCCGTCATCAGTCTGGGACGGCAGTCTAAATGGTTTGAAGCTGTCGGCAGAAAGAGGGGGTGAGGGGGTGGAGGGGTTCGACTGGTCGCTTGGAGCACTCCAGCTCCAATACCCGCTGCTGCTGGTACTCGAAGGCACGAATCCTCCTTCTTTCCAAGATCCATTTAAGGACTCTAGAAATTCAGAAGATCAAAAAGGAAAGGAAAGTGAATTAAAGTTGAACAGCACCGGATAAAGCAGGGGCAGCCAACATGGTAGACCCCACCTCCCCACGGATGTGTTGGGCAACAACTCAGGGATGATGGGAAATGTAGTTCAACAACATCTGGAGGATAATACGCTTTTTACCCCGGACCAAAGCAACTCAATACAGTGGTACCTCGGTTTTCGAGCGTCTCAGAGGCCGAATATTTCAGTTTTCGAACGTCGAAAACCTGGAAGTAAATGCTTCTGTTTTCAAACGCGCCTTGGAAGTTGAACAGCTTCCGCTGCGTGTTTTCAATTTTCTCAATTTAACTTGCAGCCAGCCCTTTGTGCCTCGGTTTTTGAACGTTTTGGAAGTCAAACGGTCTTCCGGAATGGATTACATTCAAGAACCGAGGTATCACTGTATCAGTTACTGTGTTTTTCAGAAGAGAATGTTGGCAACAGTCCTGCAGATATAAATGTGTGAAGAGTTTGTACCTGGTAGTACTGCAATGCTTTCACTAATTTATACACACACAGCACACCTGGTATCAGAGTTGTGTGGTTTTTTTTACAATCAAGCAGCATGTAAATTTTATGTAATAAATAAGTAAGTCAAGCATAGTTTTAAATGCTGTTTGTTCACAGAAGCTAAAGGGGTGAAAAAAGCACCTATCATTCAAATGTAACGTTCAGTCATAATTACGGCATTTCTGTGTTCTCTGGCTTTTTAACTTCTCTTTATCTTTCTTTTTAAAAAAGAAAAGATTTATACATGAACAAAATTTTGAAAAGAGAAGAAAGCCTGATGGAATGAGGCTGAAACAAACAAAGAGAGAGTAAGTCTGATTCTTGTTTTCCTGCCATCTTCTTTGTTATTCTTTGTCTTATTTAAAGAAGAATGTCAGTTTGATCTTATGCGCTACCTGTTACACACAGCAGCAAGTTTCATGTCCCTCTTCTCTTTTTTTGTTTGTTTTTGTTTGTAAATTAAAAACTGCCTAGATGCTTCTGCCCAGAGAGGAAGAATCGGGGAAGGAAAGGAGTACCTAAATTTCTCCCTCTCTGCTGTTTGTCTGCTCAAAATTAGTCCCCATCCCCTTGTTCAGAAAAAGTGACTCATGAACAATGCATTGATCACAAGGTCCCATAATGCATTGGTGGCAGGTCCCCTAATAGCATAATGGTTTATAGGATTTATTTTTCTATATGTTCCCAGTGTAAAAGATGGATACTTACTATAGTTAGACATACATGCTTAATGAATCGCAACCACTGATGGAATTTAAGTTCAAGATCCCTACTACTTTTCACAATCTCTTGTGAGTAGGAATACAGTGCTTACCATTGGGTCGGACAGGAGGGCTGCGGACCAAAGGGCTGGTGGATAAACTGGTTAGGACCATAGCTGCTGTGACTTTATCCATATCCAGTTCTTCCAAAGATTTTCTGAAATGGAAAGTGAAGGAAAAGAAAGATCTACATCAGCAGCAAATGCAGGCTGGTGAGGGAAACAATAATGTTGATATTTCAAATTCTTCCTGCTCAGAAGCTCTGTAAAGAGCAGAAACCTAAACTTAAGCTTACCAGATTTTTTTCAATGAATCCAGGGACACTTTTCAACTTCAATTGATTTTGTATGGGCACTGATTTGTAAATCCGGGGACTGTAACCTTACCTAAACTGTTTTGACAAAAGTGGATAAAACAGATAAGCCAAGGCCTCATTAGCATCCACTTGATCCAGGGAATGCCGACTTAAATAAAAAGAAAGTCTTGCAATACCTTTGAAAGCTTCTATTGGCTCCGACTTAGATGTGTTTCCAGTGCAAAAGAGTACCAAAGATGTAGGACCATCACCAAGAACATTTTGGGTGGCAATCCAACACAGTTAGGCATCAAAGGGACTTAGCAGACATGGACTGAAGTTTTTATGCATTAACACAGTGAAGGGTGCCTTTTATGTCTGCTTGAGGTCTCAAGGTGCTATGGTGTCTCTATGGTCATTGCTCAGTGGCAGAGCATCTGTCTTGCATACAGAAAATTCCAAGGTTCAGTAATACTGGCATCTCCTGGTAGGGAAAGGCACCCACCTGAGACTTTGGAGATCAGCTGCCAGCCAGTGTTGACAGTACTAAACTAAATAGAACAATAGTCTGGCTCACTGTAAGGCAGCTTTCTATGTTCCTGTGAACTGCTCAGAAGAAGAAAAAACAGGCAGCCTCTCAATCAAGACCAGATTACATGATGCACTGCAGATACATGAATACATCACCTAATAATTTTGGGTTTTAATTGAAAAGGAGGAACAAAAAGCATCAGGTTTGATTAGAACAGAAGGAGGAGATTGTTAACAGACTTCCTGAATAGCACAGAGTTCAGTCCTCATTTCAGCATAAAGAACATTACAAATAGGCAGCAGGTTTTACCCTTAAGTATCTGTTAAAGCAGTAGCAGTATTTACTCTGTAGCTGAAGAGTTGAAACAACATGAAATTCATAGGGGGGAATGCAAAAAACACAACAGCACCTTCTTAATTTCCCATGAAGCTAATTAGACATAGTAGCCTCAAGGCAAACATAGTGCCCTTTAACACGAAGTTGACTAATGAATGGTAATCATTTTAAGCATAGGGTAGAGAAAGGAAAACTTGCTTCACTCGGTGTTACAATGTAGTGAAGCTTCTATCTTTCCAAAGCCCGGGAGTTTAAAAGAAGATCCCTATGGGACTAATGCCTTTCAGACACAATGCTTGATAATGTACTTAAGTCAAGGTTGATGGTTGCTTTCAGTATACCCTTCCCATTAACATTTACTGAATTATCAATACTGAGTTGGCTCACAATGCGGCAAACATTGTATGCAAATCTGCTGAGTGGCAGGAAAATTCATAGTGGGGGTATTAAGACTAGGCTGGAAAAGCTGTTTACAATCTCAATAGGAGTTGGGATTAGGCTACTGCAATGTGTTGCGCATTGGGACTGCCTTTGAAGACTTGAAGTACTATTGGCTCAGATTACAAAGCCAGACTAGTCGGCCAGAAAACATCTTTAGCGCAGATTCACTGCTTCCCTGTCTGTTTCTGGGCACAGTTCAAAGCGTGTAACATTCAAAGCCCTATATGGTATGGGATGTGGGTATATGAAGGACTATTGACTTCCACATGAATCTGCTTATCAACAGGAGGAGAGAAGTGTCTGTGTGTGTGTAAGAAAGAAAGAAAGAAAGAGGGAGAGGGGAGAGTGCCCCATCTTACTCTGGCCATGCTGCCCTCAACCACTTCACCCTGAGCAAATGTGGAGCTTGACCCCAAAAAGTTTGCACGCCCATAGGCGAGCAAAGACTGCTGGTTTTATATAATTTACTTTTAAAGATAACTAAAATCCAGACAGAACAGCAACAGAAGGTTGCAAACAGATTTTGTTTCTACTGTTTTAAAAAAATGCGGTTCACACTTTGAATCAAAACAAATATTTGTGTTCCTAGAAAAAGATGTCTTTAGCCCAGTAGCCTGGATTATAATTTTGCTCCCGAACACTAGCTTGTTACTTTTTTTTTTAAGGATGGAGGAAAGGATCATCTATAAAAAGCTGTTTTTTTCCATTAAAAATTTTTTTTTTAAAAAAAATACTTGCCTACTGTTGAAAATGACAATAGTATTATAGCTATTAAAATGGATACTAGCATAATGGCTTTGTCATCCCTTCGCAGTGAGAGGCAGTGTGTGTCTGAATGCCAGTTGATGGGAACTGCAGGTGGGGAAAAGGCTCGTGCTCAAATTCTGCTTTTTTAGGTGTTTGGCTGGCCACTGTGAAACAGGACGCTAGACTAGACAGGTCACTGCCTTGACCTAGCAGGCGCTGATCTTTTTTTTTTTTGTTTAGTCGTTTAGTCGTGTCCGACTCTTCATGACCCCATGGACCAGAGCACGCCAGGCACTCCTGTCTTCCACTGCCTCCCAGCCTCCCACAGTTTGGTCAAACTCATGCTGGTAGGTTTGAGAACACTGTCCAACCAGCTCATCCTCTGTCATCCCCTTCTCCTTGTGCCCTCCATCTTTCCCAACATCAGGGTCTTTTCCAGGGAGTCTTCTCTTCTCATGAGGTAGCCAAAGTATTGGAGCCTCAGCTTCAGGATCTGTCCTTCCAGTGAGCACTCAAGGCTGATTTCCTTAAGAATGGATACGTTTGATCTTCTTGCAGCCCATGGGACTCTCAAGAGTCTCCTCCAGCACCAAGGCACTGATCTATATCAGTTCAAATAAATTAAAATTCTTAACAGAAAAGGGGCCTCTGCATCCTCCGATTTGGGGTGGAAGTAGATATTATGAATAAAAAACGGGGTTCCCACTCTATCCTGAGCTTTCCTCAGAAAACAAATGCAGGGATGGGGAAGAAATACTTGCAAGGAGAACTGGTGGTGGTGAAGGAACAGGGCAGGAGAAGAGTGTTAGATGGGGCTTACTCCAAGGAAGGCTTTATATAAGATTGCAGCTTTAATTCATGTTCTCCAGCTGAGCTTTAAATCCAGAAGCAGGCTGGGTTGGTGTTAAAAAGAGAGGCACATTTCAAAGGAGACTTGCACATGTTCAGGAAAGATTAAGCACCTCACCCTCCCACCCACTGCTTTCCCCCTAAAAACAAAAACAAAAAAACTAAAGTAAAAACAGCATGGGTATGTGTGCATGCTCAACCCTTTCCTATCACTTTCCTGCACTCCAAATGACCCTGTCATCAGCAGCTTACCCTATCCCAGGGCTCAAAATTCATATTTCATGTTAGGAAGAAGGGAAACAGCAAGGGGGGGGGGTAAGGTTAATATTCTGACCACAATTTCTTTGCTCCAAATTGCCTTTTCCCTTCCCTATAAAATGTACAATAAGGTTGCTGTTGTGTGTGTAATGTGTAGTTTGGCCCTCGTCAACATGCTTAAGAGTCTTACTGCTTTGTGGTAAATAAAATAATACGACACCACTAGCTCACTCAGGAAACATGCAAACTGTAACATACACTGTTTAGGCTAGGTTCCAAGACAGGTGTATATGGTTGCTTAAGATGCAACTATGTCTGTCATTCACACTTTACAAGTTTGTTGAGGGAAGCCTAAGTGTACATGATGTTTACTATCATGTTTACTATCTAAAATGTGGAACCTCCCTCACTAACAGACTGGGAAAAGTCTACCTTCCTGACAGAGATATCAGAAAACTACAACGTTCTATCCCCCTGCCGATCCTAAAAAACCTCAATAGTTCCATTTCGATAAAGATCCTAAATAAAACAAGCAAAGGGACAATTATTTGAAAAGTAAATTATGCTTTTTCTGGAAACAGTGTCTCTAGGATGAATGTATCTGCCCTCTAGGAGTTTATAAACAGCATCCGAATTTGTGAATAAATCAATTTTCACTGACTTCTGCTGCTCTGTGAACACCAGTTTCTTCTCTGTTTCTCTTGCTGTGGTACCATTACAAGCTGAAACCACTTCTCCAGATTTACCCCTGGACAACCCCCCTGGACCCCTCCAAACATCCTTTTTAATGTGCATTCTTGGTGTTTCATTTTCATGATGGTATCTGGGAAGTTATAAGTAATTCCACTTTGAATACCGTGTGCAAAATTGGAGAAGCATTGCAGAACAACTACAAAGCAGGATGGTCCAGTGTAAATTCACCACAAATGCACTATTATTGCATCAGTGACATGTTGTGGAAGACACCCCAACCCCCACCAGTCTAGAGGAGTCCTCAGCCTCTCCCAAAAGCCCTTACAGTCATCCTTCAATATAGTACTTCTCCGTCCATTTCAACTTCCCTTTCTTATTTCTAGTTCCTGATTCCCCCCTCTCCTACTTCCTTGAAACACTCCTCATTTTCAGATTCTGTTACCTCTTTTGCCCCAATCCAAATCCGTTTTTTTTAAATGCTCAGTGCACTATTACCTTCCATTATATAGCTTTTAACACTAAGATATTTGGGGGATCCTGAGACACCCATATTCACAGCACACACCATATTTCAGATGCACTGGTGCCAAGCTTCACTGGTTACGAAATCCAAAATGTAATTATTTTTTCCTTCTAAAAGGGGGAAAAAGTAAGGTAATTTTAAAAGTTCAGGATATCTATCCAGTAAGATTAGCATATCGATCTGGGGGGAGGGGAGGGGAGGGGGAAGAAGAGCAATATAAATGATAGGCCTCACTGTACCAAGAAAATGACCCAAATCAGTAGTTGGGGCTGAAAGTTGGGTGCAATATACAGGGCTCAGCTTTCTTCCTCTTAGTGACAGAACTCAATCCCTTCCAGCCTACAGTAACAAGAAAAATAGTTGCTCGAATCATGTTCTTTTGATTGGAAATTTGAATCTCTTCTGGGTTTTATGATTACTTAAAAAACACACACACTTATCTGTAGGTTTTTAAATAATTTATAATGCAGCCTCCCTTTTCCTCCTCTTTATTCTGTTCTGCTGGTGAGCGCAGAGAATGCTAATCACCACAGGCTGAACTGGCACAGCTGCGAATCACGGAGGCTCCTCCCCAATGAGCTCATCCTCAAGCAGTGCAAATGAGAATGACATAATGTTTCTCCGAAGCCTGACACGCGTAAAACTAATTTCTCAAGCCGCAGCCGCTCTCCTCTCCAATACAGCTTTCTCCCCTCCCAAGATCATTCATTATGAGGAGGACATCATTAAAGCTTCAGGGTGTAAGGGGATAGGAAAAACAAATGCAGAGCTTCAGCATCATCAGATTAGCCTGTTCCCACCCTCCTTTCACTCCCACCAATTTTTAGGTCAATAATACCACCAGCACTGCCATTCCTCCTTCTTCTTCTGTAAAATCAATGGAAGCTATGTATTTCTGGAGAGGGCAGAAGCAAGGACGAGGAAACAGAGTTATGGAGGACAAAGCCTTTGGACAGGGAATTTATCCTCATTCATTTTCCCCTGTTGAAATCTGTCGGCCCCCTTCTACTTCCTATAACAGTTTTGTCTGTGTGCTGTTTAAAAATCAGTACCGGTATCTTATTAGTCAGAATGTTTTCAATACAGACAACTCCCACTTAATGCAAGGGTTACGTTCTGGGTAAAATCGTATAAAGCGGGGAGCACCTTCTAAACACCCTCCTTGCCACTCTCTCTCCAATCCAGACTAGAAATACTGTATCCCATTCAAGTTGTGGATATTTCCGAATGGGTGTAAGTGGGAAGTTGCCTGTACACAGAATCCCTTCAAGTTCCTTTATACGGAAGCACCTGAGCATGTGAGCACAGAGTGAGTGGGATCTCTTGTCAGGATCCACACATCTCTGATGCAGGAGCCAAACATTCAAGCCATCCCCACAGAGCAGCTGGCTTCCTTCAATGGCCAACCAATCTGCCCTGGCTGAAGCTGCCAACGATACCTGGTCGAGACAAACCGCTCAATACATAAGGACATTAGAAAGGAAAGGAGCAGGATGTTCAGTCTTAACACCTTGAGGAAAGTCACCAAAACACCTGCAGTGTGAGACACGCACACATACCTATGGCAGCCCAAGGGGCACATTCTCTTCTGGGCAACCTTCCCTGATCAACAATCCTGGTAGCTTGGGATGATGGATACTAAATGAAAAGGCTGCAGAGCTACTGGCTACGAAGCTGGACCAGATTCCTGGCTCTGGGCCTGGTGTTACCTGAACAGGGGCCCAAGAGAGGCACAGCACCTAGGCCCACAGAATCAGAGGCAGGACCCTCACAGGTGCTGTTCTTGGGCCTGATGAACTGAGTATTGCCCACGCCACCTTGCCAGTCCAACACCAAGCGGAAAGGCATATAACAAAGGAGAAGCAGCCCAGTGGGCTGGTTCTTTAAGAATCTCTAGGGCTCCAGTAAAGGAGGACTGGACTGGATGCAGAGGCTCAAAAGGCCTCTATTCACTTTAGGCCCTCACTGAAGGATGTTGATCACAAGGACCTCTCCATGGTGCTGCGACATCTAACCAGACTGGCTTCATGGGCAGAAGCAGGAGCAGAACAAGGCACACTTTGTGACGGGGTGGGCCTGTTTTGTTTATTGATATACCGAGGCCTAGTCCTACTCTCCTTGCATCCAGGGGAAGTCATACGGCAATTCATGGCCTCCTCTAAATAAACACAACACTGCAACAGCAGCCAAAGCTAGCCTTAGCTGAAAACAGATATAAAGAATGCCTTAACTGCAGCTACTCTGTCAAAATCAAATTGCTAACATCCATACCCCCCCCCTGCAAATGATTAATTTTAATTTTTGGGAAGACCAAACAAATTAAACACATACACAAAGATGCCAGCTTTTCTCAGCCTTGCTTTAGTAAGCACAGATGTCTGGCACTTCAACAGATATTTTTGTACATTACTTAACACAAGCTACAAAGCTGCTACTTTTACAGAGGATGCTGCCTGCTGGTTAACAGTTTCCTGAAATTTCACAGCTATTTCTTGAGCCCCTTGGCTAGAAAATAAGGCATATCCTCACTTCACGATCATTTACAATGGGTATGCAGTACAGCTCATCAAGCAAAGGCTATCGGCTTAATCACTCTACAGTATATATAAGCTTCATTAGTGGCAGTATCATATAAACATATACTTATTTACCGTATTTTTCGCCCTATAGGACGCACTTTTTCCCCTCCAAAAATGAAGGGGAAATGTGTGTGCGTCCTATGGGGCGAATGCAGGCTTTCACTGAAGCCTGGAGAGCGAGAGGGGTCGGTGCGCACCGACCCCTCTCGCTCTCCAGGCTTCAGGAGAGCCCCAGCGCCAGCCCCACAAGGTCGGGGGACAGAGGGAGGCGGATCGCCGCCATCCCGCTGTCTCCTGAAGTGGTTTGGAGGCTGACGGCGAGGAGACCACGCCGCCAGCCCCGCAAGCTCCGGGGACAGCTGGGAGACGCAGCGTGTCCTCCTGCTGTCCCCAGACCTGATCTCAAGGCGGGCGGCGGGGAGAAGAGCGCTTCTCCCCGCTGCCTGCCCCACAAGCTCCGGGGACAGCTGGGAGACACAGTGGGTCTTCCTGCTGTCCCCGGACCTGATCTGAAGGCGGGCGGCGGGGAGAAGAGCGCTTCTCCCCGCTGCCTGCCCCACAAGCTCCGGGGACAGCTGGGAGGCGCAGTGCGTCTCCCCGCTGTCCCCAGACCTGATCTGAAGGTGGGCGGTGGGGAGAAGAGCGCTTCTCCCCGCTGCCTGCCCCGCAAGCTCCGGGGACAGCTGGGAGGCGCAGCGCGTCTCCCCGCTGTCCCCGGACCTGATCTCAAGGCGGGCGGCAGGGAGTAGACCGCTTCTCCCCGCTGCCTGCCCCACAAGCGCCTGGGGGGGATTTTTTTTTCTTTATTTCCCCCCCAAAAAACTTGATGCGTCCTATGGGCCGGTGCGTCCTATGGGGCGAAAAATACGGTAACTGAGGATTTATGAGCTCTTAGTTTTGTTCCCACAAGGAAGTGGGCAGAACATATATTAACAGGATACAGAAAAGCTACGTACAAGCAACAACACTACCATTAGTATTCTCAACCGGTATAAGCCCAGCCACAATAATAATAGCATAAACCCAAAATGTCTAGCACCATGTTCTATGCACAACTGGGAACGTTCACATAGGACTTTCCTCTACCTCTTCACACTGTGGCCAAAACCTTGGATTGGGGCACACATCATGTGGGTGGGAAGTTTTTAATGTACCCCCCCTTTTCATGTATCTCTGTGTGTGTTTGTCTGGTTGGTTGCTTGTAAGCTACTTTGGGTTGCCCAGGGCAAGATAAAGCAGTAAGTAGGTAGGTAGGTAAGTGGCTCTCCAGATGTTGAATTACAACTTCCATCATCCCTGGCCAGTGACTCACATGCTGGCTGGATCTGATGGGGGCTGCAGCCCAACAACATCTGGAGGGCGCTGCATTGGCAACCCCTGCCATAGATTAATGTGTGAATGCATCTCCCCCCCCCCCGCCACACCTGCTCAATTCTGATAATGTAAGGAACATATTACCAACTTATAATTAGCCACTTCACATACCTTGCAAGATACTGGCATTAATTCAGGTATTTGCTTGTTAATGATGGCTGCAGACTTGAGTGGGTCAACAGGCTCCATTTCCAACTCTACATGTGTCCCTTAGAGTCTTTGTAGGGAGCCCCTGTGTGTACGTCTGTACCTGTAAGCTTCCATACAGATTTTCTAATGAATGTACATGGGGGGGGGCAGAGTATGCTGCTGCAATACTGTCCCACCACATACTAGCTGAATACTAATGAACACCTGAGAAAAGAGCAAGAGGCCTTACCAATGTTACCCAAATGATCTTGATGGATAAAAGAGCACTCTAGGCATCAAATTTCATTTAGATTGCTTATAACTTGCTTTATAACCCTGAGAGGCTCTTGAAGTGGCTTACAAAAAAAATAAAAAAATCTCACAATAAAAAATGGTATCGAATAAATGCCCCTAGGGCAGGCATGGCCAAACTTGGCCCTCCAGGTGTTTGGGGACTACAACTCCCATCATCCCTAGCTAACAGGACCAGTGGTCAGGGATGATGGGAACTGTAGTCCCAAAACATCTGGAGGGCCAAGTTTGACCATGCCTGCAGCTGGATCTCATTCAACCTAAGATGGAGGCAAGTCTCTTTCTAGAATTTGCTAGCTGCCAGGCAGAGCAGAGGAGCTGATCAGCTGTAGGTCGTTCAGCCCATAATGGAAGCAGGCTTTTCCTTACTGGAAGCTGGTGTTGGAATCTGGAGTAGCATCTGTAACTGAAGGACTTTCCTTCTTCACAACAACCAATGCTCACCCCTCTTTGCTCTGCCCCTTCCCTGCGTTTGTTAGCATCTGGTTCCCTTACTGCGAGAAACAGGGTGCTAGACTAGGTGGTCTGATTTAGCAAGGCTCTTCTTTCTCACTACCCATATCCTTTTTACACAAGTGACAAAAGGAGACAACAGCAGTACAAATGCACCTTTGCATGCCCAATTACCATTTACACATGCATGCTAGTGCAAGTAGATAAATAAGTACCACTGTGGCGGGAAGATAAAAAGGTGTTTCTGTGTGTTCTGGATTCCATCACGATGTTCCATTGCACCAGAGGCAGTTTAGTCATGCTGGCCACATGACCCAGAAAGCTGTCTGCGGACAAACGGCGGCTCCCTCAGCCTGAAAGATGAGTGCCGCAACCCCATAGTTGCCTTTGACTGGACTTGACCATTTACAACAGTGCATTCAGGCATTAACTTGAATAGAACTAGAACTGTTATCTGTTAATTAGCCATGCTAAGTGCTCCATGTTTGGCAGGATACAAATCTCGAAATAACAGACATATTCTCTGAGGCTTTATGTATGCACATGCTAAGCACTCCATCTCCTTTAAAAGCAGTATCTAGACTATTTTTCATTCAATTGCCCATTTAGAATGGTGTAAAGAAGACAGGAGAGTGAACACACACTACAAAAACGATCCATCTATTTGTTTCTCAGGCTAACAATTCGCCTTTTTAAAAAAAGAATACAGTTCCATCATTGATTTACTAGAGTAAATCTAAAAACTAGAAGATGTTAACACATATTATTTGCTCCTGGTTAGCCTCACACCTTCCTTTCCTTTCCTTTCTCTTCTCTGCTTGTTATCCTTGCTCCCTCTTTTCCTCAGTTTCTTTTGTTGTATTCTCCTCTACTAAAATCTGATAGCAATTTTGGAAAAAATCATGTCTCACTGCTCTGAGGGCATTATATAAACCAAATAAATAATACATTTAAAACAGAGCTGCAATTTCTGACCACTGGTCATGCTGCCTGGGGATGATGGGAACGGAGCCCAGTAGTGGCTTCTGGTTTAACTGTTCCCCACCCTTGACATATATGTACACATATAGAGATTCAGTTTGTATTAATACATCTCTCTGATTTCCACTGAATTTGTAATTGCCAGAGACTACCTATGGAGACAGTATAAAAGGATTAAAGATGCTCAAACAAACTGGTGATCTGACAAACCCTAATTGAGCTAAATAGTTTTCTTTTTCTTTCTTTCCCCTGATTTTGGAGAAATCAGTGGGAGGCTACCTATTTATAAGCAACATATGTGAATTCACTCTTTTTCTTAAACTACACACTTATCTGAAACAAGGATGAATTGCAACAAAGTCGGGCTGCAGACTTGGATAAAATCCAGTGAGACGAATTGCAGCTGAACTACAGTCTTGAAGCAGATCTGAAGCTTTCAGTGTGAGTCGTGTTATGTCTGTATTATACCTGCACTGTAGATGTGGAGCCAGCACACAATTCATTGCTTTAGTTTTTCCACAAGCATGGCTCATGGGATACTAAGCATCTGACTTCTTTTAGACAGATTATTACACTTACTCATTTTTTTATGTCCCTGAACAGCACCTGGACGTTTTGAAGGAAGGGGCTTGTGCATATTTAACACAGCATAGTATCTAATGGCATTAAGTGCTGTATTGTCATGAGTTAGTTTTGCTTCGGTAATTGCAGATATCATCAGCACTGTGCATAATTCATATCAGTTCCTTTCTACACAGGTGCTCACTCTTATTTCCATATCAGTAATTAGTGCTTGACAATGAATGTTATCTAACCTGTCTAGGTGAAACAGACAAATCTAGTCACAATACAACTCTCTAGGTGACTGATTTAACTGTGCAGACAATTGGGACCAACCGTTCTGAAAGTAAACTTAACAGCTCTGTTGTATGTACAGTGGCCAGCCAGAATGCACATTTCGTCTTGCAACCCTTACTCATATTTCTGTTGGAGACTCATAGCATTGCTTCCTTGCCAATAAGCAGGATCTATGCCATGTTCCATTGCATGGCTGCTCCAGAGCCAGTCCCAGAAATAAAGGGTGGTATCCAACTAAGCTATACTCAGATTCGACTCACCTCAATCACCAAGATCCTTTGAGGGGGGCACCTCTGGTGGGTCTCATGCCTTTGAAGTTTGGCTGGCCTTCACAAGAGACGAAACCTTTAGTTTGACAGGCACTGCCCTGTGGAACTCCCTGCTAGCAGAACTTTGGGCAGGAAGTTCTCTCCCTCCTTTGAGATGTCTTTTGAAAACTACATTGTTTAGGCATGCATTTGCAATTTGAATTTTCTCGTTTAAATCCATCAGCATTTATGGATATTTTAAATTGATATTGTTATGGATATCTTTGTTCACTTTAATTTTATATGCTGCAATCCACCTTGCTACATGTTTCTTAATATGCAGATTATAAACACATGGATAAATAAATTAAAGAGAGTTGGTGATATGCCTGTTCCTAATTGGAACTTAATGGGCCAGTCCCTTTGGGCTTCAGATCAAAGAGAAAGGATGGCCAACAGCATCATCACTGAGGAATACAAGAATAAACAGAATTTCATTCTGAGACAATTTGTCAAGTACAATTCATTTTTGAAACTGACCGACTCCTCTCTTATATGGGGATTTGTATTGCTCTGATCCAGGGGTCAGCAAACTTTTTCAGCAAGGGACCGGTCCACTGTCCCTCAGACCTTGTGAGAGGGCCAGACTATATTTTTTTGGGGGGGAAATTAACGAATTCCTATGCCCCACAAATAACCCAGAGATGCATTTTAAATAAAAGGACACATTCTACTCATGTAAAAACATGCTGATTCCCAGATCATCCGCGGGCCGGATTTAGAAGGCAATTGGGCCGGATCTGGCCCCTTGGCCTTAGTTTGCCTACCCATGCTCTGAGCCATGCAAGGAATTGAAGCAAATGCATTTTTGACAACTAATACATTTGATTTTCACCAAGGTGAGTATTTTGACCTTCAACAAAGTGATCTCCACTTTGAAGTAATTCAAAAGTGCAGAAGAAATAGCAGCATTAACCTTAACTATTGTCCAGAAGCGCTGATGCATTTTTAATATCATTTAGTAAAACTAAATAAAAATTAAGAGAGTTTGTTTTGCTGTGATGGTATTTGTCAGGATCGCCATCCTATTCTATGCATCACCCTTATTTTTATTCATTTTCTTTGTAAAGAATTTTGAAACTCAAGAGACTGCAAATTCAACCTCGTAAATTATATTAAACAATATTTGGGGATTTTTTTTAATCGTGTGGGACAATTCTCATCCATTTTCCTGTATCAAAGGCTGCAAGCACTCTCTAGTGACACCTAGTGGCTGTGATGCAAACATCCTCTTATGCTGTATTTTATGGTGACTGGATTGTGTTGGTTCCACATAAACTCCGAGATTATAGGCACAATCTAGATGAATTTAGGGCCAATGGAATTAATAAGGTTAAGCAGTGCTGTGTCATTAGAATTAAACAAAGAATGTAAATAGTTATTTTTATTAATTGTGCATGTTAACATACTCAAGATGTATTAATTATTTTTTATTAATTGTGCATGTTAATATACTCCTAAGCTAACACCAGAATGAAGACAATGGATTGTATCCAACTAAGACATACTCTGTAGACTTGAGTTAGTCATGGATATCCTAAGATATTCCTAAAACATGTAGGAATTTTTTAAAGCTGTTAAAAAAAAACCCCACTTGATGGATATTATTTATATTGCAGAATTTTCTATCAAGTTCTGTTATATTCATATATTTGTAGATGAGAAAACTGTATTATTTTTATTCACCCACAAATATTTCACCTGCATTTTAAGAAGCAAATACCCAAAGAGAAAAAATAGGTTTTGTGTAGGAGTGTCAAAAAGCAAATTCAACAAGACACATCACAGATTCAAACAAATCCTTCTGTTCATGGGCTGATATGCAAAAAAACAAAACAAAACAAAAAAAACACACCATCAGGCATGGCCTAGTGCATTGAGTCCTGGAGTGATATGAGATACACATTTAAAACACCACTGTGTTTGTGCCTTTGTACAAGACCACTGAGCTTCAACTGGTGGCTCACGCAAGCTCAATTAAGGCATGCTGTGGCTACCACAATTTTGATAAAAATTCTATTTCCCCTTTTGTGTGTTTTGCCAATGGAACTGGGGTGCAAAAAAGTCGGGGGGGGGGGCGCTGAAAAATGAAAGGGATGCCAAAGGGCATTTGTGTAGCAGGAGCCAGCATGAAAAAGTCTTGTGTTAGGCTCTAGAAGCAGCAGAAAAAGAGAGCAAAAATATAAATTCACTAAAAGTAGTGTAAAAATACACTAATAGTAAATACCACATTGGAGTTAAACTTGAGTCCTATGTCTGAAAAGACTTTTATCATGCTAAGCTACCAAGAATATTACTGGGCAATGTTAGCAAGGAGAATGTGAGACATGATGTTGGCTGGTTATTACATCTGCTGCAATCTTTGATTAGGTTTAGGGTACAGCTTGATTCAAATTTAATAAGCCATGGTATACTAGCCTGAAAACGAGCACCTGGGGCACTTCAGCTTTGATGCTCCCTGTCATTGTATTAGACAACAGTTACTGCAGGTGTGATTGCCTAGCTCATGATTTGCTGCTCTCAAGGTTCCCTTCTATTGTCAAGGGACCAGAGGGGTAACAAGAAGAAGAGGAGGAGGAGGAGGAGGAGTTTGGATTTGATGGCATTAAAAGTTGCCACAACTGAACCCTGATATGGCAGATCATACTACACAGCTAGATTATGGTCTTGACCATTTTAAAAACAAACAAATCTATCTCCTTTCAATAAACAAACAACCATTTAGTGTATCTCCTTTGCTTTCTGTAATTTCCCACAAAATTGCAGTTGAGGATCTTTAGTTGATACCCCATTTTTATTCAGCATCATTGTAGTTACGGTATGGAACTTGCCCTAAAGAAATAGCCATTACTACCCCTGTTCTTACGATGCCCATTCAACAGCACCACATAAATAAATATAAAAAAAGAGTCTTACCTCCCTCCTTATGCCTTCAGCTCCCTTTCTTCCTTATTTCATTTTGCTATTTCATTATAAGCTCCCTAATGGCTGCAGCACCAAGCAATTAGTGAAGGGGTTCAGGATATCAAATTCTAAAGCTTTCCCAAGAGGTCTAATAAACTGAGAGTGGGTGGAGGCAGAATCAAAGCTACAACCCAGTGCCATAACTTCCGACAAATTTCCACAGGAAGTCCAGTAAGTGACCAGAACAAAATCATGGGTGCCAACTACCTCAAACTCTGGGGAAGGTTTGTATTACACAGAATGGCTTCCATAATAATGCAAGCACACTTATGGTAAATATACTTTATGAGTCTTTTGTTAATGCCGCAAGGCAAGCATTGAGGGAAAGAAGAAGGAAGGAGGGAAATGGGAGAAAACACACAGTCCTGCCATTGAGGATAAGGGAGGGAAAGGTAAGTCTCCTGAATGACACTTGCAGCAGTCAGTAAAGATGCAGGGGGGGGGGGGTCATCTGGGGAATCAAGAGGATTTAAGGTGTTCCAGAATCTAGGTATTTTGTAATGACTCCGAGAAGGCTGCCGGCACTGATTTCCTATGTACTGCACTAGAATGAAATCTAAAATCCAAACCCTACCAGCCACTGCAGGGACTTTGGAGAGCTACTGCTGAGTCTATAGCCCAGCCACTTATGGTGACTATGGTGGAAGGAACAAGCGAATGATTGGGGCTGATCCCTGCACCACCTCCAGGCTTTTGCAGTAATCCTGTATGGATCAGGCTCACTATCCAGTGAATCTCAGACTGTTCAGCCCCGCTCTGCCCCCCTCCCCAGAATGCCCCCCCATTTTGCAGTTTTCCACTACCAGGTATACCAGTAGCAGGCTTCCTGCCCACATGGCTGATCTGTGCCCAGAAGGGGCAGGTCAGTGGTGACTGGCTCCATCCAACCCCTCCCCCAGGCAGTGTTCGAAACTCTGATTGTTCTAGGTGCATTTGCGGCAGGGAATTTCATTAGTGAAGCAGTTGCTGAGCTCTGGGCACAGGACTGCACCTAAGATTTCAGATTAAAACTGCAGAGTGGAAGGAAAGGAGGACCTTTTTCTGCCTCCCCACTTCCAACGATTCTCTGAAGACTGGAGAAGAGACCCTCTTAAGAATATGAGGGAGGGTGGGCAGGGGAAGGACTAGACCATGTGAAAAATGAACATAATACTTTAGCTGCAGTTCATTCATCTTCAGCTTTGTATTCTTGTTGTTAAAAAAGCACACCTAGCCATTCCGTTGTTGCGCCCATAACCTAGGTTTAAGGTGCCATTTAGCTTCTAGCTTTCTAACACTGTCCATAGGGGTTGTGGATTTGATTGCTCTGCCTCTTGGTTTTATACCCCTCCTTCAAATTCAGTTTCTATTCTATTCCACTGCAGCATGACAAAGAAAGAAGGGAAGATGGAAGCAAAGTCACAATGCTCATTCTTTGTTTAATGAAATCATGGTTTATCAGACTAAACCAGACTGAAATTATTATAGCTGAATCAGGCCTCTGAGTATAGTTTAGGGCAGCCTTACCTAACCTGGTGCCCTCCTGATGTTTTGGATCAGAACTTACACCAGCTATGAAATTGTCTCACCTGTCATATGTGTGGAAGGATCTCTGCTTTAGTATATTCCTTGCTGGCATTGCTCACATAGTTTATATTTCATTTTAAACAATTTACTATTATTGATACCTATTTTACAATGATAGGACTGAAGTAGTAGCAACTGGCCCAAGGCTGCCCAGTGAATCTTATAACCCAAGTGGTCCATGTTGAACAATGACCACTAACCTCCACAACACGCACACACACACATTCAACCTGTAGGATGCGCTATATAGTTTATATCAGAAAAGCCCAACTTGCTGAACTTGGAAGGCTAGTCATTTTGCCACCCTTTCCTGCTTTTCAGGCTTCCCTACCTTGCAGGAGGCACATCAATATTTGAAGACACAACTTTGCGTTTCTGCTCGAGAAGGCAGATGGAGCGGGTGCTTTCTTTCTCGTGCTCATGGGCTCTGCCAGGTTTTTTGGTGTCTGCTGTTTTCGAATCCTCTTCCTTCATCGCCAACAGAAAAAAATGTTGGTCTGACAGTTTTTGATTCAGATCACTTTTTAGCTCCTCCTGCTGAAATGCTGCGAAGGTCATTTCACGCTTTATGCTGGTTGCCTGAAAAATTAAAAGGGATTATTAGATTTCTTGCAATTCATTTGCATCATTTTAAAAAAGAGGGGGCAGACATAGCCTCCAGGCATCCAATTCTATTTAGCAGCTCCGACTCACATTACCAAGCACTTTGCTAGGCAGGCTTCAGACAGAAACCTCTTCATTTCCTTTACTAGAGGTATCTGCAAATTGTCATGAGCATCCCATTGAGAGGGCCATCCACATATCAAATAAGAGCAGCAAGGGCAAACAGAAAGGTGCTCTTGGTGGGCAGCACCCAGCCTCAGTTCTAGAACTACCTTGCTCTGTGCGTCAGGGGAGGGGAACTTGTGGTCTTCCAGATGCTTATTGGACCTCAGCTTCCATCACTCCTGACCACTGGTCATCCTGGCCGAAAGCTGATGGGAGCTGAGTCCAACAACCTCTGGAGGGCCACAGGTTCCCCACCCTTGACACAGAGGAAGGAAGACCCAGCGTGCTCTCACAGCAGGACCATCTTGGCTGTGAATCCTGGAAGACTTGCTCTCTGCCTTGCAGGCCTTTTCCCACCTGGGCTAACTCCAGCTACAAAAGCTGAGGCTGAACAAACTCTTGGGCTAGGGTATTGTTGAGAGGGGATGGTTTGCGAATGTTACTTATTTTTTTTTGTAACTTTATTTTATATCTTATTATGATTTATGTGGAAATTGTTCAATATGTGTACTTTCTGATGTTTCATTTATTGCCTACTATGACTTTTGTTAATGTTTGTAATTACGCATGTTGCAAGCTGCCTTGAGCATGACTTACATATTCTTAGATGTGCTTAAGTGTCCAAACTTATTTTAAATTGCAGTTGTCATGTTTTACTGCTTTGTTGTTTGCTACTCTGGCCTCTTGGGAGGAAGGCTGGGAAAGAAATTGAATCAATAAACAAACAACAAATATATTAGTGAAAATAGTATATAAAATGTGTTACATTAGGGAAAACTGTTAGCAGAAAATGTTACATTAGTAACTATTTTTTTTAATAAATAAAAAAATCACAAACTGATGTGGAAATGTACTTAAATGAATTTAAAACTGGAAGAATGAGTAACAGAAACAGAAATGGGTAACTTCGTACAACTTTGCTTGCATCTAGCCACACTATGACCATGTGGGGGGGGGGAGGTAAAGGACCCCTGACAGTTAAGTCCAGTTGCAGATGACTCTGGGGTTGCGGCGCTCATCTCGCTTTCTGGCTGAGGGAGTCGACGTTTGTCAGCAGACAGTTTTTCCGGGTCATGTGGCCAGCATGACTAAGCTGCTTCTGGCGAAACCAGAGCAGCACATGGAAACGCCTTTTACCTTCCCACCGGAGTGGTACCTATTTCTCTACTTGCACTTTGATGTGCTTTCGAACTGCTAGATTGGCAGGAGCAGGGACCGAGCAACGGGAGCTCACCCTGTTGCGGGGATTCGAACTGCTGACCTTCCAATCGGCAAGCCCTAGGCTCTGTGGTTTAGACCACAGCGCCACCTGATGTGAAAATAGTCCTGTGCAAAAAAAGGTGTAGCTTCAGTCCTGAAGACCTTTTGTGAAACATGAAGGTTTTGGTTAAAATATTTATGCTTCCAAGAGAGCTTATCAATAATAAAAAATAAAATAAACACAACAGATGCATAGTAGTTTGAATACATGGATGGGGAGGAGAAGAAGAAGAAGAAGAGTTTGGATTTGATATCCCGCCTTTCACTCCCTTTAAGGAGTCTCAAAGCGGATAACATTCTCCTTTCCCTTCCTCCCCCACAACAAACACTCTGTGAGGTGAGTGGGGCTGAGAGACTTCAAAGAAGTGTGACTAGCCCAAGGTCACCCAGCAGCTGCATGTGGAGGAGCGGAGACGCGAACCCGGTTCCCCAGATTAGGAGACTACTGCTCTTAACCACTACACCACACTGGGAGGGGAGTTCAAAATGGGTATTTTCGGGAAACACTGTTGGTTGTTGCCCAGTGCCAGTTTATTTTTTTTTAACTGTAAAAATAATTATGCTGGTATAAGGTTACTGTAAAATACAATGAAAAATTACAGTGCAAGCCCATGCACACACTTAAAATGATTAGAGGCAAAATATTTAAACACATTTCCCATTTTGTAGTTTCCTTGGAAAGCCTTCTGGCACTTGTTTCAAGAGTAAAACCAGAATGATTACTTTAAGAACACAAATGGTATCCAAGCTGAAAGCATTAGTCATATTATACTTCTCGACATGCAGCCAAATGACATATTGCCAAGAAAATATGTTTCCCCTGTGTTTTGCAAAGCATAAAGCTCACAACACAACACAACCAACAATTGTAAACAAGTATACTTTTCACGTTAGTAATAAAGGTCATGTTTGAAAGACAGATGAGATTTCCTGTTTTGAAAGTTGATTTTTAACCAATTATCCTGAAGAAATCAAATACTAATTCTGGGACAATTCAGAGAACCACTGTCTGCATGGCATGTATGTGCATAGGTCAGCTGTCCAACCATGGTGCAGAATTTAGTGGCCAGGTTGCTTACTGGGGCATGACAGCTTGAGCATATTATACCAATCCTGGTCCAACTGCACTGGCTGCCAATTAGTTTCCAAGCCCAATTCAAAGTCCTGGGTTGTTGTTTTTTACCTATAAAGCCTTAAATGGCTCAGGACCACAATACCTCAAGGGCGGCCTCTCCCCATATGAACTGACCCAGACCCTGCATTCATCATCTGAGGCCTTTCTTCGTGTGCCTACTCTACAAGAGCTTTAGAGGGCGACAACATCATAACGGGCCTTTTCTGCAGTGGCTCCCTGTTTGTGGAATGCTCTCCTCAGGGAGGTTTGGCTGGCACCTTCATTATACACCTTTAGGTGCCAGGCAAAAATGTTTTCACTTCAACCAGGCCTTTGGACAATGAATATCTTACACCCTTTTAAAAGTGTTTGTGGGAGGGGGGTAAGGTGGTGTACTGAAAATCTCCCACAATGTCCCTTTCGATGGTACAAATGGATGGGTCTGCTAAGGAATGCATAAGACTTTGCATCTGCTGAATTCATGGGGAGTGATAATATGGGTAACAATAATGGGTAATACTGTATATGGTGAGTAAATAGGGATAAAGGCAGCAGAGAAAAGAGTGATGAAATGAAATGCAGCAGAAGTGATGGTCAGGAGTTCTTGTTAGGTCTGTTGAAGCCTGTGCAGGCATTTGAGGAGATGCAGCAAGTTCTCACGGTCCAAGTTGCAGGCCTATGGGTGATGGAAATTTCCCCTTTGCAAGTTCAGTTTAAGAGAACAGACGCACAGCACTCCCAATCTGCACATGCAACAACATGTATGGGGTTCATGCAAAATTGGATTCGAATTCTAATCAACAGGTTCAATTAACTTTGTGTTACTATCCCCCCATCAAGTTACCATGTATCAAAGACCAGATTTTTTTTACACAGCCTTCCAATTTTGTCTGGCTAACCTGCTCTTTATAAAGGGTAAGGAAAGGGGATGGGTACCTGTGGGCTTTTGCGGGAGGTGGGGGAATTCCCCCACCTCCCGCAAAAGCGCACAAAAGCCACACGCTCTTTAAAGGGTGCGCGGCTTTTGCGGGCTTTTCTACGAGGTGGGGGAATCTCCCCACCTCGTAGAAAAGCCTGCAGGAGCTGCACAACCTTTAAAGAGCGCGCCGCTCTTGGGGGCTTTTCCCCAAAGAGGGAAAAGGGACTGACTGGCCGAGTCAGTCCCTTCTCCCTTGTGTGGGCTTTTGTGGGAGATGGGGGAATTCCCCCACCTCCCGTAATAGCAGGGAGAAGGTCTGGGAGCAGCGCACAGGCTGTGTGCAGCCTGTCCGCTGCTCCCAGAGCTGGGGGCGAGGGGAATCATATTTTTTTCCTTGATTTCCCCCTCTGAAAACTAGGTGCGCCCTATGGTCAGGTGCGCCCTATAGAGCGAAAAATACGGTAATTATAATTTTAGACTTGGGTAAAAAATAGAAATGCAATGTTCCAAGTTTGACACATATTCTCTCTTAGCCTCATTGCTCTGCACAGAGACCCTTCCTAAGTCAAAAAAATTAACAACTCTATGCTGCCATTGTGCTAGTTGCTTCTCCAGTCTGTCACATGATGCCTCTGACTCTGCCGGCGGCTTACAAGGCAGAATGGTACAGATAAAGTAAGTTTGCTTTGCTGCAACCCACTATGACTCAACTCTACTTATCTGCTCTTCTTCACAGACCTGTGATAGGGATTTCCAGTAATTCAATAGATATGTGGACAGAAGCCTAGTCTGTAGCAAAACTTGCTTTATTAGACCAAATTAAGTTTCAATCTATGACTTAATTTGAAGTGGTACTATTATGGGATGCACCTTCCCCCGCCCAACTTCAGTGGAGAGATTAATGATTTGGGTAGAAGAGTTCTAGACATAAATGAAAGGACTAAGGTGCATAAAGAGAAGGACGGAAATTTGCAGTAGCCAAGACAAGAGATAACCAGAACATGACTTGTGGAGTCTGAAAAAACAGCTACTGGGTTTTTGTTGTTGTTGTTTTGGTTTTTGCTATGCTATGCAGAAGAAGAAGAGGAGTTTGGATTTGATATCCCGCTTTATCACTACCCTAAGGAGTCTCAAAGTGGCTAACAATCTCCTTTCCCTTCCTCCCTCACAACAAACACACTGTGAGGTGAGTGAGGCTGAGAGACTTAAGAGAAGTGTGACTAGCCCAAGGTCACCCAGCAGCTACATGTGGAGGAGCGGGGAATCGAACCTGGTTCACCAGATTACGAGTCCACTGCTCTTAACCACTACACCACACTGGCTCTCACTTGGTGGCATGACTTGGTGACTGAGACTGTGTGTGTGGGAGATAGAGAGGGGATTCTGAAACAAAACCTAGATTTTATTAAAATTATTTAAACACAGCTTCCCATACAGGGGTCCTGAAACGGCTTACAAAATAAAATTCAACACTAAAATGTTTTTAAAATGAATATTAAAATATACATAAAATCTAAATAAAATCAGTAATGAGCAATTGCAATAATAGAGTGCTCCAAAGAGTGGGCACCACTATAGAAAAGGCCCTTTTTCATTCCCCCACCCCAAGTGACATACTTAGAAAATGTGGTACCACTAGCAAGGATTTCTCTGATTATCTTAATGCCCTAACATGTCTGCATAGTGAGGGGAAGGCAATCTTTTACGTATTCTGGTCCCAAGTTGTTTTGGGCTTTATACACCAGAAACAAAACTCTGAACATTGCTTGGTAGCTAACAGCTGCCAGTCTGTTTGAGCATTTTTAGCTCTCCACTCGGTACCTTCGCTGATGTCTTCTGCACTAGCTGCAGCTTCTGAAATAATTCCAAGGGCAGCCCCACAAAGAGTGCATCACAGTATCCCAAATATAAGGACTGCCCAATTCCAGGACATCATTGCTACACTAGTTGGTAATAGGTGGTCCTAATCACCAAGGTTATTTTAGCCTCTGGTGACATAAGAAGAATTAATGCCTGGTTAACAGGGAAGATAATATCTATAGACCCTAGTCAATAGCCACATTAAGAAGTCTATAGTTAACCATAATTTTGCACTATGTGCAACTGGGAAGCTAGTTAATGGCTTCAGAAGAAGCCAGGATATGAAGCCAACCTCCAACCATGGTTTGATATCCTACCTTATTCTCAAGCTGCTAACCATGGCTTCCCAGTTTGGATACAACATGAAACGTAGTTAACTGAAGACTTCTTGGTTTGTTTCCTGGCTTTCCTGCAGGGGCACAAGGCTCATTCATACTTCACCTTATTAGGCCAAAATATTATTGTCTGAATGTAGCCAAAGAGAAGGAGGCTTAGGAGAAGCAGTTCAATCATGCATGTACCGTATTTAAGATGACAATGATACAGCCATGAAAAAAATATATCAGGAAGCTAGTTGGAGATGCAGGACAAGATATATGGAATGGGAGACTTCTGGATGTAGAAACATTAGGCAAAACCTTTTTAGAAATACTTACAATGATAATAAAAGGAGACTTACAGGAATGCATAGGGTGCAAATTCTTCCTCAAACCTTTTACTAGCACCAATAAACCCTTCCCGTAAGTCTGAAATATGCTTAATAGCACACCATCACTGGAAGCAACAGGGGCCAGACTACACCTCATGCTGTTAAAATATCAAACATCTAAAAGGCTATTTAAAAACAAATCTAATTGATTTGTATTCTTAACATACAACTCCAACCTCAAGTTCTCTTAAACATTTTTTTTTGTGCTAGCCTGAGGATAAATCAATTTGAAAAAGAAGAATTATATTGCACAATCTATTCAGCAAGAATAATATTCACGGAGGAGCACAATGAGGTAAGAAAGATTCTTCTATCAATATTTGGAAAGGTCTTGCTCTGAATTTTAATGTATTGTTACATTCTAGGCTACTCTTTGCATTTATTTACTCACTCACCTTGCCAGTGCCTGCTTATTATAAATAACCTATGCTAGTTAAGCCTAATCATTCAAAGTGTCTGGAAATAGCTGTGCTGAAGAACACTACCTGAAATAATGCATCAGGAATGCCATTATAAGCATCACTTCTTCTAAATCAGCATTATATATAAAAAAAAAGTACAAAGAAAGAGAATTCATAGCTTTGCTATTCAACAGATGAAGAACTAATATTCCACTCAAATATCACTTTCTCCAGAACAGAAATGTGAATGGTTTTATTGTGGTCAAGAAATTACATGACTACTATTATATATTGCACAGTTTCATCCAAAAGGGCCAAAAAAGAACAGTTTTCCTGCATAACTCTTGACAATTCAAAGGCTAGCCAGTCAGCTCAACACAGAAACAAGTCACATTTAGCTATACTTAGCTTACCCTGCCTATTCTCCCTCCCTTCCATATTGCATGAAATACAACATGACGGGATACTAATCTTCTGCTGCCCAAACAGTGTACCATATTTAAAGTTACAAGAAGCAAAAAGATAGTTTACACATGCAAAAACAAACAAACAAACAAACAAACAAACAAACAAACAAACAGTGAAAGAATAAATGGAACAGACTGGTGCACCTTTTTGGCACTTCTGTGCATATACAGCAGGGCTGGCCAACATGGTGCTCCCAGGTGTTTGGACTACAGCTTCTATTATTCCTGAATCATGCTGGAATAGGATGGGAGTTGTCATTCAAAACATCTGGATGGCACGTCATTGGCTACCACAGAATGGTGCATAGTCACCAGAAGGGAAGGATATACATTTTTATATTAACAACACATATGGCTGTTAGTCCCAGTAACTGCATATTCTTTTTGCCGATTGAAGCTGGCATATTTATGTAAATTTGTGTACTTTTCATTTGATAGGACCAACACAGCAGCTCCTCTCTGCTCCATGCTTTTCTTTAAGAAAAGAAAAGAAAAGAAGCAATGGCTCAATTCAGGTAATTTTTCAAACCATAATTTTAAGAAGCAGGAACATGCCATTGCCCTTTACATTTTTTCCGCACAACTCCCTTCACTTGCATGTCCATTCTCTCCTCCAGCCTCAGATTCCCCTCCCCCAGCTGTAGTTTGTTGTATAACTGGAAACTCTTTTTACTACTAAATCTTCAAAACCATGGCTTGGAGTAGGTTTGCAGACCATTGTTTGTACAGTATGTCAGCACTACCTATGATTTGCTTTATCAAAGCATACAATGCCTAAGTGAGAGATTGGGTGCATGAGAGGAGAGCAGGGAGACCACAGATTTGTAACATGCTCCCAGTCCTTCAAATTATGACCCAGCATATCAGAAGAGAAGTACAGTATCCAAACTGGGACATTGCCAGGAATAGTCTTTTTTAAAAGTTTCTCCATAGTTTTGGCCAGAGTTTCAAAAATGTGTAACATTAACTGATGGTGCAGCTTTTGGCTTCATAACACAGTTACTTTTTAACCCTCAGACCAATGTGTTTATAGTACAACTACTTCCAGTATTAGTCATAGTACTGTACATCATTCTTGGTTTTACCAGCAGATTATTATTATTTACATTATATCAATGCATATCACCTGATGATAAAAAGTCAGGTTTTAAAATTCTCAGTGTAAGCATTTTTCAGGCCCAAATGTTAACAATGCAAAACTGTACTCCTCAACAGCTTCCTTCCCCCATATAAAAGAAATATACCATAATACTTCCCCTTATGCTGCATGTTTCTGAACAGAAGTGTTCTTGTCATACACAGCAAACGTCTTTGATGTTTCTTGTCTTAACCAAGCTGAGTTTATTTCTGGCATCAGCAACAGGTTATAACTCTTTGCATTACAAGCCAACTATCATGTGTCAAGTGTTTGTCAGCCTCCATCACCGTTATAAAAACATATCACATTAACCATCAACACAGTTGGATCTTTGAGAAAAGCCTGAGTAGTCAGTACACAACGTGGTTTCAACTTGTCCATTCCACACCTTTAGCAATGTTGTTAAGTAAGCATTATACAGTTTTAGATATGGGGCTACATTCAGGTGCAATGCTACTCCATGATTTAGCATTTCATGAAAGACGCGTTCTCCTGAGTTTGCAACCTCCCTAATTCTTTTCCTAAAGGTGTTTGGAATGCTCCCTCCCCCTTTTAGTTGTTTTGTTTTATCCAAACTAGAAATTGTGTTTGAATGCTAGCTGTAGTCATTTTCAAAACATTCCAATTTCAAACCACCAATTATGAAGCTGAATTGTTTGAACTAACTATAGTGGCTGTTACTTATTTATTTAAAATATTTACTATCTACTTTTCATTTCCAAAGAATCCAACAGTATAGTACATTAAAACCAAGGCAACAACGTAACAAAAAGCATAGCACTAAAATTGCTACAACTTAATCACCAGGAGGAAACATGATACAATATTAAGCCATCAAGATCAGGGACTAATGTTCTGTGAAAGCCTGAGTGAACAAATGAGTGTTCAGCTGAAGAGGGAACTCAGAAGAGTCAGTGTCAGCTGTACCTCAGGGGTGAGTGAGTTCCACAGTCAAGGCACCACCACTGAAGGCCCTTCCTCTATACAGTGGTACCTTGGTTTACAACCATAATCTGTTCCGGAGGTCCGTTTGTAAATCAAAACAGGGTGTAAATAAGGCGTGCTTTCGCCAATGGGGCCTCCCCCCAAAAAATTGTTCATAATAAAAAGAAATGGGTTGTAATAATAATAATAATAATAATAGGTTGCAAACTGGGACATGCACTTCCAGGTTTGACATGTTTGTAATCCAAAACGTATGCAAACCAAGATGTATGCAAACCAAGGTAGCACTGTATTGGCACATGCTTTATTTCAGCTGCCTGAAGGAGTGCCAGCTTGACCCTGAGACTGTGGGTGCCCAGGGCCTTGGGTGCCATGCATTGTGCATGGCCTTGGTACTGAAATTTGTGGGTGCCCAGCCCCCACAATGGAGTTTTATGGGTGCCCAGACACCCCAGGAGCCAGCACCTACAATATGGCTGCTTGCAGCACAGGCAAGAGGGTCTCCCTTAAAGATCTTAACACACAGGCGGGTCTATATGAGAAAAGATATTCCTACAGGTAACCAGATCCCAAGTTGTTTAGGGCACCTTGAATTTGGCTCAGCAGCTAAATTTCTTTACTATTAATCGCATGGTTCATGCTGTCTAACAACATCAAAAGGCCACAGGTTCCCATTTCTACTTTACCCTATCATGCTCTCTTCTCTAGCAGATATTGGGTTAAACTAGCATGTGTCCTTCACTGCACAGCCAAAAACATTTCCAAGCATGCAGCACAGTTCTCAGGCCGCCATATTTCGACAGGGAACATGAAAAATGACAAATATATATACTTTTGAATAGGTTTAAACTGTAGGTCTTCAATCAACACTTATTATTCCATTGCCTACAAACATTCACACCACTGCAGCCACTGGTTCCATCACTGGTACATCTACCAATTAAGGAGCCAAAACACAAGTGTTGAAAATCTCAGTTTTCCATGTCAACCATAATTAAGAAAGAGAGACACCTGAGACACAAACATATCCTTGATCATGGCTTGCATTAGTGGTGGTGGTAAGACTGCAGAAGGAAAAAGCCAAGCCAAGGTCATTTTACAAGACCTGTTTATCAGAGCATTCATCCCAATTTGTTTGCAGTGAGCTTATACAACATCATGCCAAGCAATTTCCACACTTTCCAGTGCATTTCCCCATCACTTTCCTTACCGCAAAAGTCCAAAAAAATTGTTTACGTGGGTTTGTTGTACCAGAGTGCCAAATCCATTTAAATAGTGCCATCTGCATTTCATAGTACGAGACTTAATCCTACCTGCAAAACAGCAACAGTTTGGAAGTGGCCGAATACAATTTTAAGGGAGATGATAAGACATCAGAAAGATACATCCTCCTGTCAACCTGTTGGGCAATGCAACATTTCTTCACGCTTTCTCAGGCAAATCACAATTGGCTGTGGTGTGGTTATGTAAAATTGGACATGGTAAATACGGATAATGATTAATAATAAGCCTTGCATACACTTCATACTGTATTTCACTGGGCAGCAGAGAATACATTTACAGCATAGACTTCACAGGGTTACATATCTCTCTGTTAACTCAGGGAATCTATCAGGTACCTTTGTAATCTAGACAACTGCGAAATGTCATATAGGATAGCCCCACATAGAACCATTCAGAAGTTTTAGCTTTACCAGAACACGGGCCTAGTTCTACAACAGTGACAATGCTAAGGAGCTTATGAAGCATAGAAAAATTTATGTAAACCTCTACGTGGGCAAGCAGAGTAGAAGTATAAGAAATAAAACAGTGACAGACCACCTGGACTGATTTCCTATTCATCTTCTGGGCACAAGAGAGGAAGCGGGGGTACCAGGGAGGACTTCTTAGTGGTGGCACCCCAATTTATGGTTCCTCAAAAAGTACCTCCTTTAGTCAACTTTTATCCTTTGTTTTCCCAAAAACCTTTTGCCTGATTTTTGCTCTGATTGTTAGCTTCCCTCTGGCTCTTTAGAGCTTGATGCATTTTCATGTTTTTCTGTTTTAATTGTTTCTCTGTCACCTCTGTTACTAAGTTTCTTTGTATACAATGCACCTTGCATATTTTTTTTAAAATTGATGGGCAATAGAAAAATATAAATTATGAAATGCCATGACCCTGCATTATGAGCATTCTTTGTAATATATATATATATATATGGATGGAGTTGTTGTTTTTTGAAACTTGTATATGAATGCATTGAAGATAAAATAAATGCATAACAACAAAATAAAAGTTGACCTTAAAGATCCAAAATCGTACAAACTGCCTGCCTTCCCTAAATCCCACCGCAAACCTGAAGATCACCTAAGAAGCATCCTGTAGTAGAGTCACACATGCTTGTTTCAGAAATTTTAGAACCATTTCTTCACTGGTCACAGGGGACTCTGGTCACACACAGTGCAAAGATCGTGCTTTGCAGTGCAGTCCTTATGCTCATCTACTCAGAATTCAGGGGGGTTACTCCCAAGAAAGTGTGTACAGGGATGCAGCCTTAATTGCTCCAACTACTTTCCCAATATACCTGCCCATTCACCCACCCCCCAAACACTTAATATCCCCATGGCTCTCTTCACTGCCTCATTATGTTTTACCATTATCTCCCGTTTCACTGTTGCTGCTAAGCCGGCTCCATTCTTTTGCAGCAGCGTGGTACAGATGCATGCATTTCAAAGCCTACACGCACACCCTAGAACCCAACGACGCTGATCCCTATTATCAGTGGTCATTCCAGCATTGCCCTCTACTGTCAGAGGGCACTTCGTTTCATGTTATTCATTCTAGCACAGCACACCACCCCTAATCCTGCAACAGCAAAAAGTTCTGCAACACAGCACAACAGACCGTGCAAAAGGATCGCTGTTGATGCTTTTATTAAAAAAATGTAAACAACAGCCATCTTTATTTACACTATGAGCTAACTGTCTGAGATGGGTAACACCAATCCCAAAGGGCCCTTACAAAACCGTAGATTATGCTACATTTTCTTTGTTTAAATCCACAATGTTTTGGTTTTTTAAAATGCACTCTACCTCCCCACCCAGAACGGTAGATGCACACCTGATGCCTTTGTCACACATTACATGCACCCAACCAACCCCTTCCCTGCAGACAGCTAGATTTCCCTCGCAATCAACGCGGGTAGGTGGGTGGCTCGGTGGGGGACAGTTATGCAGCGGGGATGGTATGCGGCGGTTCTCCCGTCCAGCTTGGCAGGGCAGTCAGATGTGCAAGCCTGCCTTGCAATGGAGTCGGTGCCCCGTCCCTCCAGCCTCGTGCTGGGAAGGCACTCTGCGTATGCCCCGATGCCCTCTTCCCCTTTCTTAACCGCCCATTCTCTTCCTACCCGGGGCTGGAATTCGGGGTTGCAAGCAAGTGGGGGCGCAAGCGAGGCCCGCCTCCCGCGCAACTTCCAAGAGGTCGCCCTATGAAGCCCCTCCGGAACGCAGCCCGGAGACTAGAGCAGCGGCGGCTTCGACGGCGCTTTTCCCGCCCAGCGACGCCGACGCACCTTGAGGCTCCCCCGGGCGGCCGCGTGGCCCTTGCCCGGCCCGGCGTGCTCCACCGGCGGCGGGCTGCCGCTGCCTCCCGCTCCTCCGCCGCCCGCCTCCGCCTCGTCGGCGTCGTCGTCCTCCTCCACGTCGACCACCACGTCTTCCTCTTCGTCCTCCTCCTCGAGGGCGGCCGCCAAGCCCTCCCGCCGGGGCGGCCTCCACGAGTTGTCGAGCTTGGGCAACGGCTGCGCGGCCGACGGCGAGGCGCTGAGGCGCCGGCTCCCCAGGCTGGAGCGCTTGGCCAGGCGCCGCGCTTGCATGGCTGGCCGCGCCCAGCTCGCCTCAGAGCGGCGCGCGGGAAACAGCAGCAGCAGCAGCAGCAGCGGGTTCGCTTGCTCGCTCGCTCGCTCGGCGGCGGGGCTCGGCTAGGGGCGGCGGCTGAGGAGGCACTCACGGCCAGCAGGCGAGAGGGCAGCTGCTGCCGCCGCCGCCGCCGCTCGGAAGGAAGGCCGGCCGCCGCGCTGCGGCCATGAGGGCGACCCGCGCCGAGGGCGAGCGGCTCCGGGGCCCCGGCTGCCTGCCTTCCCGCAGGCCCGGCGGTGGCGCTCCCCAGCTGCGGGGAGGGACGGGCCGAGGCTCTTTTGCTAGTCTCTCTCTCCGCGCGGCGCGCTCGCCCCAGCCTCAAAACCCGGACTGGAATCGCCTTCCCGCGCTGCAAAGGCGGCCGCTGCCGAGGAGCTGCTGCTGCTGCTACTGCGGGGCTCGGGACGCTCTCTGCTCCCAGCAAGCAATAACAGGCGGTAGTCCGAGGTGAGGTGGGCAGGGCGGCAAAGCCAAGGCCCGGCGGAAAGGGGAGCTTTCCCTACCACGCCACCCCGTCCGGACCTGGCGCGAGGAAGAGACGCGGGAGGTGCACAAACAAGCAGCAGGTGGAGGATGGCGCGCGCCTGATTGCTCTTTGGGAAGGGGCAAAAGTGAAGAGGTGGAGGGAGCATCCTCGGGGGAAGCGTCGCCAGAAGAGCCCTAAGACCCAAAGCATCTCGTCCCGCCTCCGGCAGTTCTCCGGATGATTATGGGAAGCCCACAAGCAGGTAGGGCTGCAAAGACTTATTCCTATCAGAATCATCTAACTGTAGAGTTGGAAGGGACAATCATCTAGTCCAGGCACCCCCAAACTCGAACTTCCAGATGCTTTGTTCCCATCATCCCTGACCACTGGTCCTGTTAGCTAGGGATGATGGGAGTTGTAGTCCAAAAACATCTGGAGGGCCGAGTTTGGGGGTGCCTGATCTAGTCCAACCACATGCAATGCAGGATTCCCCTCCCCCACAACGTGTGGGGCTCGAACCCACGGCTCTGAGATTAGGAGAGCTGCTGTCAGTCAGTGTGGACAATGCTTAACTAGGCAGAGCCACAGGGTAACTTGGTACAATGTCGCTTCCCATGTTCCTAACCTTTTCAGCCCAATCCAATGCTGGTTTACGCAGACTGTACTGTTAAATGGAGCTTATTCTGAAGTAAGTCTGTGTAGAATTGCATCTGAACAGCCTAATCCTAGGAGCTGAGCTGCTCCTAAGCTCATTGAAATAAATGGGTTTAGGGAAACTTAGCTACTCTGGATGTTGTTGGGTATTAATGCTGTTTGTCCTTATTTCAGCACCTGGTTTTTCACTGCCTTTTTCTGAAGCTTTGTTGTGCATTTTCTCAAACTTTCACCTTAGTGGTGGTTTTCCTGGGGGAAGGGCCCTCTGCTGCTTTCTCTTAGTTGTTGCTAAAGGTGATCCTTGTGTTAATTGTTAGAGCAGTTAATCAGTCTATGCCCCAGAGCCCTGAGGTCCGCTAATCAATAAGTAAGTATTAAGCACACCATAAAAAGTTCTGAGCAATGTTTAACTATATACATGAAAAATAATCAATATTTTTTAAAAACAGACAGACAAACCTGCTCTTCAGACTCATATCAGTGTGGTATTAGGGTAGAAGCCCACCATGCTGCAGCTAATTTTCAGATTAATTAGAACTATTTAGTTCAGAACTATTTTTTTTTTAATCTCAGAGACCACGTGTTCCACACAGAAGAAGCATGGTCGAGAATGCAGGCCAGTGTGACAACAACCCAGAACAGAGACCAGAATAATCTCCTCTGTTACATAATTACCTTTTGTGCCAGGTGGAATGGATAAAGGAAGGAAAACAATGTAGCATGAATACAATAATTATTTATTTGTACGCCATGCAGATATATTCGCTGCAAAACACACACCCTGTTCAGTGTACTTACAGGCGCAGACCTGAGTTTCCAAAGTCGGATAAATGGAACAGCATTCAGTTTGCAATTCTGAGTTTTGGCAGAGGGTGTCCATGATACCCAGAAGCCAATGTTTAGGGACAAAATTCACCTGGCCCCCATCATTAGCTCCTTCTAACCCTGTGCCCATTCATAGCACAGAGGGAAATTTCTGCTGGCTCAGAGCCACCATCTCTCTACTTAATAGGAACAGCGTTGGCATGGTTATCCAAACCATATTGTTCTTACTCAAGGCTTCTTCCTGCCTGCTTTTGCTCAAGCACTAGAGCACCAAAACAAAACCTTGGGAAACAACCACACAGAAGCCTCCTTTGTTTTCAGATCATTGGGGCCTTCAGACCTTTATCAGCTCAGTAGCAGCATCAAGGCAACTTGTTTTCACAATGTTTTAGGAACTTGCCATTTGGGAATCGGTGACCTACAAATCAAAATGAGTTTAAGATTGTTCCCTTTTACACAGTGCAGAAAATCTCTTCCACCTGTTAAGAGGCTTGTCACTCTGAGATGCCTTCAAGACCAAGCAAGTTTAACTCTATAACACCCTTAGTCATTTGTCATGTTTGACAAATTATCTACAAGATGAGCAATATTGCTGACAACCTTGGAGGATTGTTGGTTAAGATGGCACTGGATGTAAAGCTGAGGTCTAATCTCTAACTGGAAGAAAGAGTGTAGGGGCTCCAGGTGCTTGAAATAAGATTTTAGCTTTATCTATTTTGGAACAAAATAAATCCTTCATTTTTAGCAGCATTTCTCAAATGCAAGTAATGTAGAACACAGCTGCCAAAAAATGTTCCCCCAAGGAAGGATTTATTCCTAAACATGTTGGGTCTGGAATAAATCTTATTTCAAGCACCTGGAGCCCTCCACCCCTCCTGCTGTTGGTGCTTTCCTGATTTTGTGGTTGATTATCCCGAAGTCAGCCCTATTCAGGGAAGTTTTTAGTGTGTAATGTTGTATTGCGCTTTTAGTACCGTATTTTTGGTTGGGAGACACTCAGAGTGTCTGGAGCAACCCAGTCAGATGGGCAGCATATAAATAATGAATTATTATGATTATGATTGTCAAAATATCTAACTAGCCACACAGTCACCTCCCAATACTTTTCAGAATTAAGTACTTAATTCATTCCGGAGGTCCGTTCTTAACCTGAAACTGTTCTTAACCTGAAGCACCACTTTAGCTAATGGGGCCTCCTGCTGCTGCCGCATCGCTGGAGCATGATTTCTGTTCACATCCTGAAGCAAAGTTCTTAACCCGAGGTACTATTTCTGGGTTAGCAGAGTCTGTAACCTGAAGCGTATGTAACCCGAGGTACCACTGTATTTGTAAAAGGGAAGGGATGGGGTGGATCATCTTTGATGTGGCACACCCCTTTCAACATAGACAGAATGGATAAAGTATGTTTTTGAGCCAGCCAGCCTATCCCTGTAGGTGCAGCTTCTCATTAGAGTAGGGGCTGCAAAATGCACTCCTATTCTCAAAGAATCACCTCAAGGGAAGCAGTGCCTGTAAATATGGTCTACCACACCAGATGTTGATTGCTTTCAGACTGTTGCCATTTTGCAGGTGGAATTCAGGCAAATTCTGGCTGCACAAATAAAGTGGATTTGGTGCACTTGCATAATAACAGTCCACCTCTGGATTTGTGTGTGCGCACGCCCGTGCATATGTGGCAAGAAAAGGAACAGGAAAATGCACTGGAAAGCGTGTGATAATGATTGCAGAGAGATTAAAAAGTATCATATCAACTAAACAAATAGTGTTGAGGAGTTCCAACCGCTGGATGAACTCAAAGTCACCCACTTTATAGGATTGTTAGAAGGATGCACAAAGTATGAACTGTAAAACACTTCGCATTTGAAAGTATTAGAAGTAGAATAGAAATAATACTGTGGTTGTGAGAGAACACAGGGTACCAGGCAATGTCTAGAGCTGGTGTGATACAAGGTCACAAAGTTTAATTATTGTAGGCCTTGTAGTTTGTTACTTAGTCTGCAAAAAGGTTCAGGGGCTAGGAGGAGCCTGGAATCTCCTGCCCCCCCAAATTGTCCTGCTTCATATTTTAATGGGACATAGCTGTTGCATTTCATGTGGTTTCAAGACTTCTGTTCTAGTGAATCTCTGTTTCAGTTAAATGCTAGCTCACTCAATGGCTTGAACTGAATTAATCTAAGCTTCTGCTTAAAAATCCATTACGGCTTTTCCATCAGACTGTTCCTCCTACCGGCAGAATGCAGTCTGTAAACATGTGTGGCTCTGTTAAAAAGTCAGCCTCTCATTGGTAGAAGTACTCCAGGCCTCCACTAAGCTACACATCTGAGCTGTCAGTTACTTTTACAGTGTGCACTAGATTTTGGCGCCACAGCTGGAAGTGAGGTTTTTGTTCCATAACAAAAACATGAGCCTGAATGGCAGTGCGCAGAGGAGAGGAAGGCAGAGGCTTGGAGAGAGCCTGAATGCTGTCAGGGGAGCTTTGGGGTTTTCAGAGAGAGCATTCGGATTAACTTAGTATGTTTTGTTTGTATTCTCAGTCATTAAATGTGTTAGGGTAAAAATGCAAAATAATGAGCCTTAGTGATGCACAGTCTTATAACTAGTTCTGTAACCCCATGAAGGTGATGAAAACAACATCTTGTTCGTGATGAAAAATGCAGTCCTGTGCATGTGTGCTTAAATCCCACTGCGGTTGGTGAGACTTCCTCCCTAGTGTGTTTAGGGTTGCAACCTAAGGCTATGCACTTATTTGGGAGTCCTGTTGAAATCATTGAGACCTGTTTGTTAGTAAGCACCCGCACAGGATTGAATTGTAGGTGCCAATTCACATGACTGTTCTTATTCATTTATTTATTTATCTGGCTGAAATCAATACAATTTGTCCTTTTTGTGTTTGTGAATTGGACTGGTATTGTTCCCTTTGATGCAAGTGTGCAGAGTTGCAACATACAGTCATACCTCGGAACGGGTTACTTCTGGGTTTCGGCGCATGCGCAGAAGTGCCGAATTGCAACCCGTGCGTGCGCAGACACGGCGCTGAGGGTTGTGGACGCTGCAGGTTGCAAACGTGCTTCCCGCATCGATCATGTTCGCAACCCGAGTGTCCACTGTAATACATTCTGGTTCAGCTATTTTTAGACTACAGTGGTACCTTGGGTTAAGTACTTAATTCGTTCCAGAGGTCCGTTCTTAACCTGAAACTGTTCTTAACCTGAAGCACCACTTTAGCTAATGGGGCCTCCTGCAGCCACCGTGCCGCCGGAGCACGAAATCTGTTCTCATCGGTTTCGAATCTTCCATTCCTGGGTAAGGTGATTGAGAGAGCGGTTGCTGAACAGCATGGTAGGTTTCTGGATGAAACATCGGCTCTCGATCCATTCCAGTCCGGCTTCTGCGCTGGTCATGGGACCGAGACGCCTCTGGTCACCCTAACAGATGATCTCCGCAGGCAGCTGGATCGAGGCGGGTTGGGGCTGCTGATTCTCCTAGACCTGTCAGCAGCCTTCGACATGGTCGATCACGAACTCCTGGACCACCGCCTTGCCGATGTGGGGATCCAGGGCACAGTCCTTCAATGGCTGTGCTCATTTCTCTCTGGTCGGGGACAGAGGGTGGCGCTTGGGGGGGAATTGTCATCGCGCCACTCCTTGGTGTGTGGAGTGCCTCAGGGTGCGATTCTCTCCCCGATGCTTTTTAACATCTTTATGCGCCCTCTCGCCCAGCTTGTCCGGAGTTTTGGGCTGGGTTGCCATCAGTATGCCGATGACACCCAACTCTATCTGTTGATGGATGGCCATCCTGACTCGGCCCCAGACACACTGACCAGATGTCTGGAAGCTGTGGCTGGATGGTTACATGGGAGCCGGTTGAAGTTAAATCCTTCGAAGACAGAGGTCCTCTGGCTGGGACGGGGCGATATGGGATTGAGGGGGGCAACTCCCATCTCTTGCGGGGGTGCAATTAGTGCCAGCATCGTCCGTTAAGAGTTTGGGTGTAATCTTCGATACCTCCCTCTCTATGGAGGCGCAGATTACAGCTATAACAAAGGCGGCATTTTTTCATCTCCGCCAAGCTAAGCAGTTGGCTCCTTATCTCTCTCGCCCTGACCTAGCCACTGTGATCCACGTGACGGTCACCTCCAGACTGGATTATTGTAACTCGCTCTACGTGGGGCTGCCCTTGAGACTGACCCAGAAACTCCAGCGGGTGCAGAATGCCGCGGCGAGACTCCTTATGGGGTCTTCGCTGCGAGATCATATTCATCCGGTACTATACCAGCTGCACTGGCTCCCGGTGGAGTACAGGATCAGGTTTAAGGTGCTGGTTTTAACCTTTAAAGCCCTATACGGCCTAGGACCCTCGTACCTACAGGACCGCCTCTCCTGGTATGTCCCACAGAGAAATTTACGGTCTGCAAATAAAAACATCCTGAAGATCCCAGGCCACAGAGAGGTTAGGCTGGCCTCAACTAGAGCCAGGGCTTTCTCGGCTGCGGCTCCAGTCTGGTGGAACGCTCTGTCACAAGAGACTAGGGCCCTGTGGGACCTGACATCTTTCCGCAGGGCCTGCAAGACAGAGCTGTTCCACCAGGCCTTTGGTCAGGGCGCAGCCTGACCCCCTCCTCTGGCAATCTGCACAGAATTTTGCTTAATGGTTGCCATCAATTTGATTTTAATTAATTTTATAATGAATGTTTTTAGAATGTTGGATTATTTTGATTGTTGTTAGCCGCCCTGAGCCCAGCTTCGGCTGGGGAGGGCAGGATATAAATAAAATTTATTATTATTAATTTATTATCCTGAAGCAAAGTTCTTAACCTGAAGCACTATTTCTGGGTTAGTGGAGTCTGTAACCTGAAGCGTATGTAACTCAAGGTACCACTGTATTTCCCAATCAGTGTTAGGAATTGTTGCCACAGGGTTTTAAAAAATATATTCCAAGCAACAATGTGTACTTAATCCCTGGCAATAATACTTTATTAGACCCCTTTTCTGTACCCCACTTTTAGTCCTGCTAGATTACACATGCTTTTCTACATTGCTGTGCATACATAACTCATTGAGAAGTGAAAGCAATTCTCAGAATTGTGATGTGTTGCCACAGTGTGTTTGTGGGTGCTATTTCTCCCTATGAGCCTTACTCCAGTTTGCTATATAGTAACTGAGGGTAGATGACAACAAGGCAATTGTGTTGCTGTGATCTGGCTACTTTTGCTTCTTTTGGTCTCTTGTTTTAACTAGTTGTCACTTAATGAATGAAAGGCTCCTAAACTGGAAGCTACAATTTCTAAACAAGCTTTGAGCTATGGCAATTTGCTTGTTTATTTTTTGTTTCATAAAATTTATATACCATTTGATTCTTTCTTGGTCTTGTTGTGGACACAATGGGAAATATTTTTATTCCACTAGGTATTTGGGAAGGGAATTTTTTTATAATTGTTTTATAATTGTATATGTATTTAAAATACATGTTTTATGTAATCCACTTGGGAACATTTGTGTTGAAAGGCAATACAATAAACAATAAACAGAGCCATGCAGTTTGTGAGCAGTGCATTCGATACTTGAAGTAAACTCTGAGCTGGTTTGGACACCATGATAATCATGGTTCATCATGACATGTCCTAAACCATGGTTGTTGTGGTGGGAAGTACCCACAGCAAGTGTCAAGCTTGTGTACTCCCTTAGCCTTTTCTTGCAGCATGGCTGCAAAGAGGAGAGCAGATGCATTGTAGCTGTTTTTAGACTGTATCAGACAATAAGTGGTTGATTTTAACCCTGGCTTATTTGAAACAAGCCATCTTCAAAACATAGTTCATGAAGCCAGCTTATTTCAACAAACCATAGTTAAGATTAACGGTTTGGGGTTTGGATGACACACTAAACAGCAGCTGATATGAAGCAGAAACTTTGGATATCAGTCACAAATAGGAGAGGGAGAAAGGAAGTGTGCAAGTCTGAGCTTTGTTCCTGTCACAATACACTATTGTTCCTTCCTGTCACAATAAACTGACCACAGGCCACAGTCAGCAGCTTTGTAGGTCGCAAGGGCCACTATTGGCTTCTTATATAATTTAATCCCACATGTCACTTAATCACTTAATTAAATACAGTCCCATCCTCTAACCTTTTAAAATGGCAATGCAGAGGTGCAGCAGAACTTTAGCCAGCAGTTTGCAAGTTGCCTTTATGGCACAAGGAACAAAATGTTCCATCTTCAGAGTACCTGGTTCGAATCGAGCCTCCTGCATCCTTCCAGAAACTTAGAATGGTATTCTGCTTTAAAATCATCAAACTTTTCCAACAAATAAGGCGTTTCATTTCTTATAAATGTCACCTGATGGGTCACTCTTACTTTAATATTAATTTTGCTGGCAAACCTATGACAGAGTCCATCTCTCTTGCACATACTTCTGTAAATGCATAGGGGCAGGATGGTTAAACATCCCTGTTTGAATTTCTGTGAGATTTCCCAGGGAATGGCTTGTCTCTCCACCTTAAGGCCCACTTTGTGGGAGAGGATGGGTTCCTCATGAATTCTTTCAATTTAAATGGGAGAGGGAGAGCATCATAAGTTCTAATTTAGGTCAGTTAGCACAAAACCCATCACTTTGATTGGTTTAAGAGATGCGCTTTCTACAGGGATTTTGCCATTTTATTCTGCGGTGAAGACACTAGGTTTTCCAGCTGGCATCTATTCACTCTGGAACACTGGTAGCTCACTGGCATTCATCCACATAGCTGTAACTTTTTGAATACAGCAAATTCTTTATTGTGATTCACAGAGAGCAGCTCTCTGGTTGCCTTTTAATCTCAGCCTCGTCATGGAGATTAGTTGATTTGAGCAGTGCCAACTCACTAAGTATAGCTGCTCCACTCAACTCAGAAGTTATTTGTGAAATCGATGCATGCAGCATTCTTTATTTGGCTCCCCCTCCCTTAAAAAAAGTAGTAGTAGTACTGTTTTAGTCAGTGTTGGGATTTTAGTGGCTGTGCCACTTAGTATTGTTACAGATCTGGGGTAACAGAATTTGCGGGTGCAAGGGCAGCCAGTAGCTGCTAGAGCTAGAGAATGTTAAGGGGTTGAATTTAGCTGATTTTTGGAGTATTGAAGGGAAGATGCTAGGCCAGTAGAGAAATACAGGCCAAGCTCCCTTTCCAGGAGAGGGTCTCATCTGGGATAGCATGACAAAAAGTGTTGATGGCCCATCACATGAGAATTCTGGGGTCTGTGCCAATGGAGGTTGCCAAGTTTACACCGACCGATGACGGTAGGTTACAGGAAAATTTATATTTATTACTATTTCGGTCACAGACCACTTCTAGCCCACATACAATATCAAGGAAGTCATAAAACACGATAGGGATACATTTGAATTTTCAATTAGGTATAACAGGGAGAATACAGATATAGCAACTGTTAAAAATATATATAAATTAAAACTTAGTCACTAAAATATAGCCTAAAATTATTAGTTAAGGCCTTAATCATTATGATAGCACAGCTTGTTCCCTAAGTTTTATGGCAATCGCACAGAATTTGGCTACCCTTAATGTGATCTCAGGATCCTTGTCCTCTACCAGGGATTTTAGACATTGAAGTTCGGATTCATTTGGAGATTTTTGCATAGCAGGGGTAATAAATACCAAGCGTATATCCCCATAGAAACGGCAGCGTAACAAGGCATGAGAGACAGTTTCTACCTCCATCAAGCCGCAGGGGCAGACTAGTTTCATGTATGGTTTACCCTTGAATTTGCCCTGCAATAAGGCAGATGGCAGCACGTTGAATCTAGTGAGGGTAAATGACGGTTACAGGAAAATTATCCCCATTTAAAAACTAGGCTTGGAATAGTGGGGAGAAGGAGGGGCAAGGACAGAAGAGGAGGAGCTGCTTGGCAAGGGGGTTTCTGGGAGGCAGGAAGTGGGGAAAGCTCCATGCAGGGGGTGGAAGGGCAGACACCATGAGGGTTGGCTGGAGACAAACTAGGGCAGAGGCACTTAGAAAACCTCTGAATGCAATGCTGGGCTGCTGTGAAGGAGATACGAATACTGTGAACTTTGCACTCCCTCCATCTGCACCCAGTTTGTAAATATGTTTTCATAAACCATATTTCTTAAGGATATGACAGTCTCTGCCATGTCTTGATTCCCAATGGAAACACAACCCTGGGTAAATGCCTGGAACCCCCTGGAATCTTGCTACCGGTTAGCAGAGATTGTGGGTGGCATGCAACCTTAGTAACAATATTATCCTGCATGTCAGTAGGTACGATTTATATCTATTTTGAATTTAGGCACCTGTCCCTTTCTATTGGCTATAATCAGACATTTCTCTGCATCATATGGGGAAATGATTTTATATGGTACAAATCATTGCATTGTATTTCCTCACTGTAGCAATTTTGCTGTGTAGTTTCCATGCTTCCTCCCCTGCCCCATAGTGAAACTGTTATAATCGGGGGAAAGTTCAAACATAGCTCAAACTCATACATAACTCAGTTTGCCCTCATCAACAGTGAAGTTGATGATTGGCAGCTCAAAGTATCAGCTGTTTCACTGAAAAGCACTGTTTTTTGAGGTGCTTGGAAACTTCTGTGAATGGGACTATAACTGTGGGTTGTTTTGAGACAATTCCTGACCAGAGTCAAGATCTTGACACAGGAGCATTAATATCCTGGAATATTCTGGTCTGTCAGGTAGAATAATGTTGTGCAGACATCAAGCTTGTCGGACCTGCTTGGTTTTTTTAGTAGAACCCCAAGACTTGCCAACCACAGTCTGGTAGATACAGTGTGCCTCTGAGCACATGCTGAATCTAGGAATTTGTTTTTAGGACCAGAACTCAACTGAGCTCATGGTCCTTTCACACACACACACACACACACACACACACACACACGCACACACACTTCGTGATGGCAAAAGTCTTTTTGTTGCTGCACTAAAACAACCAGGAGGCAGAAACCCTAGCTAATCTATTGCAAGCCACCCAAATAATCTACTTGTAGTGCCAAAAACTTATCTGAACTTTGTGATGCACTTCTCCAACCAACCAGTGTTTACATAAGTGCATATATTAGGGGAAAGTGTGCATAAAAATGAATGTATTATTGCACGTTTTCAAAACAGTTTAAAAACCCAGTTTATTAGGAGAAATCTGCACTAAAATGCTGATAAATGTTCATGAGGTGATTGCAAATTGCTGCACAAATTTGGAGAGATAGATTTTAGATTGGGGGAAAAAGAAATGGAGAGAACAGAGATTGACAGATCCTTCTATCTCTAGTTAGGAACAATATTCTCTATACTTTGATCTGGCTCTGAATTAAAATACCAGATTTGGTCTAGGTACTTTGCTTATAAATGTGAAAGTTCATAAAAGTTGTTGAAAATTGCACAGAGGAAACCTCACTGCTTTGGTAATTTAGAGGCAGATGCACAGACATTACTGTTGTAGTAGGTTTCCATAATGGACCTGCTTGAAGTGTGACATGTGGAGAGGTTCTGAGATGACTCTGGTGGGGAAGCTTGTCTGATCAGATTTAAAACAACTGCTTAAACAGAAAGGAGTCACAAAATGCTTTCTATTTTGGGAGAAAACATGCAACTAATTTCTTAAGATGTAGCATTAATATTAAAAAAAATACAAACACAGGTTAACTCACTTGTTATTTCCAGAAATGAAATACAATAATTAAAATCTTCTGTTTTAAAAGCCCCAGGGGAAACTAGGATATCTGCTTAATAATGCAGAAACATTTCTCAAGTGTTTGAAGCTAAAGTTGGGCACACAGACATGCAAATTATCTGTTGTTGTCCCCTCTGTCTAAAGTTTAATGTACAGAAGAATTCAGAGTTCCATGGCCGCCAATTCAAATCAGAATTGACCGTTTCCATTTTCGTTTTCCTTTCCAAGTAGATCTGAAGTAATATATTGAATTATTTGTCCTGGTGTTGTGACTTTGCTGAACTGTTGTACTTGATGTTCTAAATGTAGATGTCTTCCACGGATGCCATGCTTACCTATACATATAATAAAGATACAAGATTGTCATCACAGTGTAGTTCGTATGGCCACCAACAGATGGTACTAGTTAGGCAAACTACAGCATGATGACTGTTAGGAGGAGGAGTAGGAGGAGGTAATGACAATGAAGCACCACTGTAGAAGAGGCTAGGAGGAGGAAGGGAGGGTGCACAGACCAAATGGCATGGTAGAAACTGCACCAGTGGATCCCTAAACTGGCCACAGCAGCTTCTGGCTTCCTTCCTACTCCCCACACTGCTTCTGCTTGGCTGTGGCAGCAGCAGCAACACATGCAAGATGAAGAGTCAGTCTGAGTTAGGTGGCAGTGGCAGAAAGTGAGAGAGGTTATATGCAAGGATGGCACGGGGTATGTGGATAAGGGAGTTAAGGGAAGTTGTGGGTGGGGGAGAGGCATGCACCTGTATGTGTGAATGATAGTCTTAGTCATCTGGTGAAGGGAAGCAAAAGGAGAGAAAGAGAAGGTCCCGTGTGTTTGTGTGATCACTGGGCTGGGAGCGCAGAAGGGTTGTGGGGGCACAGGAAGGGTTGGGGTTGGTGAGTGGAACTTTATCCTGGATCTGTATAGAACCACTTATTGCACTCACCATATAAGATAAAACTGTTCAACCCCCCCCCCCCCCCGTTCTAGCAACAACAACATAGACATCTGTACCATAAATGAATGGGGGGATGCAAACAATCCATGCCAGTTTAGTACAGTGTATTCCTGAGGATCAAAAGTGACATATGAAGCAACCCTTAGGTGTCAAGGTTTTATTCAGAAGGAGATGTTCTCTTCAGAAATCTCCAGAACCTTCAAACACTGCTTAATGCAGAGGAAGAGCCTGGGCCCCTTGCCCAGCTCCTTTCACCGAGCAAGCTCAAAGAATTTGCTGCTGTTCCCTTTTTCACAAAGTGCCAAGTGAATTCGTAAAAAAGGGAATAAAAGTTTAAAGCTCTGCCTGTACAATAAAACTTTTATTTGGAAGAGCCAAACAGATGGCAGGCACTTTGGCACAATATGAATGGGCACGATACAGAGCTCTTGATGGCAGGGTTGTTGCTGGCTCAGACGCTGGAGAAAGCTCTTTGGAGGAGGATGGCCTAGGGCCCATGCAGAACCCTGCTTTCACTGGAGACATGGTGACAAATGCATGAGCTTGAGGGCAGCCTGAAGAGCCCCATCTTGGGGATTTTTGCCTAAGCACTGCAATGACGCCATCCCAAGTCCTTTCTTGGTCCCCAGTTCTCCCCATCCTCCCTCTTGGGCTTCAGGAGCCCAAAGCCAAGAGACACAGTCGGAACACCGCTTTGGTTCCCAGACAGCTCTATTGGTAGGGATCTACATGGGTGTGGACTAAGTCTCAGCTTTAGAACAGTTACCCAGCAGAAGACCAGGTATGGGCAGTGACTGTGTAAGCCCCTGGTCTCTTCTGAGGAATTGGACTTTATATAGAAAGGGAAACTGCTGGAATAAAGGAGATCATGGAGATGCATAACCAACTTCCTACAGCCCCAGCAAGCATGGCCTATGGTCAGATATGATGGGAGTATGTGTATACATAAAGACACGATACAGTGGTACCTCGGGTTACAGACGCTTCAGATTACATACGCTTCACGTTACAGACTCTGCTAACCCAGAAATAATACCTCAGGTTAAGAACTTTGCTTCAGGATGAGAACAGAAATCGTACTCCGGTGGTGCGGCGGCAGCAGGAGGCCCCATTAGCTAAAGTGGTGCTTCAGGTTAAGAACAGTTTCAGGTTAAGAACGGACCTCCAGAATGAATTAAGTACTTAACCCGAAGTACCACTGTACTGTGGAATGTTGTGTCCATGTTTAACGATGAATATTTCAATCATGATTGTACAAGAATGTGATTGTACAAAAATGCATCTGAGAAACAGTGCCTATAATCACAATATACTTGCTGTTTATGGGCGCAGTTGTAATTCTATGTAAGCAAGTCAAGCATGTATTATAGACATAATTGATAGACAACACTTAATTTTAGGATTGGGTTGACTTTGGTAAAATAGACATTGAAACTTTCATAATGTGCATTGACTTTTGAGAGCAAATATTGTTGATTGGTGTTGGAAATCATTTAAAATCTACATTATAGGGAAAGGGCTACGCTGACTTCAGTTTGTACCAATGTAATAAAAAATGGAGTCATGTCTAAAATCCTACACAAAATTAACAAAATGGAAAGTCACTCTCAACACATTTTAAAATGTATCTGTTTATGTGCCATGACATCTGAAGGCTGTTTAGGGAAGCTTTTAACATTTGATGAATCATTGTATTTTAATATTCTGCTGGAAGCTGCCCAGAGTGGCTGGGGAAACCCAGCCGGATGGGTGGGGTATTATTATTATTATTAATAATAATAATAGTTATTATTATTACTGATGCCCACCATCAGACATATTTGGATTTTAGCCAGCAGAAGACCAAGCTGGTTTTACAGCCTGTGAAGTTTGATTTTGCTAGGCAGATTACTAGGCTGATTTTTAATGATCGAGCACCATCTTTGTTTTAGTTCACTTTTTGTCACTTTCCATTCTGAAATGATTTTCCTCTGGGTGTCTTGGGTGCCATTTAAGAGGGGGGAAATAGCTTTGTCCCATTAAGTCTGTAATCCTACGCTAGGGTTGCCCTATTTCAAAAAGTGACACAAAAGTTGTGGAGCTTTTTTATTTTTTGTTTTTTTTGCCAAAGTTGTTGAGAAGTGCATGGGATTGCAGTGCATGTAATACAGTATGTGCTTCCTGGTAACTGGCACCCCACGCCTATGAAATGATAAACTTGAGCAGCCAACCCAGGTAGCTCCTATCTTTCCCCTTACTATAACAAGTAGGCTGAAAGTTCTTCCCTACAAAAGAAGATCACAATATATTCTCTCTGCTATGTAGGTACTGGAGTGGGGGTGGGTGGGGAAAAGTCCCAATGGGATGCATTGTCCAAGCTTTATGTCCTCCTAAAATACATATGCTCAAGGCATTACAGTGCAGCGCAGCCCAGATATACTTGCATCCATCAACTGAGCTTAGGAACATAAGAACCCTGCTGAATTAGGCCAAAAGCCAATCTAGTCCAGCATCCCGTTGTCACAGGATGCCTGTAGGAAGCAAGCAGGACCCGAGTGCAATAATGAATCCCAGCAACTAGTGTTCAGAGGCACAATGGAGGGACAACACAAACATTGTGATTAGCAGTCACTGATAGTTTTTATTCTCCATGAATTTGGGGCCATTGCTATGGCTTATGGGAGTGAATTCCAAAGTTTAACTATGCACTATGCGAAGAGGTACTTTGTTTTTTTGGCTGTCCTGAATTTTCCAACATTCAGTTTCATTGGATGGCCCCGAGTTCTAATACTACATTGAATTGCATTTTCCATTTTACTCCCCATTCACCCAGTTCGGAGAGATCTTTTTGGAGCGCCTTACATCTCTTTTTTTTGCTATAACTACCCTGAACAATTTACAATCATCAGCAAACTTTGTTACCTCACCACTTACCTTTCGTTCTCAATTAAGAGCATAACACTTCTTGCTTTTATTAGTGCAGATGAAATATTAAACTTTTAAATAAACACACTCATGAAAATGTATTTATGAATCCTCTTATTCATGTTCTATAAAAAGGAGTCAAAAGAATTGTGAAAACTCCTAGCACACCAAGAAAAAGATGCATGCATTCCCTTAAGCAATTTTTATTGTACTTTATTCCACACTATTAAGTGGGTTTTAAATATAGTTTCCATAGTGGGGTTTTGGATATGTGTTTCATCTCTGTACAAAACCTTTATCCCTTTAAACACTATTTACATAGATCTCTAACAATCCACAAGTCATATGCCTAGGGCTTTTTCACCAGCTGGAACTCAGTGGAACTCAGTTCTGGCACCTCTCTGGTAGGCGCTATTGCAATTATAAGAGAACAAGACATTCATGGTGAGTTCCGGTGCCTCTTTTTCTGGAAAAATAGCACTCCATATGCCTTATGATCTGCCTTTTGAAATGGGAACACACAAAGACCTTTTGCAAAGTAAGAAAATGAAGGGATTTATCCACTGATACGATAGGGCGAGGGTCCTGCAATACATAAATAAAGTGTTTTATATATATATATATATATATCACTGAACTGTATTTCTTGAGCCACACTTTCTTGTTCCAATGCAGTTATACAGAAGTTTGTCCTTATTTACAGTCAATAAACATAATTGCCTACTGTGCTTTCAGCAGCCAAATGTTAAATTGGCTAGGAATACTAAATGAACAATATTAGGAAAACAGAATCGCTAAATTACATCAGACTGTACATACAATTACAAGAAATATTTAAGGGAACTTCATTGCATTTATCCACTGATATAACCATACCTTAGTCATGATGATGAATTATTTTAAAAGTAGAACAAGACCTAGAATTATTCCAAGCTGCAATTTGTGGTGTATAATTTCTGAAAATGAAACTACTTTACTGCCTGCTTGCTCAGTGTATAAAACTCTATAGATTATAAAACCATAACCAGACAGGCTGTGAAAAAAGCCTCACCTATTGTATAAGAAATTGCTACAGTAGTAAAAATGATTAGTGATTTCTATTCACAGCAGCTGCGATTTAGCACTTAGACCCCATTACAGTCAGTGATGCAAGTGGGCAATTGTTTGCAATCCCAAAAGCTCAGCTGTAAAACCACTTCTTGGGTTGTAAACCATTGTCCGCCATTCATTTGAATGGAGGAAGCTGATAGTGCATGCATTCCTTTGGACATGCATTTCTATCCCATCCATCATAAAGGTAAAGGTAGACTGCTCATTCAGCAACTCCTTGTGTGTATCAACATGCACAAAGAACTGTAGACAAGACTGAGTTCATTGACCAGTTCAGGAGATTGCTGGAAAATTATTCTCAATAAAACTGGTTACCGAACTCTAAAGCATCACCTGTGGCTGTAGATGCACAACACAATTTAAAATACATAAATGCACTATTTTTAAAAACTGTACCTTATGTGGCATAGCACCTTTCAAAAGCAAAGAACAGACAATTATTTCCATGCTATCTCACTGTAAGATAGTATTAAAAAGTCATAGAATACTGGGGACGAAATGTGTACGCACACAGACGACTTCTTGATGACTGCTAACATGATGAGATTCTTGAGTGATTAACTTAACATTAACTTTGTATGTAGCAACAAGTTAACCCTTCTGTATTTTTGCTAAGATAAATGTGGTACTTCTTATGAGACTATATATGTTAATTATACATATATATGTTAATTATACCCTCCAAGTGTCCCTGTTTTCCAGGGACAGTCCCAAGTTTACAGAAGCTGTCCCAGTTTCTGATTTGATCCTGGAATGTCTCAATTTCCCATAGGACACCCCTATTTTTATCAGATAAATATTAGAGGGTATGGTAGGATGTCCCTAATTTCAACGGAGAAAAGTTGGATAGTATGGAGTTATGCAACCCTCAAGCCAAGGAATAAGTAACTATACAACCTTTAGAAGACATCTGAAGGCAACCCTGTATAGTTTTATTATGTTTTTATCTATATTGGAAGTTTCCCAGAGCAGCTGGGACAACCCAGTCAGATGGGTGGGTATACATAATAAAATTATTATTATGGAATAGGATGTCTCTATTTTCATCAAGGAAATAATAATAATATAATAATAATAATTTATTATTTGTACCCCGCCCATCTGGCTGGGTTTCCCCAGCCACTCTGGGCGGCTTCCATAGAAACAAAAAATACAGTAAAATATCACAGATGAAAAGCTTCCCTGAACAGGGCATTTCCCTGAAATGTTGGCGGGTATGAGAGTCAAACTGTTCCTTCATCTAGCCTGGCACTCGCAGTGGTTCTCCCAGGTGTCAAGTCTTGCCCATTCATGCTAGAAGATACAACTTTAACATTGTGTGTAAAAAGAGCTCTTTCAGAAATGTTTCTGTATAGGAGCAAATTCCTGATATATTATGGAAAATGCAGCAAGTACTACATATACTGCTAAAGCTGGCTTTTGGCATGCAGCTGGCAAAACTAACATGGTCTCAATTCAGAACATCATATGGAATTGAGTAGATCTAAGTCCTTGAAAAAACTTTCGCACAGATATAGCTAGTGTAAGTAAGTAAGTGTGTGTGTGTGTGTGTGTGTGTGCCTGCCTATTCAAAGGTTAGTTAGGTGGCTTGTTCTATCTTTCTCTTACACCAAAACATTACTCCACACAATTAATACAAACACAGAATGACACATTGGCAATATACAACTCAACATCAGGTGGAGAGAGATACAGTAGTCAGTTTTCAACACAAAAAATCTGCCTCAATTGGTTCAAATCAGTCATTCCAGCCTGTTGAGTCCATCTTGAGCATATGGGATTCCAAGCTTAAGCAAAGTAGAAATTTCTAGAGGAAACAAAGTGTTCCCTCTAGAAACATTAGCTTCCAGCAACATATACAAGGAAGTAGCTTTTCAGGATATTTAATTAAGCACCTTAGAAAAATTAAAGAGAAAGCACCTCGTATACTTTTGATGAAGAGAAACTGTCCAGGAAACCAGAAGACTTCATAGAAGGTGGATTTCTAAAGGCACAGTGTTTTATGTCCTGAGCAACACGGTGGGTGAAACACACCTACTTGCCACCAGAGAAGAGCTAGCCATAACAAAAGAGAAGTTTGAATCCTGGAACCTGGTATTACAATCCCCACAGCAGGGATCTTCTTCACTGCCAGCTTTTTTGCACATACCTTACTAGGGCTTCCAGGAAAATATTGTTCTAATCATTCACAAACAAAGATTCCTAAATTCCAAATAGATAAACAGGCATATCTATCTGGAATGCCACAGTAATTGGTTGAGTGATGCTAATACCAGGCATTGGTATTCAAATAAATTTTACTCAGGGTAAACCCATAGAAATTAGGGGACCTAATTTAGGGCTTACCCACACTTACCTTTCCTCTGCAATTTCCAGGCACAGTCCATGCTTTAAAGCTCCACATGAGTGCTCTGTTTCCTCCCACCCCCAGGGCTTTCCCTATGAAAACCTGCTCTCTAATGCTGAATCAGAGCAAACAGCAATCCACAGAAAACTCGAATTGCTGTTTGTGGCACTACAGCTTAAAAGAGCAGGTTTCCACAGGGAAAGCTCTGGAACGAGTGCTCAGTCTGGATAGCTCAATTGGTTAACAAGCCTGGATAGTGCAGTTGGTTAGAGCACAGTGCTGATAACGCCAAGGTTGCAGGTTTGATCCCCGTATGGGGCAGCTGCATATTCCTGCATTGCAGGGGGTTGGACTAGATGATCCTCAGGGTCCCTTCCAACTCTACAGGTCTATTCTTATATGAAAAGCAGAGCTTTAAAGTGTGCCTGGAAAGGATAGGGCAAAAAGTAAGTGTGGATAAGTCATGTTCCTTAATTTCAGTGGGCCTCCTCTGAGTAAAACTTCACTGAATACCATCCTAAGGGCTTGTGTGCTTGTACTTCAAGTTTTGTTTAAAGGCTGGTATAAATATTATGACTGCCACATGAAACAGCCTCCACATAAGAGGTAATCTAGACAATAGTGATGACATGTAGTGTTGGCTTAGCACATAGATCACCACCAAAGCAGAGAAAGTCCACTTAATGGCATGCCACTGTAGATGATACCAGAAATATGATAGCAGTATGAAAACTCTTTACTCCATGGGGACAATTACTGCTGCTGCATAAAGCATTTGAAATGGCCTCTACTTGAATGGGTACCCAATTCATATGGCAACAACTTGTGATAGCAGGTTAATGCAGCTAAGCTATCACATGGCAATTGATGTTATCATTAGTGCTTACACAAAAACTTGAATGGGTGCTAAGGCTAAGGCTGCAAGTCAGCTACAAGGCATCTTCTGGAAATTTGAACCAGATGTCCAAAACAATCTAAATAATGGATATGCATTTTAAAAAAAGCAAATCTTTCCAAGTGCCTGGAAACACTAATTACTTAGGGCTATTTCACCCAGTTGCAGCTGTCTAAACCAAGTCCACCACATGCGTCTGAATGTTTGGAGATGTGTGACTCTCCTTCACGTTTTACAGCATAGCACCACAAATACTATTATAAATGCAACAATACATTTGCAGCTACTCCTTTTGCAAACTGAATGAATCAAGTGAACAAAGCATTAGGGAGGATGCTGTATGTATACAAAAGTTAAGCGTAGTGGTAAGGTAATAGAGAGGGGGTGGTAGAAAGAGGATCAGCAAGCAAGACATGCAACATTTTGGAAGTTGACCTCTGTTTGTTTATACAAAGCATGTTTTCTCATGGACAGACACTTCACACATTGTATTTTTCCTACATGGGTCTAGGAAAAAAAAAATAAGCAGCAACACATGTGAAAAACAAATGACTCTCAGCAGCCTGTTTAAAAAAAATATAAACTTCTTGCCGTGTGCTCTGGTTGCTACTTCAAAACTTTCCAGTCTTGCCTGAATATAAAGAAGTTGGCTTCTGCTTTAAATTGGTTTAGCGAGTGTGAATGTTGTCCAGAGTAATTCTGAGAATAATGGAAACTGTAAATTAGTGAGAGTAATCTTGAATCTGTAAGGATTATTTTTCCTTGTGTGCATTAATGTTCATCTTAATTAAACAACTTAGTGTTTACAGTTTGCTTTAAACCTTAGTATACTGAATACTCTGAAGTCATCTCTGAACCTGCTCACTAATTAGCTCCATGTCTAATGTTTTACTTACCCCCTTTCATTTGCTAAAAAATGATATTTCTTAAGATTGCATCTAGTACCTTTCTATGTGGGATGCACACTTGATGCAAGTGTTGCCACCTATTTGGGGAAACAATGAAATGCAGTACGTTTCAAAAGCAAAGTGATTGTGAGTGAAAGGTAGGATGTGTACGTGTATTAAATCCTAAACTTTAAAGCATTATAGTTGTATCTCCATTAAGAAAATGGAGGTCCTAAATGCAAATAAATCATAGTGTACTTTTACAGGGGATAAGAAATGGATTCTACAAGTTTTATTCAATCATTGTGGGAATAGATCACTTGTAAATGACAGTACCATACTATAGTCCAGGGACACTCCCCACTTCCCAATGTTGTGGACTCCAGCCAGCGTGGAAAATGATTAGGGATGATGGGATTTTCCAGTCCATCACCAACTAAAGGGCCACATGCTGTATGCAGTACAGCAAACAAAAGTGCAAACCACGTTCAACAATATTTAACTGTAGTTCCTCAAAACGTGATGTGCAGATTTCCCAAAATACCATCTCCCTGCCCTCTCCTAGCATTTTCCCACCTCTGCAGAGCAAGACAAAAGCTGAAGCATAAGATTAAGGTCAGGCTTCCTTGTTGACTTACAATGACAAAAGTCTCCATGGTTGCATTAAGCATGTTGCTGCAAATTAGCTGTTTGGAAGCTGGCATGTATACACAGTGAAACAATACGATGCATGCCAAACACTACAAATGGTGCATGTGTGAAAATATCCTAAGATAATTTACAACTTGTCCACTCCCCCCCCCAATAGATGACAAAATACCCTTTTAAAGAAAAATAAAATCGTGTGTGTGTGTGTGTGTGTGTGCGCGCGCATGCATGCATATAACACAGGCATGGAGATGGACACACACACACACACACACACACACACACACACGCAGCAAGTGGCAAACATTAAACTCTTTTTACCAAATACGTGTCTCTCTATGGAAGCCTTTCCAGTACCATCAGCTTTGATTATATCTATACTTTATGGTGGTAACCAGTACCTACAAGAGCAGTCAAATGGCATCACATATCTTGGCAAAACATTCTAAGGGTTGTGTTTTTAGGTTTTTGTTTTTTTAAAAAACCCCTCTTTTCTTCCCCTTTGCCTTTCTCTGTTCTTCAGAAGGAGCAATATCCCTTGCTTTCCCCCCACAGTGAGGTTACATCTAGAAGGTGATTTCCATGTGTAAAGCAGACAATAGCTTATCAAACATTTCAGGCAGAGCTTTCATTTCACTTGACATGAAATACTTTTTGTTTTCAGTGGAGATAATTTTGTATGCTAAGCTGTCAGTCAAGCTTGTAAGTGATAAAATGTTGACTGTGAATCCACCTTGGGTCTTCTGAAATACAGCCAATCATCAGTTCCCAGAGTCTTGCATCTTACATAGTTAAAGCCTAGTGATGTCCTTGGTCTGTTGCAAATCCCCAATACTCTCATAGTCATTCTCTTGTGGGAGGATTGATTGGCTGTTGTTCAGTACCAAAACATTTCTGTCTTCCTCACGGTTTATAGTCTGAATCGCTTCATAGTCTGGCTCTAATTCCCCATTTAGTCTGTCTGTTGACTGAGGCATGGCGGTAAGGTTTGGGGTATTTTCCAAGTCCTTCACACTGGCATAAAGACCACTGCAAATAGATGGTGACTTCTGAGGTACAATTTCAGGAATGCAGTTGTATGTAGACTCCAGTGCTCTGGTGGCCTGGCCTGGTTTGTTTACAGAAGAGTACATTGCTGAAATCTAGAGGAGGGTGGGAAAGGGGAAGAATTAAATACATGAAAATAGCACATTGATTGTTCATACTATGGCTTCATTATTCACTGAGAAATATGCTGTGGTATATAGGCTGAATCAGTCATAAACATTTATGGCCCAATAAACCATGGTTTGTTGGATTAAGGATGAGCACCATGTTTGTGGGCTTCCTCCAAGTTTTGATATCATGGTTTGAAGTCAAGAGATTAAACCACAGTTTCCTGGGAAAGTGGTAGACTCTTTCATTGGAAGCTTGTAAACAGAGGCTGGGTGGCCATCTGTCAGGGATGCTGTAGTTGTGATTCCTGCATTGCGGGGGGGGGGGGGGATTAGATGTCCCTTGGGGTCCTTTCCAACTTTACAATTCTATGATTCTGTACCAGGCTGATGCTTCTTAAATTGCCAGAGGCGAGCCCCTCTTACAGAGAATGCCTTGCTTCACTATAAAACACGGAAAATGCTACAGATTTCAGATTTCCATGTGCGCCCAACAAAAATAATCCTTTGCATTGGAGGGGGGGCATCTTTTACTGCACAGATTTGCCCACCATTCTCAGACCTTCTTAATGATGCAGCACTTATGCAGAATTATTAAATTTCATGCAGAAAGAAACTCACCTCGTCTTCTGTAAGAGATGGGTCTTCTTCTCGAGATTTGTAGGACAGTGAACTAAGCCTCTGAAAGAGACAGGAAAATAAGCTTTATTAACAGATAGCAGTGATAGGCACCCTGCCTCTAGGAATTAGTACATCATAACTGGTCATTTTCATACTCATGCATTTCAACATTAGCTAAAACCCACACTGCAGTTTCAGAGATAAACAGCTGTAAGGTAAGTAGAGCTTTTAGATGCGGCAAAACGTTTGTTATGAGCTTGAGCGGCATAAGGAGGGGTGATCAGCAACATTATCAGTCCAGTTCTACTAGATTTTTAAAAAACTTTTACTGAAATATGACTATGTCAGCAGAAGTCCATGTATGTACACAATTAAAATGAAGCTGATTGGCCAATCAGAATATTTTCCTTTGGATTTTTCAATGCATCATACCAATACACCTACATTCCATAACTGGATAATTAATATATATTTTTTAGTTTTAGAAAGATCGGTAGGTTCAGTTCAGTTACTGAGGCCTACAAGGCAACACATAAAAAACTCCGAAGAAATAATTAGTTGTTTACTGCAACAACTAATTTATCTCACCATAATTTACCACAGTTTTCTTTAGGATTTCTACCTTGTGCAGCATAAAAATAAAACCAGCCATTCAAAAAAGGCCTTAAAAATATGTTGTCACTAAGCTATTATAAATGTTCAGTTAAAACTTTGAGGATGGGTCGACATAATTTAAATTTCAGTAGTTTGAGACAGGCAACATACAATACTCAAAACTGGCAAATTTGGAAAAACAACAACAACCAAAGGCATTTTTACATAAAGAGAGTGAGTACCTACCACTTCTTAGCCTCATGGGATATATATTCCAGGGATGGGGAAGAGCTGGTAGGTCAGAGCCCAAATTACCGTAATTCCCCCAACCCTGTGGGCAAACTTTGACTGGTGGGTGTGAGCACTCATCTGGGAATCACCTGACAGCAGATGGTTGATAGCTGTCCAAGTTCAAAGAAAGTAACCTCATTTGAATGCACACCTTCACTGCCAATCAGCTGACAAGCACCCAGAGAATGCAGCTTCAAAAGTGCTGTGTGCCATTCAGAGGTTACAGGAAGCCCCACTGAAGTCAGTTTCAAGGAAGTGGTTTTATGAACAACATCTGAAAGGAACACAGGCTGACAGGCCTGAGAGAAGATTTGGAAGATGGGAAAATTAAAAAAATCTATTTAATTTTAAATGATGTCATAAAATGCAGCTGGGCTTTTCTGGGTGGAAGTGGAGAAAAACCTTTGGTTTTTCTCAAAATCAGAATGAAGCTAGGGCTTTCTTGGATCAGGGGTTTGGGGGCCAGGATTGTTGTTGTTTTTATTCTACTTTTTGTGTAGAATAATGCATCGGATGTAGCAGACGTTGATGAAAAATAACCATTTACATTTCTGCAAACACATTTACGAATGGTTGTTTTCATACTAGCAAAATAACCGCAAAATGCATACAGTCACCTACATTACAGCACTATTTCACTCTTGTGTACATGCATGAACATCCATGCATGCGCACAAACACAATATTGAATCAAAAGTTACAGTAAATGCCAGAAATTTATTGAATGGTCCTGTTTGCTGGGAAGTCTGATTAGAAGGTCAGCAGGAAACACCTGAAAACTCCTATGACTCCTATGACTAATGAACATATTTCACCCTTATTTCCATTATTTATTAATATAGGACAGCATGTCCTATGACAAACACATAGACATCATGAGCAGGTCTCAATACAGTGGCATGCTCTTCTGCAAATGATTAAGCAACATAAGGTATACCTTGTCAGGTTCACTAGGCCCTTCTGCCACCTCTTCCTCTTCCTTGGCTCCTTTCTCCTGCTCATTCTCATTCTCATCAAGGAGTTTCGCAGGCACTGGAGGCGGAGCTTCATCTTCCAGGTCTGGGGTGTTGCTAAGAGGACTCTCCGAATTAACACTCTGGCGGCTTTTTTTATTCCTGTCCACGGAGGCATACTCAGCTGATTCAACTTTACGCTCGGCAACATGATCGAGGTTCCCATTAACCATCACAGCAGCTTTGGGCTTGCTGTCGCAGCTCTTCTCTGTGCTAGCTGTTGCTGCCAGCTCCTTTATCTCCTTCACCGTCTCATACAAACAGTCCTCAACTATATTTTCTTGGGAGGAGCTGTCTTTCAGCACTTCGTAGGGGCCCTCCATACCTAGACCCTGATCGTTTTCTGTATTTCTTGTAGACAGAATAGTTTCTATGGCATTGTTGGGAGGAATTCTGGGTAGCTCCCTGCTTTGATGACATTTTAAGGATCTTCCCTGACTGTCCTGTTGATCCAGGAGGTCAGTAGCAGAGGTTTGCACTTCTTCATAAGGCTGGATGCAAGCAGCTGTGCTATCTTCTGAGAGAACTAAGGAGGGGGGAATATACATAATATGAGCAACATGAGCCTTTAATGTAAGTGCAGAATATAACATCCATTGTAGAAACCAGAAGGGTCACACCTTAAAAAAGAATATCCTGTTCCAGGAAAAAAAATATCCACCAAGGTCCTCAGATACACTGGATTATGTCTGCTAACCAGCAGTGACTGGTGCTCACTGGGGCTGCTAGGGTGGAAGGGAAGGAGACTAACAGGACCTGGAATCAACTGATTCTAGTTGTTGTTGTTGTTTATTAGATTTATATACTGCCTTTCATGTAAAGCTCTCAGGGCAGTTCACAAGATAAAAATACAAGATAAAAGCACAAAAAAATAGTTACAACAGAAACAACAAAACAATACCTCTCACAAACACATTTAAAAGGCTGTAGAATATTAATCAGCCCAAGGGCTGGTTGAAGAGGAGCATTTTCGCCTGGCTCCAAAAGGTGTATAATGAAGGCACCAGATGAACCTCCCTGGGGAGAGCATTCCACAAACAGGGAGCCACTGCAGAAAAGGCCCGTTATGATGTTGCCGCCCTCTAAACCTCTCGTAGAGGAGGCACACGAAGACGGGCCTCAGATGATGATAGTAGGGTCTGGGTTGGTTCATATGGGGAGAGGTGGTCCTTGAGGTACTGCGGTCCTGAGCCATTGAAGGCTTTATAGGACAAAACCAGCACTTTGAATTGGGCCCAGAAACTAATTGGCAGCCAGTACAAGTCAGGCCAGGATTGGTGTAATATACTCAAACTGTCTTGTGCAACCTGGCTGCCAAATTCTGCACCAGCTGCACTCCATCTTCCTCCCTGCTGAGTTCCAGAAGTACAAAGCTAAGATCTGGCTATATATTAGAAGGGAGGCAGATGGAGACTGGCTAAGAGCAGGCTAAAGTTGGTGGGCTGGTGCCCCATTTGCCCTAATGGGCCTGCCTCCACTGGTGCTTAACCTGTGATATCTTTCAGTCTAGTATTTAAGTCAAGCAAAGATGAAAGCAACAACTATACAAGATCCTCTCTTACTCCTACCTACAACAAAGTAAGCCCCTTTAATAGGGATTATGCACAGAAAGTTTGATCTCTTTGAAGCATGTATTAGATAATGTCTTGATTAACTAAAGGTGGTGATTTTCTCGTCAAAAAGAACCCTCAGGAAAGAGAAGAGGCAAGGCTGAAGAAACACCCCTTCCTAGACATCTTAATCGTCTTTAGGCTCTGCAATTTAGATACAGCATCACTTGGCAAGAAATGTGCATAAAATTGTCAGAAGACAATGGTTTATTACCTAAATAAGGGAACCTTTTGTGTTCAGATATTATAGAATTCGAAGTTATTGTGACTTCTATGCAACTACCATCACCTAGTTGGCCATGCTACTGCAATTAACAAGTGTACCACTTGTACGTTTGGGAATTGTAGCTCTGTGAGGGGAATAGGGGTCTCCTAACAACTCTCAGCACGCTTAACAAACTACAGTTCCCGAGATTATTTGAGGGAAGCCATGATTGTTTAAAGTGGTATGATACTACTTTAAATGTACAGTGGTGCCTCGCAAGACGAAAAGAATCCGTTCTGGGAGTCTCTTCGTCTAGCGGTTTTTTCGTCTTGCGAAGCAAGCCCATTGACGGGATTAGCGGATTGGTGCTATTAGCGGCTTTTAGCGGCTTTTAGCGGCTTTTAGCGGCTTTTAGCAGCTTATCAGCTTATCGGATAAGCAGATAAGCGGCTTAGCGACTTAGAAAAAGAGGGGGAAAAGGAAAAAAAAAACCCAGGAACTCGCAAGACATTTTCGTCTTGCGAAGCAAGCCCATAGCAGATTCGTTTTGCGAGGCACCTCCAAAACGGAAAACTCTTTCGTCTAGCGAGTTTTCCGTCTTGCGAGGCATTCGTCTTGCGGGGCACCACTGTATAGTGCAAATGTAACCTCAAATCAGGGGTGACTTTGTTTTCTCAAGGTAATTTTATTCTCTTAGGCATATATTTAATGTTTTAATTGCTACTTCTGTTTTTATTTGCTGTTTGGCCTGAACTTTGTTGTTAATGTATTATTATTTTTAGTTGCCTTGTATTGTTTTGTGAACTGCATTGGCGGGAAGGACGTGTGTTTGAGAGCTGAGGAACGAGCCCTTGAAATGAATACAATGTGAAGAAATAATCACACAATCACATCACTTGTTGAGTCACATGTTGAAAGTAGCAATGAGGCTCCCTGGCTCCCTACCCCAATATCCTGAGAATATGCACCAAGTATAGTTATCTAAGCTGGGGATACCCACAAATGTACGCTTCCACAAAATCCGAAACTCTTGATTGTACAGCTCCCATGGAAGCCTACGTAGACATCCATTTCAGCTTGTATACATAAGGGGTCTAGTGCTGTGTGAGCTCAGTGGTGGGGCCAGTTGCTCAGCTCCACTGTCCCTTTCAATTTGTGGAGCTCATTCATGTGATTAATTACTGGTGCAGAGGGAGAATATCCTTCTACAAGAGATCTTCAATGGCATGGAAGTGTTGAGTTTCCAGCAATGGTTGTGGAACCTGAGAAGACAACAAGTAACTAAAAAGAGTTACCAGTGTGCAGTTCTCTTTCTGAAAAACAAACTCTTGGCAGGCCTTGTGCATGCCACTGATTTCACTGTCTGACACCTGTTCCTCCTTTCTTTCAAGCTATCATGTATCTTTAAAATTTAATAGTTAGAGGGAGGTCAGTCCAATATACCAGGCTGTGGAAGACACAGAATATAAATGTATTTATTTTGTGTTTCTAGTTTATAAAAGCTTTCAGCATTTTACTTTTTTTAAGTTACACTCATTTCAAATGTTTAGCCAAGCAGGAAGACTCACTCACTTTTCAATTACCTTCACAATGATTGAACTGAATCATTAAGGATTTTTATAGCTATCTAGTTCACCAAGAATATAAATGTGTTAATTTTACCTCAGGATAGCACTGCAATTATAATTTAGTAGTATGTTTCAGAGACTGAAATGTAAGAGCACTTGTGTACGCTGGCATTTCTTATCTTAAAACATATGACCTAGAGGTACTAATTTAAAAAGCATATGATAAATTACTACAATTGCCAATGAAATGTATACAGGTTATGCAAACAAATAGATGTCTCCCTGAATATTGTTTTCCCATACCCAATCACAACACAATTACCAACAAAATCCCTATCTTTTTAAGCATAGTTGGTTCATTTATTTATTTCAACTATCTGCTAATCTCTCTTGACTAATTCACATATTCATGTTCCTTGATTGATAATGGAAGCACCAAGTGATAACCTAAATAACAGACTGAACAACACAGATAGAACTTTTATGTTACCTCCACATTTATCTCTCACTAAGCATGGTGCCCGTTTGCTGTTGTGAGTGCTGTGAAATCAAATAAATGATAAGTCAGTTCTTACCATCACCATTACTGAGTCCTCCATTTTGTTCACTGCTGGCAAGTGGATCTGTAGCCAGACTTGTGACGGAGTGGCTAAATGCCTCCTTATCTGAAGGCTGCAAAGCAAAATGAATGGATTAGCATATCTTTTGAACCAGCTATGGGAAGAGTTATTGTTCAGCAATTACTGTTATGGATCACTGTTAAAACTGTGTTTATGGAAGACAATCTTACTTGGCTACGAAGGATCGCCGAAGAAGAAGACTGTTATGGAATAAGTTCTAATTTTCATGCCTTCTATACTGTTTTAGACACCTGTGAAAAATTTAGTTGCCTACATTTCTTTGTAATGGTTGTGGTTTTAGGTATATTTGTTTTTAATTGGTTTGTGGATTTTAGCAGTGTTTTATTTACAATTTTATTTATACACTGCTTGGAGATTTCTTTGATCAAGAGGTTTATAAATCTTCTGAGGTAAGTACCGTATTGGCCAGAATATAAACCACACCGCAAATAAGCCGCACCTTTAAAAATCAAGGCTTATTTGTGGATGTGGCCCGCCTCGTGGCACTACGGCATTCCTGGCACCACCTCCCCAAGCCAGCGCCGGGGGAGGCTTGGGAGTGGAGGGCAGGCTGTGTGCCATTGCCCCCCACACCCGGGCTGCTTCCTGAGGGGAGGAGCCACACCACTTTGCCAGCGGCCTCCTTCCCTTTCTCCTTCTTTCTGGTGGCTGGGAGCGGCGGGCAGGCGGCGCTACTCTGCCCTGCACTCCTGTCCTGCTTCGGGGGGTGGGGGGGAGCCGAGCTGCTTTGCCGCACTTTAACTTTTCACAGCCCAAATTTGTAAAAAAGTGTGGCTTATATTCAGGCCAATATGGCAAATAAGGTTCACATATGCAGTAACACTAAACTATTGTTTGTTCAAATAATGATCAGCAAATGAATGGATTATTAGTCTTAAGGTTCACTGCTATTTTAGCTAATGGTATCCTATGTTAGTCTTCCTCTTATATGTTATGAACTACAGAAAAAACACTTTCAATAATAAGTGACAGATTCATTTTTACCACATTCATCAGATTCTCATGGTCCCCATTCTGGTGTTTGGGTCTCTTCTCCCTTTAATGTAAACGAAGATTTAGGTACATTGTTAAAATAAAATAGCAGTTCAAACAATAGTGTTGGTGATGACTACTTGCTGGTCCCAATCCAACTAACACCTTCCTGAAATCAACTGGACATGCATTTAAATACCAAAGGAAGTTGCTGCAAACATACAGGGCACAAAGTTCCCTTCCATGAGAGTTTCAGAAGCAAGATATTTACATTTCACCACCCTTCTGAACTCAGCGGCAAATCCCACCTCAACTGTAGCTGCACTTCTAAAAATTTATTTCGCTGAAAGCAGACTAATTATGCCATTTAAAATCCACGATGCTGCCCATGCAATACACAATATGATTCATGTACGCAGTAACTAATTTGCTCCCCGAAGCTTTTCTGACAAAGCATCTGCTTTTAAAGTCACCCATTATTATATCAATAGCATCAGTGTAACTTTTCTAGGAAGGAAGGGATTTAGTTTAATTGCACTTCTCAGCAAGTACCTGCTCCACAAATATCCTGACACCAAATCCAGCCTAACAACATGCTAAATTATTAAAGTATGATTGCCAGATAATGTCTGGCATTAGAATTTGCATAGCTTGTTAGAAATACCCAGCAGACCGATTCTTACAAAAATGTCTTTAGTTTTCATCCTCTTGGAAGTGTCTTAGAGACTTCAGGGATAGAGCATGCAAATGAGGGCAGGAGTTATCAGTCACAAACTTTGGTAAGCATTCTTCGGGGTTATTTTAGTCAGTTCCAATTCAACAGCAGCTTCAGAGTCTTTCCCCCCCTCTTGCTATTTTATGTAAACAACAAGGGAAAGGGCAAAGCTATTTATTTTGATGGATATTTCTAGCTGAACATAGCCTCTGTTGTTTGAATAATCAGCAATGCAAAGTGGGCAGCCATAATTAATATGCATGATGAACTATATGCTGGTCTCATTAACAGGCAAAATTGATTGATATTAATTCTGGTTCAAATTCAAACGTATAGCAAAACTGAACTTTGTCTCTTGGATTTGTTCACGAAAACATAATCATTCCTTGATTTTAAGACACTCATTTTAGACCCCCAGCATCCAATATTAAACATAAACACTTGTGTCTTATGAAATTATAACCACAATCTTTATTTGGTGTGGTTGCTGCCTGATGCCCAAGCTGAGGGTTTCCATCCTTTGGGGGGGGGCACATTTTGAATTTGGAGTGTGTGCTGAAACAGCCAGTCACAAAACAGCTGCTATTGGGGGCAGAAGGAGGATGGCAGAACACAAAATGGCTGCCATGGGGTTTGTGGCATAACACAAAATTAGACAGCCACCCCTGACAATCTTACACTTACCATGGGGAGTTAGCTATGTTCCGCTGGTCCTGATTTTGTGGAGGTCACACGTTATTGATTTTACACACACACACACACACACACACACACACACACAGACACAGACACACAGACACACACACACACACACACACACACACACACACACAGATGCTGTCACTGTCTAAGGGGTCCAACAACACAGTTCCTGTTCGTGCCTTTACTGCACCCTAACATTGTATCCTGAGCAAGACCTTACCTATCACAGCTAGAGCATAGGAAGAGCAGAAAACTGAAGACCAGGAGCATTGCCATGGCTGCCAGGCTTCCCCATATAATGATGTGAAGCAGCCCTGTACTTAAGAAGCTATCACCAGGCCCCATGATACAGAAGGGGGGGTGTGCTTTTGGATGGAGGGCAGCTAGTCCTCACAAGACGTTGGCATTTGCGCTGATAAGAGTTCTTCTTTCTGTGGAGCAAAAAAGGGGGGAGAGACATTACAAAGAAGTCCGGTTTAAAGGCTGGGTGTGTTCAAACTGCACATTTATAGCACATTACTTTCCCCAAAGAATCATGTAAACTGTTGTTTATCCCTCACAGAGCTACAGTTCCCAGCATCCTTATCAAGTTACATTTCCTAGGAGGGAAATCATGTGTTTTAAATATATGGCATGACGGAAGTTACAATTTTAATCCTGCTTTTTTATATTTTCAGAACTACTAACATTTCAGCTACGTTAACCGTCATGAGGTAATTGGAGGCACCATTATGAAGCTAATGGAAAAATGGGAGAGTTTGTTTGAGGTTGCACAGGTGCGTTGCTGTGGGATTGGACTGGCAGCTATCTTGACCACTATTTCTCCTCACCAATGTGCCTGGAATGATGCTGTATCACAACATAGCACCTGATGAGTTCATGGCAGAGTCAATAAGCAAAACTAGTCACTTCCTGATTAGTAGCTATGTCTTTTAGCTTACTATACTACCCCTAGCAAGGGAGAATGTCTGCATGTGAACAAGTTTAGAGAGGGAAATGATGGTATTTCATAGCAATGAATCCAGACGAAATTTGTTGAATTTAAGCCCCAGTGGGAACCAAGCCACCACAGTGGGACACTAGTGCAGCTAACTTAACAGTGCAATCCTATGCATATCTACTCAAAAGTAAGCCCCCGTAATTTCAGTGGGACTTATTTCTAAGTATGTTGTAGAGGATTGCAACCACAGTCTGGATCCCCCCCCCATAGTCTGACTTTAATCAAAAAGAGGGAAACCAATAGGATTATGGGGCTTGAATCAAACAGTAGTTCTAATTATAGGAGGCCCATTGAAATTAATGGGTATGACCAACTTAGACCCATTAATTCCAGTGCATTTAATCTGGGGGGGACTTAGTTGGCTACAACCCTAGAAGTGGAAATAAATATATTTTAAGAACTCTGGATAAAAACAAGAAACGGAAAAGTTGTAAGTATAACATCGATGAAGATGAATTGACACACCTATTTGTCTACTAATTTGCATTAACTGTCTACGCAACAGCCAATTTTTAAAGGTTCAGATGTCCCAGTTTGGTAGTCAAACTCAGAAATACTCATTTTAAAAAGCCACATTGTGCTGCAGTACTGTATTTATCCAGCAAGGGAGCTTTAAAAGCAGATATTCAGGTTGGGTGCTGAACCACACCATGGAAAAATGAGATATACCCATTTGAAATAGCTGCATGTTAGCCAGGGGCATCTGTGGTGATCCTGAAAAGCTTGGTAGCATTTTCATACAACGGTAGTGAAACAAATGTTCTGTTCTGTTCTGTTCTGTTTTTAAAAAATACAATACCTGTTTCAGGTCAGTTAAAGTTCAAGAGTGCTGGCACAATATGATCTCACTCAAAGCTTTTAGGAATATGACAAAAGTAACTGAGACTACTACACAAGTTTACAATACTACACAAGTGATTCGTTTATCCAAAATCACTATGTATCGCCTGGATTTGCCTTCATCTGCCACATGCGTGAAGGGATTCTATGCAGTTAAAGTAGCAGTAAGAATGTGCTGCTGTTTCCATCCCAAGGTCTTGTGGTTACCTGAGCCCCGACACCCGTGCACTAAGCAATAACATGGATAACTTCCAAAGAGACAAATTAATGGAGGATAAAAGCTACCGGCCACAATGGCTACATTGTACCTTCACTGTCGGAAACAGCATGTCTCTGTATTCCAGGTGCTGGGAATCACAAGTGGAGAAAGTGCTATAGTGCTCATTTCCTGCTTTCAGGCATTTGGTTGGCTACTCTAAGAACACGTTGCTGAACTGGATGGGCCTTTTGCAGGCTCTTACGTTCTTCATCTCCTGCCAACCTAGCAGTTCGAAAGCACGAAGTGCAAGTAGATAAATAGGTACCGCTCCAGCGGGAAGGTAAACGGCGTTTCCGTGCGCTGCTCTGGTTCGCCAGAAGCAGCTTAGTCATGCTGGCCACATGACCCGGAAGCTGTACACCGGCTCCCTCGGCCAATAAAGCGAGATGAGCGCTGCAACCCCAGAGTCGGCCACGACTGGACCTAATGGTCAGGGGTCCCTTTACCTTTACCTTCATATGGCAGAGAGTAACATTATGACCGTACACCTCAATGAGCAGTTCTGCTCCTGTGGAAGCAGGCTCTCGCCTTGCAGATGTCCATTCTGGGGGGGGGGGCACAAAGATGGCTCAGAAGTTCTGAATAACCAAGGGAACTGAAAATTATCCATCTTTGCTATTGAAAAAAAACAAGCCTCGTGAAACAAATATTAATTGCACCAAGCTCTACCTATTTGAAATTAACTGATCTGAAATTCATGAAGAGACAGGGATGTTTGATTTAGAGTGAGCTTCACTCCTAAGTAATTATTTTCTACTCTCATAGGTAACAAAAGTTTTAAATAGTTCACAAGCTTGTTAAATTTTAAAACTAGAAGTGTGAGCTTAAAGAACAATTCTGTTGTGATGTTGGAGCAGTTATTGCCTGTAGATGTGCTTGTTCAACTCTTGGGCACTAGGTGGCAGCATTAAACCACTGTTCCCTTTGAGTGCTCAAAAGCAATCACATTTTTGTAGACTCCCAATGCATTGCAACACAAGCCACTTTGTGCACCTCTGATTAACATTTCACAGATATTTTAGTGCAATTTAATTGTGGCCTTTTGCACAGAGTTATGCATGTGATATTAACAAGCACGTATTTATGTCTCGAATGCAACTTGTGCACACGTAAATGCTGTTAACGCGAGAAAATCTATGTGTGAAAATGGCAGAGCTTAGCTTAACCTAGTTGACTTACAGTGGAGTCCCAGTCCAGCACTTCTACACAGGTTGGGGTGTTTGGTATTGTTTTATAAAACCAATTATTACCTACATTTTAGTGGATTATTGTCCATATCTGATGCTTTGTGTCCCCCCCCCCCCGGCATTTGCCATATAAGTGGACGGATTATGATAAGATGGTTAATTTGCAGATTCTGGATCTGCAGTTTTTAACACTGATGCTTACTTCTTTAAAATTTCATTTCACTACCAGTAACTACCCTACAGGAATGTATTGACAACTTTTACTGCTATCCAGTCTGCTCACAAATGCATATTGTTGCATGCCACCCCAGTCTACGAGCAGTGCAAGATTCCAGGGGTTCCCGGCACTTACCCAGGATTCCTTTTGGGAATGAGGCATAGCAGAGATTGTGGTATCTTCATGATATATGGCTTATTTACACATATATATATCCTGAGCCTACAATGGAGGCCCTCACAGCATTAGCCCATCAAAAGGGTCTTGTTTCTCTCATAGCTGCAGCCTTGGATTCAAACAGAAATTGAACATTGCTCTCTAGTGTTTTACAGTCATACATCAGCTCCCAAATGCCTTAGGAGTCAAAAGTTCCTGCTCCCGAACAATCAAAAACCGCAAGTGAGTGTTCCGGTTTCTGAACGTTCTTTTGGAAGCCGAACGTCTGACAGGGCTTCCACGGCTTCCGATTGGCTGCAGGAGCTTCCTGAATCCAGTCAGAAGCTGCGCTTTGGAAGTCGAACATTTTAGAAGTCAAACGGACTTACAAAATGGATTCTGTTTGACTTCCGAGGTACGACTGTACTTCTAAGTTGCATCAATTCCCCACTCTCTACTCTGGCTTTATCTGTTGAGGAAGAGGGGCTCCGTCTGGCACTGAGTTCTTTAATCCCCATCACCTCACCAAGGCTATTTCTTGGAATTAGAAAGCTTGATTAGCTTTTAACACTTCCTGGATGCAGGGAATGAAGAAGGCCGGCACCCCCTCCTCAAACACATAAAAATATATAGAGAGATTGCTTGCATATTAATTGCCACAGCAAAGTATTAGAGCTATGATAAAAATCCTAAATATAACGAAAAGGCATTTAATATATCGAACACTATTTAGCTTGCACTTTTCACTTGCAAATAAATAAATAAATAAACAAACAAACAAACAAACAAACAAACAAACAAGCTTACAGAGAGATCTAGATGGTGGCTGTGTGAGTCTTGGGTATCTGATTTTAATCCATTCCTGATACCCTACAAGGGAAAGAGAATGTTTCCCCTCCAGAAGGAGTGTTTAGAGCTTGTCAAAAGGTCCACATTAGAATGTGAATTTATCTTAAGGAATGGAATTTTGCTGGCTGTTTTGCTTCTTATTATTTTGGACTAACTTAACAATAATACTTGACTCCAGTGGAAGCTGCGAAGTCATAAGCATTCCACACTTACATCTTTCAAAGCTAGTGTCATTGTGATGATCTGATCTTGAGAGAAGCTTGCTCTCACCACTGTTTCTGCCCTGTCAAAATATGAAAAAACTGTACTGCAAAAGGATAATGTTTTTTTAATATGTGTCAGGAAAATCCATACAAAGGAAGGACTCCACCATAAAGCCACAGATAAGCACAGGAGATGTGCTAAAACAGGATCAGTCAGTCCAAAAGATTATTGCAAAAAGCATGCACGAGATAATCAGAGATGCAGATGCACTCAAGCTGTCAAAGCTCAGTTTTAACACCTTTTCTGTTTATTAGGGTGTTGCCGTTATTTCTAATCCAATTTACAATGTTCAGTGAACATGTGTGAACTGTAGCTACAAAGATGCTATAAATTCCATCTTTTTCAACACCCCCTTGCTTGATACCAAGGTAAATGAGGCGCGTATGCATAGCCAATTACATTGAATATGGGTATGTGAACACATATGCACACAGACATATACTTTTCAAATGCAAACATGCTGGTAGGTTACCATCCTGTCATTTTTATCTTTTTCAAGGAACA